GGTGATAATGGATAAAGGACCGTTTGTGCCTGATCTGCAGAGAAGATGTGAAATAGGCAAATCCCTATTAACTGACCATAGAACAGAGCCAGGGCACCAAAGCTGATCACATACTACCCCCCCACCCTGACTCTTCCCTCTGTACCTATCACCTTTCTCTTTCTCTCTCTCTCTCTCTCTCTCTCCTATTTAATCTGAGTTGGGTGTATTATATGAATGTATATGCATAAATAATATCATATATGTAGATATGTATTGTATGTGCACATATATTTGAATTCATATATCCAGGCATTGGTGTACGTGTAGGACCTCACACAGATCTCTAAATCCACAATGCCCAAGTCTCTTAGAGAATTGACTTAGTGTTTGCATAGAGCCTGCACATTGTCCTGTATGCTTTGAATGACCTCTGATGACGTTTAATACCTAATACAATGCAACTGCTGTGGAAATTGTTGTGTTGCATTTTGGGGGAATAATGACAAGGAAAAAAGTCTATCTGTATTGAGTAGCAATGCAGTTTATTTTGGGTTTTGAGACAAGGTCTCTCGATGCAGCCCAGGCTGCCCTTGAACTCATGGCCTTCCTACCTCAGCCTCCTGAGTGCTGGGATTACAGGCATGAACCACCATGCCTGGATGAAATGCATTTTTTAAAAAAATGATAGTTTTGATTTGAGGGTAGTTGAATCCACAGGTGAGTCCCTGGCAATGGGAAGAATGTATATCAAAATAAACAATTTCAAGGAATTAACACATAAAAGTTGAGCTCTGGCTCATGAAAGCCACTGTGGGTTGGTTGTGTGGGGCAGGCTGTGCTCAACATAGATGGGCAGTAACCAGGCTGGTGAATGTGTCCCCATCTGGGAGGCCATAACAGGGGAAAAGAGAGCTAGAGAGTCACATTTTGCATACAAGTTTTTTTTTGGGGGGGAGGTATGACTGAGGTTTGAAGTCAGGACTTCCCACTTGCAAAACAGGCACTCTATGGCTTGCACCACACCTCCAGTCCAAGGGTCAAATTTTGAGTCTTAAATGTTTTGGCTGGAAAGAGACCCACTCCATGAGTCTGCCACCCGCTGGCTAGAAATGGCCACATGCCCTGGCTTTTCTGCAGGGGTGCTTATCACACCCCTGGAGGGGTCCCTAGAGTCTTCACCCCACTCTACTCCTGCAGCTCATCCCAGAGTCCTCAGCATTCCTCAGTGCTTTGTCTGTCCATGACCTTGAGCCCTGGCTTCACTCTCTGGTTACCTGATTCCTTTGCAAGGGTTCTCCTGATAAATTCTTTTAAGAAATTGACCCTGGAAAGACGTGTGTCTGTCTTGAAAAACTGGAGTACTTCCTCTTTTTCATAGTTGGGAGTGTTAACCCAGTGTGAGTCCCTTGTCACCTGGCCTAATACAAAGCTCAGAGCAAAATTGAGAGGGCCTGTCCTGTACAGCATCTCATGGACAAATGATTTGAGTCAAGCTCCTGTCTTCACTGAGGTTTTGTTTCCATTAATGCAGATGTGTGTGTAAATATATGGAAGATAATTGGAAGTATTTGTGAGCCCAAACCCTCTAGGTTTTTTTCAACTAGTGTAATGGTCCCTTAGAGAAATAGGTTTTATTGTGGTAGCTTCTGGGTGAGGTCTCTTTCATCTCCTTTTTCTTTGAAAAATGTAGGATAACGTATTTATAGAGATGTGTACAATTCTTTTTTTCCCCTGGGGTTTGAACTCAGGGCCTTGTGCTTGCTAGGCAGGTGATCTACCAATTGAACCACACCCCTACTCCTTTTTACTTTAGTTATTTTTTCAGGTAGGCTTTCACTTTTTGCCTGAGGCTGGCCTCAGACTCCAATCTTCCTACCTCTGTCTCCTGCATAGCAGGGATTACAGGTACGAGCTACTGCACCTGGCCCTGTACAATTTTTAACTGTACAACTTGATGAATTTTTACATGGATATATCTACACCCTCATGTAACCATGACCCAAGTGCTCACAGTCACCACCCAGAACCCCAGAGACTTCCTTACAGCAATTTCTGGTCATCGCCCACCTCTTTTCTTCCCTAAGATATCCAGTACGGGGACTTTCATCACCACACATTAGTTTGCCTGTTCTTGAACTTGTATAAATGTTCTATAGTACATGTTCTTCCGTGTCCAGCTCTTTTTCCTCACCTTTACATGTGTGAGATACATCTGCATTATTGCATGTAACAAGAGTTCAGTCTTTGTTATTGCTATATAGTATTCTGTGGTATGCCACAATTCATTTTCTTATTCTGATGTTGAATAACATTTGAACTCCTTCCAATTCTTGTCCTACTGTGAAAAGAACATTTCTGTGAACACTCTTGTTGACTTTTGGTAGATGTACTCATTTCTTTGGGGCTGGTATAGCCATATCCATTTTAAATGTTGGGGGTGTATTAGGCATCATACAGCTTGTTAGATGTAATAGCTTAGGTTTGGGAAGGCCGTGGACATTTCTAGAGCAAATAAGTCAATGAGTGAGTTCAAATTCTATGTTATGAAAAATAATTTGCAACAAAGCATAGTGTTCAGCCTTCTTGCACAACAAATGATTTGTATAGATATTCAGGCTTGCAAAGTTCATGTTAGAATTCTTCTCTTCCTCTTGCAAATAACAGCGATCCAACTCTAACTGAAGTAAAAAAGAGAATGTAATTACTTAAATATCCAGTGATCATCTGCCTTTAGGTATGGCTGGATCCAAAATGTCATCACCATTTGACTCTTTATATCTCTTGGCTCTGTTCTCTCCTTACTGGCATCAATCTTAGACAAAACTTCCACACTGGTTACCATTTACAGCTTTGAGCTTAAACTTCGTAGCTCCAGGTTCAGCTGAGAGAACTTCTCTCTTCCCTACAGTTCTGCCAAAACTCCTAGAACTGAGTCTCACTGTCTTTGGCTGGGTTGTATGCCCTGACTCAATCGCTGTAGCCAGGAAGAAAATATTTCCGGCTGGGTTCTATGTCCACATCTACCCACAGGGACTGAGAGTGGGAAAGGAATATTATTCAAGGAGATACTATCACCACAAAGAGAAGTGGATTCTGGGCAGGAACAAAATAGAGAAAAACAGACTTCCATTGTGCTGAGCCATGGGGACCTGTGTTGGCAAACAAACACTTTGAAACCATAGGTGATGGAGAAGGCTAATGTTGTCTTTAGCTCTGATTACTCAGAAGGACTCACCCTTGGCATTTACGCAGAGATAAACTTAGGAAAGTTGATTGAGCTCTAAGAATGCTCTGCTTCCTTCTGTGAAGGTATTAACGTCATCTAATCATGAAGGCTTGAAATCCCTTCCTTCTCACCCTTCCCGTACTGGATCAGCCAACACATCTCTATTGTGACCCTTCTTTACATTTTCTCCCCTCTTACTATTTTCTTCTCTCTTCCCACTGACACTATACCACCTGTGGCTCCAGCCAAGAGATATATAGAGAGAAGGATCAAATACTGATGACATTGCTTAAGGACCTGGATCTAGTCATACCAGAATGCTATGCCCTCTTGAAATAGGAGCAAATTTCCTTATAAGTCCAGTCCAGAACCTGGAGGTCTGACTTGGGATACGAGCCCATTCCTGAGCCAAACCCCATGACCAGGAGTATGATAGACACTGATTGACTGAGTTGGGGTCATGTGACTATCCTGGATGGTCACAAGTGCAACCAGCACTTCCTGTGTCACCTGGACCAAAAGTAGGAGAGGGGAAGATGCCCAAAGGAAAACCAGGACATTGATGCCAAGGGAAGAGTAAATGAATAATAGACAAAAATAGATACTCAGATCTGGAAATTGAAACCTCATCTGTTTGGACTGGAAGTATGCCATGTCTATAGATTAGAGCTCATAGAATCATGTTTTATAACTATAAGGGGCCATGACAAATGTCTCTAATCAAATGCCATGGTTTCCATGAACTGTTTATTCTTTATGCATTTATACTAATTTATACTTCAAACCTCAGAAACACAAATACAATCAAAATGCTGAGAAAGTTCACGTTCCTTCTAATCTTTGCTCCACTGCCCCTCCCTCTCCACCCGAGGAATGTACTGGTTAAGATATAATTTTGAGGGCCCAGTGTGGTATTGCACACCTATCATCTCAGGTACTCAGGAGGCAGATGTAGAATGATCACCATCCAAGGTTGGCCCTTGACAAAAGTACAAGACCCTATTTAGAAAAATAACTAAAGCAAAAAGGGCCAGAGTTCTGGTTCAAGTGGTGGAGGTCCTGTCTAGTAAGTGTGAGGTCCTGAGTTCAATCTCTACTACCACCAAAAAAAAGAGGTAACTTTAGTGTTTTATAATCAAACACCAAAACTTTAAACAAGGTATCAGTGTATTCTGTCTTCTGTAATGGTCCGAGCTGATACAAGGAGAGCTCTGCTCTGTGAAGTCTCCAGCCCAGTTCCCACCAGGTGTTGTGCTGTTGTCCCTATGGAGGCACCAGCTTTGTATGCATGGCCAAGATGGGCATGTCTACATTCCAGCCCACAGGAAATAGAAGACTGACAAAGGGAGGGATAACCCCTTTCCTCCAACAGCAGGACCTGGAAGTTGTAGCTAGCACTTCCACTCACATCCTCCTGCCAGATCTCATGTACATACTTAGGTGCAAAGGATCCTGGGAAATGTAGTTATTATTCTGGTCAACATATTCTGATGCCAGCTAGGAGAGAAAAGAGAATAGGTACTGGAAGATACAGCAGTTTCTGCAAGGAAGAGAGGGGAGCTAGCAGATTGGCTCAAGTGATACAGTACCAGCCTAGCAGTGTGAGGCCCTGAGTTCAAACCCCAGTACCACCCCCACCCAAAAAAAAAGGAAGAAAAGTGGGGGAAATCCCTGACTTTTTCCTTCCTTTTTGTTTTTCAGATTAAAAAAGAAAGAAAGAAAGAAAGAAAGATCCCTGAGTGACAACAGATGCGGGGTTGCTGTCACAGCGTGTGGTGAAGACAGTGCCAGCATGGCTGCCCACTACAGGAAGGACAGTTATGAAGATGATGCACACTACCCTGACTACCTAGGGTCTCGGAGCCCTTCGCAGGGATATTCAAAACCTCAGGTTTATTCCCAGTTTCCCGGTCTTCTGAACAACCTGGGTCGACCCAGCCCGAGGAGCAATCCATACGCTGCAGGCTCCAGAACAAATCCAGACTACCCCGGGGCCCTAGCAGAACCAGATTACCCCAAGTCTCCTAGTAATCCTGACTATCCCAACCCCAGGAATACCCCCAATTCTGCAGATTCCAGAACAGGTGCAGACTATCCCGGATCCCTGCCGGAGCCGGATTACAGGGACCTTCCGAGCAATGCATACCGCTCAGGCTCCCCTGGAGAGCCGGACTACCCTGGAGCCTTTGCAGGCTCCAGAACAAATTCAGTCTATCTGGGACCCTTGGGAGAGCCAGACTACCCTGGCGCCCAGGGAGACTCCAGCCACCCCAGCCCCAGAGCCACTTCCAACCATCGGGGCTCCAGAAGGAATGTAGGCTATGGTGGCTTCAGCATCAACCCGTACGCAGACTCTCCGGAAGAACCCCACTATCCGGGGGCTGTCCGTCCACCCAATTCTCCACGCTTTTTTGGGAAAGCAGACTATCCTGGTGCTGATGGCCATCAGAATTCTCCAAACTTTTGGGGGGAGCCTGACTATCCAGGTGCTGAGGATGGTCGTGACTGTGGTTCTTCTGAGACCCCAGAAATGGCCAGGAGGTAAGTTCTAGGATATGCCTTCACTGTGGGGACTTCTTTTTCTTTTTGGTGATACTGAGGATATCTTGCTTGCTAGGCAAGCCTTGTACCACTTGAGCCACGACTCCAGTCATTTTTGCTCTGGTTATTTTGGAGGTAAGTTCTTGCTTTTTGTCCTGGCCAGTCTGAAACAGCAATCCTCCCCTTATATGCTTCCCACAGTAGCTGGGATGACAGGCATGCACCACCATACCCAGCTTTTTCGGATGAGATGGGGTTTCATGAACTTCTTGCCTGGGCTGATCCAGACCCACCATCTTCCCAATCTCAGCCTCCCAGCACAGCTGGGATGACAAGCGTGTAGCACTGCCACCCAGTTACTGGTTGAGATGGGGTCTCACAAACATTTTTTTTAAAACTTGGTCTGGCCTCGAATCACAATCCTCCTGATCTCAGCCTCCCAAGTAGCTAGGATGACAAATGTGAGCCACCACACCTAGCTAATGTGGTTTTGATTAAGGACAGGTGGGATGTTTTCTATGACCTGTAGTTGTGGCGAAACTCTCAGACCTACCTGCAGACCTCACCTGGGCTGCAGGTTCTCACTTGGACACCTTTCCTCAGCCCTTGCTTGGATCAGCTCCTCCTCCCGCTCTTCCTCCTCCATTGCCTAGAAGACATCTAAATCTCTGTTTTGACTTTGCTATACTGCTGGTCGGGGTGGGTTTGAGACTTGACAGTCATGAATCCAAATATTTTAACCAGAATCACACCATCAGCAATGAATTTTTATCAAGGTCATATTTAGAATCTAACTCTACTGAGTTTGATTCCTCAAAGTTTTCTTTGGTGGTGCTGGGGATTGAACCCAGGGTCTTACACTTGCTAGGTAGGTGCTCTACCACTTGAGCCACACCCCCAGCCCTTTTGTTTTTATTTAGTTTTTTAGATAGTATCTTTCTTTGTGCTGGCCGGCCTTGAACTCACAATCTACCTGCCTCTGCCTCCTGAGTAGCTGGTATTACAGGTAGGAACCACAAGCCTGGCTAAATTTGTTTTATATGCAAGGTGTTTGAGTCATTGCTGATCTTTCCAAGTATTTTTACTTTGCAAGTATTGTTGTCGGAGTCAATCAATTTCCATGTAAATGTTAGTGCAGATTTGATTCACTTCAGCTTCAGCTTCGTTATTTTCATTGAGTTTTATCAATTATGTGTTCTCACTGTCAGTATTTTTCTAAGGTCATTTTCAGACATCAAGCCCAATTTTCCTTAGTTCAGATTCTATAGTTCTAAAATCTCTTTAAAGACTTTTAACCAAAGTCAGTGGCAAATTTTACCAAGTGTAGCTCTGGACAGTGACAGCATTCATTTGAGTGACTTAGTTCTGCCAAGTCAAATTTTTCCTGGGCTTAGTTTCTCAATGTTCACATTAACAAGTGGTAGAGCACCTGCCTAGCAAGTGTAAGGCCCTGAGTTCAAGCCCCAGTACCACCAAAAAAGATGTATTTGTTCAGGGGTTTTTTTGTTTAATCTATAACAAATTTTGCCATGTGAAATTTTAACTAATCCATGTCTTATTTTGCATTTAGTATTTCTGCTAGTAGTATTTATGAATTTGATTTAAAAAGATAATTGCTAATGGAGTATGGTGGTGCATGCCTGTAATCTCAGCACTTGGGAGGTGAAGTCATGAGTTTGAGGCCAAGTTGAACAGTAAGATTCTGTCTCTAAGAAACCAAGCCCAAAACAAAACAATGACTTGCATTTACTTCCAGGAACAAGCAATCAAAACATCTTTAGGATGTACTTAGGTAGAACTCAAGTAGAATTAATAGGACCAGATCAGAATGTTTTCCTTAGTCTTGCCTTTCACTGCCTGTGTCACCATTCCAAGACATACCTTCAATCCTGTCACTCCTGCTTTTTATCTTCCATGGGTCCCCAAACCCCTGAGAGAGAGGCCTCATGGCTGCACTTACAGAACATCTGTGAACAAAGATGCACTGTGCTGACACGAGGAGCCAGCCCAGAACCAGCCTGGCCAGTCTCCCTCCTGTGCCCTCTGTAATTCAACCCTGTACTTCAGGCCAGTGGTTTTTGACCTTGGCTAATCCTTAGAATTACTTTATTATCTGAGTACCTTTAAAAATAAACAACCTTCAAAACCTCTGACTTAATTGTCTGATATGGGCCTTGGGCATGGGCACAGATAAAACCGAGAGTCACCACTGCAGGCTGGTTGAGTTTTAGCATTCCCTTTATGTACCACACATCCTGGCCTCACCTTCATTGTGCCGTTGCTCATCCCTGTGACACCCTCCCTTCTCTGCATAGGAATTTGTCCTTCCCACCCCTATCATGTCTCTTTTCCACATAGATTTCCACCCAGACTCCTAGCCCAAATTCTTCTCTCCTTCCTCTTATCTCCTTGGATCTATCTTTCCAGGTTCATTGGTTTTACTTGTATTCAGAATTGCTCACAGCTGTGTCTAAGAAACTGTGCCAGTTTGTGTTGGGAGCTTCTTGGGAACAAATACACCTTGTCTTTATCTTGGTATCTTTAGTGCCTAGACCATTCAGTCAGGAATGGATGGATGCATGGATGGATGGTTGGATGGGTGAATGGGTGGATTAATAGATGGATAGATGGGTAAATGGTGAATGGATGGATGGAGGAATGGGTGGATGGATGGGTGGGTAGATGGATGGATGGATGGGTGGGTCAATGAATGGATGGATGAATGGATCAATGAATGAACGGATGGACGAATGGATGGGTTGATGGGTGGCTCGCCTCCACATATTCCTGATTGGGTGGTGATCCATCATTTGGGAATTTCAGGGTGCTCAGAAGTACATCTTCAATGAAGCCCTCATTTCATTGCAGGGGTGATGGCCCCTTGGGCATCCTTGGTAGAGAGAATGAAGATTTCCCTGAAAGCATTGAAATGACATCAAGGGATATGGCAAGTCCATATAGCCGCTCTCTGCCAGGCACTCCTGGAAATGGCTATGGTAAGCAGTTATGATGAGGAACATGCTTGGGAAGAAAGTAAATTCCAGTGGACTTAGGGGTGCCACCATAAAGAAGTCATAGCAGTAGAACAACTGGCTTATCCCTCCCCCCAACCACTCTTCCTAGATACAAGAGCTGAGTTATAGTGTCTACAGAAGCCAGGTGTCATCAGTGACCAAAGAAGTCCAGCTAAAGTACGTGACAAGTAGGGGTCAGCACACCCTGGGCCTATCTGAGCATCAGAGGGCTTATCACTAACCTGGAAATTTTCAAAACTCAGATTTTTATTTTTGGAGTGGAGATTGAGCCAAGGTCTCATGTATGGCAGGCATGCTGTCTACCATGGAGCTATGCCCACGGCCCTCAGCACTCAAATTTTGAAGTCCAGTTTCTACTGAATGCATATTGCTTTCCCTCCACCCTAAGCTGAAATATCATAAGTTAAACCATCGTATGTTGGGAACTGTCTGTACTAATGAAAAACACCACATGTTTGCATACAAAATAATAATTTGGGAGCCTAAACATCAAGAACCCATCGCCATCTGTGGATGTTTCAAGATTCTTGGGGATTTTCCCAGTGTCATGGCACACAGGGTGGATGCATGAGAAATGCTAACTGAATTAATACAATGATACAACTTATATCAGTCAGCTCTTGCCACAGGCATGCTGAATAACAAACAGCTCCCAAAGCCCAGATTCACACTGTCAACAAGTATTTCTCACTCACACATCTTCAAGGATTGCTTGGGTTTGTACTGCACTGGGCTGAGTTGACTGGGCATGCTCTTGTCATGAGTTTCATCTAGATCTAATGTCCTTTACCAGGGAGCTACCTGGGTCTTTTCTTCCAGTGACACAGCTGGAAGTGCTTGAAGTAGCAAGCAGAAATTCACAATAGCTTTATTAGCCTGGCACTTCTGTAGTGTTCCATTGGTCAAACCAAGTCAGGTCTCCAAACCCAGCATCAATGATGTGCCCAAGGTGGGAAAAGTGTAATATTTGCTGAATAATTGATGTATCACAATAGTTACCATATATTGATAGTTTACTGTGTTCCGGGATTATATAATCACATTAGTTCCTCCAGCAATCCTACATCAAAGTTCTATCATGATCTCTTGAGATGAAGCTATTGAAACTCACAGATGTTTAGTGATGTGTCTGGGACAAACAGCTAGTAAACAACAGGACTGGAAATTAGTCCCAGGCAGGAAGTTCTAGAAAGTCTAGCAATATCCCCATCAAAATGCACTGCGTTCTCCCTGAGTTTACCTTTCATGTTTACCATGGGTTGAATAAAAATATATTGAAATACGACACTGTTGCATCAATGCCGAGAGTGGACTCTGTCCTCAAGGAAATCAGGCCATACTTCAAGTTCATGTGTCATCATAAAGCAGGACAGCTGGATGGGACCTTTGTACTCACCTACACAGGTACTTTTCAAACTCTGAGTTGCAACTCATTAACAAGTTCTAAAAAGAGTTTTTAAAGCAAAATAGAATTTAAAATATATAGCATAAAAATAAAAAAAATGGAACAGGAAAGAATGGAGTAGAATGAGAATTTGTCAGAGCAACATTTAGGTAATTAAACTAGTGGTTTTTTTTTTTTTCTATTTTTTTTTTTGCAATCTGTTTTTAACAAGGCCTGCACATAATTCTGATGTATGTTAAAGTTCTAGAACTTCTGCTATAAAGATCTGGCACTCAACAGTAAAACTAGTGTTTTGTGAACCTTGTTTTTCAAGTGCATGTGTGACCTGGATCTCAATGTAACAATTATTATTATTGCTTAATTATTTTTTGGCAGTACCGGGGTTTGAACTCAGGACCTTGCACTTGCTAGGCAGATGCTCTACCACTTGGGCCCTGCCCCCAGCCCTGTTTTGCTTTAGTTAATTTTCAAGAGGGTCTTGTGTTTTTGCCTGGGGATGCTACTGTTTCTGGCCTCCCTCATAGCTAGGATTATAGATGTGTGCCACCATGCCTGGTTTGTTTGATGAGATGGATTTTGATCCCTCAATCTCTGCCTTTTGAATAGCTGGAATTACAGGCTACAGGAGTGAGTCACCACACCCAGACAAGTTTTGCTTCTGTTTGTTTGAGATAGGGTCTTGCTATGTAGTGCAGGCTGGTCTGGAACTCACTGTGTAGCTCAGGCTGGCCTTGAACCCGTGACCCTGCCTCAGCCTCCTGAGTGCTGGGACTACAGGCAAGTGGCCCCACACCTACCTCTTCACCCAAGTTCTTAATCAAGAGTCTGTTAGGACTCAAAGACAGGGTCTCAGTGTCGGTCACCATTACCGTTGTCAGCACGCTAGAACCGTGCAAAGGGATAAGTGACAATGGCCCTTGTCTTCATTCCAGTGAACCCTGCTTATGTGGGTGAAAGTACCCCTGGCTGTGATTATGGAAACCCGCCGTTGTCCGAATGTGACTGGCACAAGTCACCCGAAGGTAAGAACTCAGGGACCGTGACCAACACCTCAGCCCTGGGGAAGGATGTTTAGGACAACCCAGACAGCACCATCTCCTCTCCGCCTCTGGTTTCCCTTCCTCCCTCCTTTCCTTCTTTCCCTCTTTCTTTCTTTTTTTTCTTTTCCTTTCTTTCTTTACCCCCTCCCTCTTTCCCTCTCTCTTTCTCCTTCCCCAGCATCGCAGTGAACAGTGAGGAATCAGTTGATGGAATCTTTTATATAACAGATGGGACCAACGACTCAACTATCCCTTCCTTCCAGCCCCATAGCCTGTGGACTTGACCTCATCCTGCCACCCCTTCTCAAGAAGGCCTCAGAACTTCACTAGGGTCAGGTGTAGCCACCTGGGAGGGAGATCCCTAGAGATCCAAGAGCTCACACTCTCCATTGGGTCCTGTAGAGTGGAGAATGGCCTTACCTGTGGGGGAGGGGGAGTGTCTTCAGCCTTCTTAGGACTGCCCTGTGGAGCCAGCATGAGGCACCAGGACTCTGGTGGGAGGACTGTCCTCAAAAGGAAGAAAAGTGAAGAAGTAGAGAGCATGGCTTTCTCTGACATTTTGTCTTGTCTTGTTCTGACTTTCAAATCACATCCACTTACCTGGTGGTCACCTTCAGGATAAAATGTTGCTTCTATGGGTTCTGCTATGCCCCAAAGACACCTCTGGCACATAATAGGCCCTCAAAACTTGTTTTTCATTTATAAATAAATGAATGCATAGAGGTCAGCATCTTGTTTCAGGGAGGGCACAAGGTGATGTGCTCAATAGCTCCTGCTTTGGGTTCAGACCAATTTGGGTTTGCCTCCTAGCTCCATTACTCTCAGGCTTTGTGACCTTAGCAAGTGATCCCACTGAGTCTCAGTTTTCTTAGCTGTAGAATGGGGTTGGTGATAGTACCTACATCATAAGGTGATTGTGGAAACAAATCAATGTATTCTATTTTAGGGGACGATATTGGGATTTGAACTCAGGGCCTGGCACTTGCTACCACTTGGGCCACTCTTCCAGTCCTTTTTATGTACTAGGCTTTATGCTCAGCCTGCCTACATCCTCCTATTTGTGCTCTCCACATGAGCTGAGCAGACAGGCATGTGCTACCACACCCAGCCGTTGGTGAGGAAGAGTCTCATGAGCTTGTCCTGGGCCAGCCTCAAATTTGCCTCAGTTGCCCAAGTGCTGGGATTACAGGTGTGCACTGTCACACCCACGTGTTCGAATCATTCCTGTTAAAGAGCATTCCTGGAAGCTGCTTGTTCCATTGGCTAAAACTGAGTCGTTTGTCCACCCTTAGCTGCAAAGGAAGCTGGAAGACTCTTAACTGAATACAGAATTTGCACTGGAAATGAGGTTTCTTCTGGTATGAGAAGAAAGAATGGGTGTTGGGAGGCAGATAGATAGCAGTGGCCACCTTCTAAGGTATCCAAGGATTTATACAGGCACACAAAATTATAATCTAACTGATTGCTTATACTCTCTCTTCAACAAAACTAGAGATAAGGGCAAAATAGTTTCTGCTGGGTACTGAGGGGGGGGAGAGGGAGGGGGCGGAGTGGGTGGTAAGGGAGGGGGTGGGGGCAGGGTGGAGAAATGACCCAAGCCTTGTATGCACGTATGAGTAATAAAACAATAAAAAAATTATAATCTAAGCAGAGACTCCAAGTGAAAAAGCAAATCTTGCCCTTTGAGCATGAGTCATTGAGAAGAATGTCTTCTCTTTCCGGAATCCCATTGTCTTCAATGAAGGATTCTGTTTATAATTTCTTGCCTAGCTACCAAGGCAGAATTCTCAGCAGGGAAACACATCTCTCCCGAGGAGATCCCTTGAGGGACAGAGTGGGGAGTTATGTTGTGATTTGAAGGGGCTGGCTTTGGTGAACACATCCTGGCATTGAAAAAAATATAAATGGAGTGTCCTTTCGTCACCATCATCCCTTTCCCCCTGTGGGTCCAGCAATGCCAGTGTGACTGCTTCAGAGCTCTTTGAAGACACCCTTGTGGAGAATAAGGCTTGCAGGTGACAAGAGATGCTGTCAGAGGACCAAGTGAATGAAATTGTCATAGAGATTGAGCACGTGCCACCTGGGGTCCAAAGCCATTCATCCTCCAGTCAGAGTTTGCAAGATAGGCCATGGGCAAACCCCACCTTCAGTGTGGGTTCATCAACGTCTATTGTTGCCACTATGGATGCTCAACTTTTCAGCCACAGGAATGACAGAAGACATAACCCGTTGTTACAGTTTTCAACCTCTGTGCAGGAATCAATGTCTCAGGCCCTCCAAAGCCCAGAATGTCTGGGTGTAGACCCTCCTTGTCCTTCCCTTGAAACCATTCAAGGTATAAAACGCTGGGGAAACACTGGAAAGTAGCAGAGAAGGTTTCCAAGTTGTCTACAGGGTTTTGTTTTTTAACTTTTAAGACATCAAGTAATATTTGAGGCTTGGTAGGTGAAGTCAGAAGCTGACACCTCCCTACTCACAAGAGCTTCCTTGGCAAGATAATTTCGTGGACCTGGTGGCATGTCCTTTTTGTTAGCCATTGCATTTAGTTTTTGGTCTTTGTTCTTGGCAGTACTGGGGTTTGAACTCAGGTCTACTACTTGAGCCACATTCCCAATCCTTTTTGCTTTAGCTTATTTTTCAGGTAGGGTCTCGTGCTTTTGGCCCTAGGTTGACCTCAGATGGTGATCCTCCTACCTCCCCCTCCCGTGCAATGAGGATTGCATGTGTGTGTCACTATGCCAAGCCTCAAATTAAGTTTTATTTATTTCTATACTCTGCACCTTTTAGGTAAGCATTGCCATTTTCTTGCTAAGAAAACTGAGGCTCAGAGAAATTTAGTGACCTGGTTGCAGAGCTACAGTGCTGTCCTGTTTTGGTCTGATTCCTCCCCACCCTGGTTTCAGGGAACATAGATAGGATCCTCTTATTGTCAAGTTCACTGTGACACCAGCTCCTAGATGAGACCTCCCAGCCTTTGGGCCCCTGAAGCCAGTAGAGATTGGCCTTCTGTTTCAGCCCATAATATTCCAGGTGTCAAGTCTAGCCGCTCTCTGTGATTTCCAGGAAAAGATGCAATCCATCCACAGCAGAGCCTTCACTGGGGTTTAGAGCCTTCACTGAAGATGGGGGCATGGGTGCTCACTCTACTGACCCCCCTGTATCCATTGTTCCTTTTCCTCAATTCTATTTCTTCCTGTCTGTCTACTTCCTGCTCAGGAGGGACACAATTTCCTTATCTGCAGCACAGTGACTTTGTTTTGGGATTCCCTCTCCACCTACATCATGGAAATGAGCACAGTGTTTCCTCATGAGGAGTTCTGGCTCTGTGATGTGACCAAGGAGACAGTTCACTCCCGTCCCTCGACTGTCTCCAACACATCATTGTCCCAGCCGGTCCCCCTGCTGGCCTCCCTCACCGTTAGAAGACAGTGACAGCAACTCTGGGTGTCACATCCAAACAACAATATCCAGAGGAAAAAGGATTCGTCTTGTTTTTAACTTTTTTGATTAGAAGGAAGAAATCCTTTCCCAAGAAACTTCTTTTTTTGGTATTTATGTGTGTATTTATTAATTTGACAATAATGCACTTTACATTGCATTCCTAAAGGCATTCATTATTAAAGAGGCACATTGTGACATTTACAGAAGTTCTTACAATATATCATAGTTGAATTCATCCCCTCCTCCAAGAAACATCTTGGCAGAGCATCCTCAGAGAACATTGGCCACCTGCTTGTGCCTAAACCAATCATCTGTTAGGGGGTGAGACCACTGAGATTGGCTTATTCTCAGTGGGGCTGCTCCCTGTGCCTGGAGGTGGACCTGCCCAGAGAGGACCCTGTAAGGGAGGTGGTAGATCCTCAACACAGCTGGGATTCTGTTAAGAAGAAGGGATGACTGGGAGTGTGTGGAGGCCACAGAGGCCAAAAATGGGAAAAGAGGATAGAGGTGGAAGAGCATCTGAAAGTAGTCGAGAAATGAAAGAAAGCACCTGGGACTCCAGAGTCAAAATAAAGTGATGTGGGGTTAAAGTAAGAGAGAAAGAGTAGGCTGACTGTGCATGCAGGATCCTGTTGGCTTTGCTGCATGTTTTTTTTTGTCACATAAAGAGAGAAACATTGAACTGGAATGGAGTCAAAAATTGGCTTTTCTTTGAGCTTTAGCACATATATGTGCCTTTTTGTTATTTTTGCCTGTGATCTTTGGGATCCTGGAGTCCATATATTCTTTTTTCTTGTGCCCTTATAAAAACTTGCTCTAACATCAGCATCATATTGTAACATGTCATGACTCTGTTAAAGAACAAAGATATTGAACTCTGTTTATTTTATTCTGCAGGACAAAAGTTGATTGCATCCCTGATATCCATGACATTTAGAGACAGAATTAAAACCATCAGAAGCCAGCCAAAGACTATGGAAGAGAAACGGAAGCTTAGGTATGAACCAGACCTTTCTCCTCGCCCAGATTACTTGTCAACCCCAATCTTCTATTTTTGCCCTATCTCAAAAAAGGTAAGAAATAAATAAATGCAAGAGAAGATATGGATCTTCCTTATGGAAGAATTCCAGGTTCCTCTCTATAGGAATGGGAGTATAACCCCACTCCCTCAGTTGGTGTGTGGGTTGTGCTCAGTGACTTCCTTCCAAGGAAGAGTCTGTGGAAAGGGAGAAAAGTAAGTTTCCAGAGAAGTCTGGCTAACACTATTGGGGCCAGTTGCCCAGGGCCAATGTCACATCCCCCTAAATGAATGATGTGATGAAAAATAAATGACCCCTCAGTGAAATTCTCTCCTAAAATCTAGAACCACGTCTAATCAGAGAAAATCACCAGGCACATCTCCAACTGGTACTCATTGACCACTCCTTGAAGTGGTCAAGTTCACCAAACCCAAGGAAAGTCTCAGGAACTGACACAGAGTCAAGGATTCTAAAGAGACACGATGAGCAAATACAATGTGGGGCTCTGGTCAGTCTTGGAACAGAAAATGGATGCTGTTTAAAAAAAAACTGGTAAAAGCTACAGAGTCTGGAATTTAGACACTAGCCACATACCAACCTTGGCTTCTTAGTTTTCACAAACCTACCACAGAAACTAAGATGTTACCACTAGAAACCTGGAAGTAATTTGGGAATACTCTGTAGTCTGCAGGTTAACTAAATTTTAAGCTGCTCTAAAATAAAAAGTTTCCTTTAAAAAAAAAGGAACTTTCAAAGCCCAGGAATTCAAAAACAATCACAAGGTGCTGTTTAAGCCATCAGAGTTGCATTTATTGTTCCTTTATTTTTATTTTTTTTGTGCTGAGAGTAGAACCCAGGGCCCAGTCAAGGAAGATGGGGACACTGGTACTGGGAGACAAAGGAAGCAGTGACCCAATCTGCTGGGACCAAACAGGAGGGCCTTTGAGCTTAGCCTTGAAAGATGGTGGTGTAGGAGTGGGCATTTGAGGTGGACTGAAGAGAGCCTGGAAAAGGCCAGAACAAAACAGATGTGTGAGAGACCAGGGATGACAGTGTCATTCTCAAAATGCTCTTCCGTTTTAAGTTCTGTCCCGCAACAAGGGTTCAAATGAGCCTGCAGTGAGATTGCTCAGATGTGGCACACTGAGACTCAGGGCAGATCCTTCTCTTTTGGGGTGCTCACAGGGAGTTTGCCTTTACCTGGTGCATGACATGCCAGTAGCACCTTCCCCAGTTTAACTCCTGTTTAACCACAAAAGCCCCCAGACATTGCCAGTTGTCCCCTGGGGGTCAAAATCACTCCAGATCGAGAGCCACTGACTTACAAGTATATTCCCACCGTGTTCTCATTCATGGTCTCTTCCACTTCCTTTCCCCATTCTGTTCTAGCCCCCTCTAGCTCCAGCCTCCTTGCTCTTTGGCCTCTGCTTGAGGCTTTGCACTGGCTGTTCCCCGTGCACAGGATTCTCCCTTAGCCACACGACTCCTTCATCCCCCATCCCACCTGCAAATAGAGCATTGCTTAGCAATGACCCCATTTCAAGTTGTAATACAGTCCCTGTTACCAGGTTCAGGTCACCACATCTAGAGACCAGGTTCTTGGTCTTGTCAGAGAAAGAATTTGAGGACAGACACAGAGGAGACTTAAAGAGGTTTATTAATGCAAAGCAAAGTGAACGCAGAGCAAAAGTGCCCTCTCCGTGTAGAAGGGTGGGCAGGCTCAAGAAGGAGGGCCACCCAGAAGGTTCCAAGACCTTGAGTTTTACTGGGGTCTGTGGACATGGGTGGTCAGTCCTGGAAATCTTGGCTATGTGTCATCAACCGCTCCCCTTGTTGGGGGAAGTGTGAGTTCTTGGCCTTTGATGGTCAGACCAGGGCTGTCATTTTGCTCAGACCCTGTGGGCTTCACAGCAGCAGGCCCTGCCACAGGTCACAAGTCATTCCTTTAATGACATCGGCAGTCTAGGACATGATTCCTATCAACATCCGAGCCATTGTTCCCCGCTGGAGCACAGCCCTCACTCCAGCCTTGCCCACCCCTTTTCTCTCCTGCATTTTTAATTTTACCGTCCCGTAGTACAGAACACCTTCTCATATATTGCACGGTTTACTCCTTTTATCGCAATCTTTCTTGTCAATCAGGATGTCAGCTCCACTAGCCATAGAGATTGCTCTCTCTCACCTGCTCCCTCGGACTGTGCCTGTCACATCAGAGCAGCTCAGGAGCTTTATTTACTCATTTAATTTTTTGGCAGTACTGGGGTTTGAACTCAGGGCCTTGGGCAGAGCTCTCCTACCTGTGCCATCTCCCCAACCTGTTTGCCTTTAGTTTATTTTTCAGGTAGGATCTCTTGCTTTTGCCTGGGACTGGCCTCAAACTGTGATCCTTCCTACCTCTGCCTCTCAAGTAGCTGGAATTACAGGCATACACCACCATGTCGGGTTACTTATTTATTATTTTGAGGCAAGGTTCTCCCTATGTTGCCCAGCTTCCCCTGAACTCTGGGGTCAAATGATCCTCCTGCTTAGGCCTCCTGGGTAGGGGGTACTCCAGGCATGTACCACCATGCCCATGAATGAATGGATGAATTACAGTGTGGGTATCTCTAATTATTTTCTACTGCCATTCCCCACAGGAACATAGTTGACAGAGAAAAAAGTAAACAGTCCTACCATACCTTTGAGATCAACTACTGTGCTCAGTGTCTGAGCTCCATATCTCTGGTAAGCCAGCTTTTGCAAATTTCATTTCATTTCCCGTGAACAAATACTAATCTACCTGTTAGAGGGGAAGAGGGTGACATTGTAACACGACTGGTCGGAGCGGAGCAATCAGAATCAGTATTTCCCCCTCCTTATCATTCCCCGTTCTTTCCTTTTTTTTTTTTCTTCTTTGGTGCTGGAGGTTGAACTCTCAGCACACTCTGTACCTCAGAGCTGTGCCCCCTCAATCCCTCCTTATCACTTTGTTATACTTAGAGCCTCTGAAATCCTCTATTCTGGCTCCTCATAAACCCTGTCACCGGCGATTATGAGCTGTACTCAGCCCACTGGGCTGTGGAACACCAGAACCCACTCCTTTTATCCAACTGTGTTTTGGTCCCTGTTATCCAACTGGTACCACCCTCCCTGAAGCCCTTCTGAACCTCAAGTAGTCACTATTCTACATTCAGATAGACTTTTTTTTTAGTTTCCACATATGAGAGAGAATGAGATCTTTCTATGTCTAGCTTGTTTCACTTAGTAAGATCCTACAGTTTTATCCATTTTGTTGCAAATGACAAGATTTCATTCTTCTTCATGGCTGAATAATATTCCATTGCACATATATACTACATTTTCTTTATCCACTCATCTGTCGACAGACTCCTAGGTTGATTTTGTGTCTTATTATTGTAAACAGTGCTGCAATAACCATGGGAGTGCAGGTATCTCTGATATGTGATTCATTTCTGTTGGATACAGAACAAGCAGTGGCTATCTGGATCAGGCAGTAACTCTATATTTAGTGTTTGAGAAGCATCCACAGTAAAGGGGGCACAGAAAGAGTATGACAACAAACTGGGTGCTAGTGGCTCACACCTGTAATCCTAGCTACTCAGGAGGCAGAGATCAGGGGGATTGTGGTTCAAAGTCAGCCCAGGAAAGATGAAAGTGAGACCCTATCTCAAAAATATCCAACACAAAAAAGGGTGAGAGCATGGCTCAAGGGGTAGAGTGCCTGCCTAGAAAGTGTGAGGCCCTGAGTTCAAATCCCAGTAAGTTGACATCAAGGTGGGGGATGAGCATGAGATGGAAGGGGACGGAGGGAAGAGGAGCCAGAATCCCGGTATCCGGGTCTTACAGCCATTGGGTCAGGGGAGGGGAAGGGAGGTGGTGTGGGGAAGGTGGAGGAGGAGGAGGAGCTATTTGGCCTCTGGGAGTGTCACCATCAATAGCAAATCTGGAAAGGTGACAGTAGCACTACCGAGAGAGTGGTTGTGAAGATTAATGACATAGCCTTGGTAAGTGAGTGTGACTGGTGTCCAGCACAGTGTGACATTCTGGATACCATGTTGTCTTGCTATTACGGTGCTCGGAGAGGCTCACTGAGCATCGGGTCACCTAACTCCTCCTAACTCCCAACTCCAGGCTTACCGGAGATCCAAGAACAGCCTCTCAGAGCTCCTTGATTCCATCAGCTTGTGGCAGAAGACACTCAAGGTCATTGGAGGCAAGTTTGGAACCAGTGTCCTCTCCTACTTCAACTTCCTCAGGTGGCTCCTGAAGTTCAACGTTTTCTTCTTCGTCGTGATCTTCAGCTTCATTGTCATCCCCCAGTTTACGGTGGCCAATAGCAACACCGTGCGGTTCACTGGCTTGGAGTTTTTCACAGGGGCAGTAAGTTCTCCATTTCCTCTGCCTCAAGTTCACCACCTGGGACTTCCAAGGTCACACCTTGCCAGTACCTAGCCAGGCCTCTCGTTTTGCAGGAGGGTTGGCTGATGGGAGAAGTGGGCGTTTGATATGTGTCCCTTTCCCCAAGCAATGTGTACGTGACCTTGCGGGATTTCCTTCTAGCGGTAGTCACTGCTGAGTTTGTGCTTTTATCCACACGCCATTTTTTTGCACACATCTATGTACAGACGCAGGCACTTTTTCCTTTTCTTTTGTGTCTTTGAGGGATGAACTCCTTCTTCCATGTTGACAACTGCTAGCTTTCTCTCATTTAACAGCAATGATGGACATCTCATACTAGAGATGCATTTTCTACAAAATACAGTGCTCCTTTGGGAAAATTCCTACTATAGAAGAGAGTGAAGAGGAAGGCCATTTTACCTTTCTCCCCTCTCTAATTCTCCAGCTTGGGGTGTATCACTGTAAACCACGTGAGCTTCCTGAGTAGCCAGGATTGCAGGCGCGAGCCACCGCGCCCTGAGGAAGCTTCCCACACAGTGACCCTCACATTGAGCAATAGGCCGATGGATGCTAGGTAGTGGATAAAGAGATAAGCCATAGACACAGGGATAATGATTCTTTTAAAAAATCAAAAGAGCTGGGTGCCGGTGGCTCCCGCCTGTAATCCTAGCTACTCAGGAGGCAGAGATCAGGAGGATCTTGGTTCAAAGCCAGCCCAGGGAAAAACCCTTCTGGTGGAGTGACTCAAGGTCACTCAAAAGAGAAGGGCTGGGGTGTAGCTTCGTGGTAGCAACCTTGTCTAGCACATGTGAGGCCCTGGATTTCATACACAACACCACAAAAAAATATTTTCAATGAAAGAAGGATATGATTGCGCTACAAATCTTCCTTTGCAACTTTTTTTTTTTTTGCTTCACTATGTATCTTGGGCATTTTTAGAAATCTTAATTGTTCTAAATATGAAAATGCCACCATGATTTACTTACCCAGCTCCTTATCTAAGCATCTAACCCCTGCCTTGAGAGTTGACCTTGAAAGGATTCATGGCACTGAGATTCTGTAGAGCAGAGATTCCCAACTATGACCCAAGAGTCGAATTCAGCCATCTGTTCTGTGTCCTCTGTGAACTAAGATTGGGTTTTACGTTTATAACTGGTTGAGAAAGAATCAAATGAAGAGAAACGCTGCTGGGTGTGGTGGTGCATTGTGGCCCAGATTATCAGGAAGTGGAGACACACTCTGAGGTCACCCCGGGTGAAAGAGCGAGGACAAACAAACAGTGCTGAAGGTGTGGCTCGAGTGCACCTGCCTAGCAAGCACGAGGTCCTGGGTTCAGTCCTCAGTGTCACCAAAAGAAAAAGAAAGGGGAACATTATGTTAACACAAAAATTATGTGAAACGCACAAAACTGACAGCGTCTAGCTCTATATTAAAAATGGTTGCCGACTCCTGCAGCAGAATGTTCAAAGTAGGTTTCTTCCATATGTCATTTTTTTCTTTTTTCTGTTAGAATATTTTCTTTGAGTTCGATGCATCAGAATGGAATTAGTGTGTATATTTCTCCTTTAGTTTTCCTATTACTTTGTAGTGTAATAAACACCCATATACCCATATGTAGATTTTAAGTGGATTTACTGTTTTGGGAAGTATTTTAACATAAATTGCAGACATCAGAACATTTCATTCTGAAATTCATCAACACACATCTCTGAAAAATAAGGACATATACCTGCAATCACAGTCAACAAAATTAAAAATGATTATCAGCTAAAATCCAAACCATATTCAGATTTTCCCAAGCATCCCCAAATATCTTTTGAGCTTGCTGTTCAGACCAGAATCTGATCAATGATCAGACTTTGCACCCTGTTGGTTTTTCCCTTGAACTGTCTGACTGTTTCCTGTAGTCTCTCTAATTTCATTTCCCTGTTTCCTTATTTCCCATAAGCCGCAATGTGGACCCAGAGGCTTGAAGTTTCCTGTGTAACACATTTGCTGTAATCGTCCACACCATGGCTGGCTGTCATGCATTCGATGGTGTTTTCTTGGCCCCCAAGTCCAGGTGGTGGTGGCTGGAGTCTTCTATTGTAAAATCGTGTGGGTTTGGGATTCTTTTCAACTCCAAAAACCTAGTGATAAAACGTCTGGTTCCTCAGTGGCCACAAGGAGTCCCTTTCTTGGTAAACGACAGCCAATCCTCAGCCTCCACAGGTTGTGAATCCTTGAATTCAGTCAATAGCAGGTTGAAAATGTTTTTAAAAATTGCATGTCTGCTGAACATATACATACAGTCTTCTTATCATTATTCCCTAAACCATAGGCTGGAGCAAGGGTTTACATTGTATTGGGTATGGTAAGTCACCTAGGGATGATTTAGAGCTTACAGGAGAATGTATGTGGGTTCTGTGCAAATTTTAAGCCATTTTATGGAAGGGACTGTAGCATCCACACGTTTTGCTAGTCCTGGAACCAATGCCCTGGGGGTGTGTGTGAGTGTGTAAACTGACCCAAGCTTCCTGCAGACAGGAATTGCCCCTGCTGTCCACAGTCACTTGCCTTTCTCTCAAGAAATCCATCTGACCTGGATCTCTCTCTCTTTCTCTTTCTCTGTACTGGGGATTGGACTTGAGAGCAAGCTCTACCACTGGAGCTACACTCCTGCTCTTTTTGCTTTTAGTTTCTTTTCAGATAGGATCTCATGCTTTGGCCCAGGCCATCCTTGTACTGAGATCCTGCTACCTCTGCCTCCTGAGTATCTGGTACTATAGGCATGCACTATCACACCCAGCCTACCTGAGCTGAATCTCTGCATTGCTCCCTTCAGGGTTATTTTGGGAACACGGTGATGTACTATGGCTTTTACACCAACTCTACGATCCAGCACAGGAACAGTGGGGCTTCCTATAACATGCAGCTAGCCTACATCTTCACCATTGGAGTCTGCCTGGTCATCTGCTTCTTCATTTTGCTGTCCAGGTACAGAGTGTTGCTGTGTCTTGATCCTGAGGCTCATTTGAGACTTACACAAAATCCAAGTCTGGGAAATCAACCCAGGAAACAGTCTCTGCAATTTTTAATTTTCGGTCACTGTCTAATCATTCCTTGTCATGCTATGTAAAATATGAGTTGGGCAGAGAATGAGAGGTTTTATGTACTCTTCAATAAATTGTCAGTTTGGACCAGGTGCAGTGGCACATGTCTGTAATACCAGCACTTGGTAGGTAGAGACAGGAGGATCATGGTTCAAGGATAGTGCTGATAAAAGGTAGTGAGACCCTATTTCAAAAACAAGTTGGGCCTGGTGGGGCACATCTATAATCCCAGCTCCTCAGGAGGCAGAGGTAGAAGGACTGAGGTCTAAGGCCAGCCTGAGCTAAAGACCCTATCTGAAAAATAAAACAAAAGAACTGGGGGAGTAGCTCAAGTGGTAGAGCACTTGCCTAGCAAGCATGAGGCTCTAAGTTCAATCCCCAGTATCTCCAAAAGAGGAAAAAAAGCAGGAAAGATACTGGTCAGTCTGAAAATAAAGGTGGGATTACCTGGACAGGAGGACGTGGATGGACAGTTGGCAGAGGGGAGGTATAGATGAGAAGTGCACATGGAAAAGTGGTTCAGCACCTGTGCCCATTTGCAGAGCACAACAGACCAGGTGGCTGAAGCAACAGAAATTTGTCTGTCACAGCTCTGGAGGACAGAAGTCCGAGCTCAAGAGGCCATTAGGGTTGTAGTCTTCTGACAGCCTCTCTCCTCAGCCTGGAGATGGCCATTGCTCTACTTTGGATCTGGAATGTCCCCCAAAGGCCCATGTATTAAACGCTTGGTCCAAGCTGGTGCTGTGGCTGATACATAGCAAGCACAAAGCTCCGAGTTCAAACCCCAGTGATGAAAAAAGGAGAAAAAAAGCTACCAATTACCAATAGAACAGAATAGAAGACCCAGAAATAAAACCACATAACTACAACCACCTGATCTTTGAGAAAGGAGCTAAAGATGTACACGGGAGGTAAAAGCCTCTTCAACAAATGGTGCTGACAAACTGCCTATCTACATGCAGAAGGTGAAACTGGGCCCCGGTGCCTCACTCTGTACAAAAACCAGCCCTAAACAGATAAAGATCCTAAGGGAAGACCTGAAACCACAGGGAAACTCTGGAAGGTACAGGCATACGCAGATATTTTCTGAAGACTCCAATTGACAGGAAATAAGAGCAAGGACTGACAAATGAGACTGTTTCAAATTAAAGTGTTTGCGCACATCAAAAGAAACAGTTACCGGAATCAAGAGTTAACCCAGAGAATAGAGAAAATCTCCACCAGCTATTCAACAGATAAGGGATTAATAGTGAGAATATACACAGAGCTCAAAAAACTAAACAGCAAAAGAACAAATAATCCAGTTAGAAAAGGACAAATAAACTGAACAGACAGTTCAGGGTCTTTTGTGATGACCTGGGGCATTTTGCTTTCTTTCGTCCCTAGCATGGCCAAATATTTCCGGAATAACTTCATCAACCCCCACATCTACTCCAGAGGAATCGCCAAGCTGGTCTTTTGCTGGGACTTCACTGTCACACATGACAAGGCTGTGAGGCTGAAGCAGAAGAACCTTAGCACCGAGATCCGGGTAAGGCCAGTCCACCTTGCCCAGCCTCTTTCCATGCCAGCCTCCTTCCCTCCTCCTATGTGTCTTTAACTTTCTTGAAGTAAGCATGAATTATTTTTTAATGCCTGTGAGGTTAGCCAAAAATATTTGCAATACCTAGTGCTGGTGATGGTGTGGGAAGGACATTTTCACATGACTTGGGGCTTTGTAATTGGTACAGCCTTCCTGGTGCACAATTTAGCAATCTATGTCAAAATATTAAATTGCAGCCTGGTGTGATGGTGCACGCCTGTCAATCCCAGCACTTGGGAGGCAGAGGCAGGAGAATCACAAGTTTAAAGCCCAGCCTGGGCTCCACAGTGACATTAAAAAAAAAAGGGGGGGGGGCTGAAGCTGCAGCTCAAGTGTTAAAGCACCTGCCTAGCAAATGTGAGGTCCTGAGTTCCAACCCCTGCACTGTCAAAACAAACAAAAACAGAACAGAACAAAAACTGAAAGGGCTCCATGAGCTCATGGCCTTGAAGAACAATCTCTTCCTTCCACCTGCTCCTCTAAGCTGGAAAGGGAGTGTGATGGGGTTGATGATGGGGTTTTTGGCCACAGAGAGATTCTCCCATAATGCATTTCTGTGATGAACTTCCCACTCAGTCTCACCTGCGGGTCTGGGCTGACTTTGAGTCCCTGGACACAGCAAGGGACGACCAGGGATGGTCGTTCACAGTGCAGAGGGACCAGTGGGTCAACTTGACTTTCTTGCATTGGTAGGAGAACCTGTCGGAGATCCGTCAGGAGAATGTCAAGTTCACATTTCACCAGCGGCTGACCCGCTTTTCTGTTCATGTGATGGCCTGGCTTGTCTCTACTGGAGTGGCTGTCGCCTGCTGTGCAGCTGTGTATTACCTGGCTGAGTACAACTCTGAGGTAACTGGTTGGGCAGGACCACCAGGTCCAGAGCAGGGAGCCAGGGGATGGGCTGGGATGTAAAGCCGCTTCTCAAGCCAGGATCTATGCATCTGTGGCCAGGCCAGCAGCCCCCATGTCACAAGAAGCTTGTTTAAAACTGCAGAACCTCTCCCTCCCCAGAAGGGACTCAGAATCTGTACTTGCATGAGGTCCCACATAAATGCATGTTACAGACTGAGACGCTCTGGGCTAGTGGAGACATGGGACTGGCCACAGACCTGGGGTCAAGTTCTCATTTCTTCCTTAATTGTATCCTCCATGCATCCCACGGTGCCTGGCACAGAGTAGGCGCTCAACAAGAGCAGCGATCTGGTGGCTTGTGCAGTGATTTAATATTGCCAAGCTCTGTGCTCCTCATCTCTGAAATGGAAAGGATCCTACCTGGGTTTTGTAGGTGTGTGGTCAGGAGGAGAGAAAAGTTATATGGATGGTTTATCTCTGCCAGGGCACCCTGGTTCCAAGACACTGCCAGCATGCAAGGTGTGCTTTTAAGCCATCCAAAGGTGGGTGGAAGCAGGGGCAGGCCTGGGGAGCTTCTGATCTTCCATTTCATGTACTGGGTGATCCCAGGCAAATGCCTTTGCCTCTCTGAGCTTCAGTGTGCTTGGTATACTGTAAATGCTAAGTAAATGGTCATTTAATAGTTAACCTCAGTTGAGCTGCTTCTGGGGTTTTCCCACTATGCCAGCCTTCTGAGTGACACAGAATCCAGTATCCAGCTGGCATCTCTCGTCTCTCCTCCATCCCTGCAGTTCCTGAAGGCGCACAAGAACCCCGGGGCAGTGCTGCTACTGCCTTTCGTTGTGTCTTGTATCAACCTGGCTGTGCCACGCTTCTACTCCATGTTCAGGCTGGTGGAGTGGTACGAGATGCCGAGGCATGAGGTCTATGCGCTCCTGATCCGGTAGGTGTGGCTGTTGTGCCCAACATCTGCCTCATTTCCGGGGAGTTAAAAAGGGTTCTGCTTAAATCCCAAAGTTCTATTCTCCAGAAGGAAGGAATCCGAAGCATAAAGTGGGTTCGTGTGGTGTGGGTTAATGGCCATGAAGGAACCCTGGGAAAATACACATATGTGTACACATATCACATCATATCAAAGTCATGCCTTACCTTTCTCAATGGCTAACAGCCTGAAGATTAACCTCGTTCTCCAGTTCACCTGTACTTATCTGTACAGGTGAGCAGGCAGCGCACTGCACAAGGGATTCTGGTTGAGGAGTTGTGTATGGACTGAAATCATCCAGTGTTAAAACTAAGCATCATCCCAGGGGAGGAGGCACAGTTTTGTAATAAAGCCACCCAAACAGAGGTGGGAAAGTGCTTTTGGTGATTTAGTGGCTCAGATGGGGACCCCTGTTGGTGATTCCCACAAGATGTCATATGTGTTAGAGGTGACTCCAGGATTTTGGTAAGCAAAGGCTAATGTTGCCCAAATCCTGACATGTCATCTTCATCCTGGCTGCTTCCCTGGCTCATTCCTGGCTACGATAATTAGTCTGCACAATGCAGACGGTGTTCCCTTACTGATCACTTCCGGAGACGGCTTCTCACTGTGGCTGCTGATATCTAGATCCCTGCTGGCCAGTGCTCCAGCCTGTTTTCTGCCTCTGTCCATCTTGATCTCCACCCCTCTCCTCACTGGCCTCCTAAGTGTTCATGAACAGGCCCCACTATGTACCTATCCCTGGGCCTTTGCACTGGCTATTCTTCTGCCCAGATAGCCACATGGCTGTATTTTGACTTCTGCTCAAACGTTACCTCTCAGAGAGCTCTTCCCTCAGGGAAGAGACCACCCTATTAAAAATAACAGCTCCTACCTCCTTTCTCCCCTGCATTATTATTTTCTTACCACTGTCTAACATTTTTATTTAATGATTCTCAATCTCTCCCCCTCCCCTCTCCCCCCACCTTTCTCTCTCTCTCTCACACATTAATGGGGAAATTTTTGCCTTGTTCCCAATAACTTGGAACATAATAGATGATCAAGAATAGTGGGTGAATAAATGAATGAACACGTCAACCACTCAATTATATCCAATCCATACTACAATAACTCCCACTAGCCAAGCACTGGAGCTTACGCCTATAATCCTAGCTACTTGGGAGGCTGAGATAAGGTGGATCACAGTTCAAGGCCAGCCTGGGTGTTAGTTCATGAGACCCTATCTCCAAAATAACCAGAGCAAGGGGTTGTCGGAGTGGGTCAAGCAGTAGAGCACCTGCTTAGCAAAATAACCAGAGAAAAATGGACTAGAGGTAAGGCTCAAGTGGTAGAGCACTTGCTTTGCAAGCACAAAGCCCCAAGTTCAAGTCCCACCAAAAAAGAAAAAACTCCAACCAGAGGTGATTCCTATACCCTCAATATTTCTTCACATCCCACCTGGACCAGGGAACCCCTTTGTTAGTTGTGAATGGAGGGAAAATATTAGGTCTCCCTGTCACCCTATAACCTTGCATGTTGGGTAAGATGGACATAACATGCCCTCTTCCTGGGGTAGGCTCATAAAGACCAAGGGGGATGATTCTGGAAAGTGGTGCTCTTGGGTCAGTGCCCAGTGAATATTAGGTACATTTGCTATCATTACAATGGGAAGTACAAGAGTGTGTCAGTCAAGATAAATTAGGTTATGCTGAAGTTACAAAAAAAACAAAACCCTATTCTCAGTGACCTGGGACACTAGTTTTATTTCTTACTCGTGCTCCTGTGCATTCTGGACTAATGGGAAGGTTCTGACCATGCAATTCACAGAGGGGTCCAGGCTGAAAGAGTGGTGTCCCTCTGGAATACTGGAGGGCAGTGAGTGCTGGAGGATGTCACTCTGGCATGCAGAGTGACAGATCAGAAGTGACACAGCGATGCACATCACTTCTGCTCACAATTCAGTTTGCTTGTAGAACTACTCTTATGGCTTCACCTAGCCACAGCGGGGCAGGGACGTCTGTCCGACCTCGTGCCCAGAGGGAAATACTAGCAAAGGGAGTGAGAGACGTCCATGTCCACGTCCACAAGGGTAACAAGCTCTCTCTTTTCCATCACTTAGAAACATCTTTCTGAAAATATCAATCATTGGAGTTCTTTGTTACTATTGGCTCAACATCGTGGCCCCATCTGGTGAACAGGTGAGAGTTCCATGCTATTCAGCCCTAAGTTTTGTTTCTTGGTCTTTGATCATCGGGGAGGATGTGAGTTTCTCAGCCATCACTTCTCTTTGGCTTTGATCCTGTGCGGGGAGAACAGAACTAGTCTGGGAGGCAGCATAGAGCCGAGGGGCCTCCATGAAAATGCTTGGACCCGATGCAGGGACCAGCAGTGTTACCTAAGTCACTCGATCTCTTCAAGTTTCTGTTCACATCTGAAAAATGGTAATTAAACACCATCATGAGTAATACAAGCACCGTGCCTGGGGTGTGGTGAGCGTGCAACAGATGGTTGCAGGTAATTTTGATGTCAATCTGTCCTAACAGCGTTGGATTTGATCAAGGACAGGATCCGTGATCAGAATGTTTTCTATAATCCTGAAACATGGGCTTTACTGCTCTGGAGGCCCATAGCGTGCTCAGTACAGTTCTGTCCCACCCTCGACGATTCCTGGCTTCCCCTCACCTGACCAAGGCTCTTCAGTCTTCCCTCGCCTCAGACAATGGGTGTCTAACCCACCCACTCTGCTTCTGTGGCTAGAGAATGATCCCTCAGCACACTGGTTTCCTTAGCTTTGGGCTGTCCCAAGCTTTCAGGAACCCGAGGATGTTGCCAACTGTCTGTCACCCTTTTCCCTGGACCCCAGAATAACTCTGCTCTGTCCAGACTCAAATTATCTCACATGAATACAACTCTCTCTCCTCACCCTAATGGTAAAAGAAGATCAAGAGCAGTCCTCCATGTGAGGCTGGTTAATGAAGATACCATATTAAACTCTGTCCATCCATCCATCCATCCATCCACCTGTGTTCATCCATCCGTTTATTCACCTGTCATCTGTCTATCCACCCCATCCATCCGTTCATCTATCTACCCATCCATTCCATCCATCCGTTTATTCATCTGTCATCTGTCTATCCACCCCATCCATCCGTCCATCCATCCATCTACCCATCCATTCCATCCATCCGTTTATTCATCTGTCATCTGTCTACCCACCCCATCCATCCATCCATCTATCTACCCATCCATTCCATCCATCCATTTATTTATCTGTCATCTGCCTATCCACCCCATCCATCCGCCCATCTATCTACCCATCCATTCCATCCATCCATTTATTCATCTGTCATCTGTCTACCCACCCCATCCATCTGTTCATCTATCTACCCATCCATTCCATCCATCCACTTATTCATCTGTCATCTGTCTACCCACCCCATCCATCTATCCATCTATCTACCCATCCATTCCATCCATCCACTTATTCATCTGTCATCTATCCACCCTCATCAATCTACCCATCCACTTGTCTACCTATCCATTCATCCATCCATATCCATCCATCCATCTACCTACTGCATCCATTTATCTACTTACCCATCCATTCACCTGTGCCCGCCCCTACCTTCCTCCCTCCATCTCTCTCTCCACCAGTCCTTGGGCTCTGCACCCATCCGTGGGCTCTTTCAACCAACTCTAAAAGCTCATAGCACTGTTTCCTGCAGAACTTACTGAACAGAAGGTTCATAAATTGGCCAATTAAAGTTTCCAGTGTACACTAGCCTGCCACACCCCTAGTCACTTTCTTAATCAAGCACATAGTAATTGCTTCTCTGTGGGGTCAGTAGAAAAAGAGGAGTGCATTCTTCATCATCACTGCTTCTGATTTCTGAACAAGCTGAGAAGCTCTGGCTGAGAAATGGGAACGGAAGGGTTAGGACAGAGATGAAAGGTCTTCAAAGGAGAGCTCATGGAGACAGTTTTGGTACATGTGGAGGAAGAAGGAGGAGCACAGAAAGAGAAGAACAACCAGAAAAAAAACTTGGCTGCATCTGTGCAGAGAGTGGGTCTGCTTTTCTGGATACACATGGCTGGGTCAATCTGAGCCCCCTGCCCTGTCCTACTGAGCCTACAGAGCCAGGGATGGAACACATAAGAACTGAGCTGGGTGACAGCCTCTGTCACATCCTGGCTCTTGTCTACCTTGCAGTGCTGGGAGACCTTCATCGGCCAGGAGATCTACCGGCTCCTTCTGATGGATTTCGTGTTCTCCTTAGCTGATTCGTTACTGGGGAGTTTCTGAGGAGGTAAATACTGTCAGTCATGAGTAATTATCCTGGTGTTATAGCTGGAGCCTGAGTCCTGGCTGAGAGGAAAATGTGGGTCCCTTGTATACCCCATTGTCCTTTGGGACCTTGTTCTTTTCTAAATTAAGTGAAATTTCACCTTAACCCAACATTCCTGTGGCCATGGTTCATTGGATCCTGTTGACCCTTTATGATTTCTCTTGGAAAAAAAATTCTAGGAGTAAAATAGAAAAGGAGCCTTATGAAATCTCCATTGGAGACAATTTTAATATTACAGTGTAAACAGCTCCAGATTTTTCTTTGCACACATCACTGGGAGTGTATATATTGTACAAGGCCATATAATTTTCCCCAAAATGGGGTCACTGAGAACTGCAGAGTGATTTAATGTGCACAGCACAAGAAGTTTTGTTTGTGGACATTAAAATCCTTGTGAGGTTTGGTTTTAATCGCAGACTATGCCTGGACACAGTTCCATATCAGTACATAGAGATTTATCGCATTGCTTTAAATTAAAATATTAATTTTTATTTTAGATATCAGATGTACAGCCTTGATGTACTGTTATCATCGGTCTGTATGTGGTTCTTTTTGCTGGGGATGGATCCCAGGGCCTTGTGCATGCTAGGCAAGCGCTCCACCACAGAGTCACACCCCCAACTGCATTATTATTATTATTAATTCATTTTTAAAATAATATGACAAGCATCTCTTCCTTCTAGACAGTCACACTCTTTTGTGGTGCTGGGGATGGAACCCAGGGCCCTACACGTACAGGGTAAACGCTCGATACCGAGTAACACCCCAGCCCCCGACATATGACTGTAAGTTTTTCTAGAGAAGAAATTCTGTGATGTAATGCCAGTTTCTTTTCTCAGTGGGTAGGTTGAATGTCAAATTCACTTTCATTCCAGCCTCTGTCCAAGGACCTGGACAGAAAGGCAGAAAGTTGGTTTTTTTGACAGAACTTTTTTATTGGCAACTTTCCTGTATAAGGAAGTTAATAAGCCATGTGCCACCGCTCACGCCTGTAATCCTAGCTACTCGGCAAGCAGAGATCAGGAGGATTGAGGGTCAAGGGCAGCCCAGGCAAACAGAACAAGACCCTATCTCATAAATACCCAACACAAAACAGCTGGAAGAAAGGCTCAAGTGGCAGAACGCTTGCCAGCAGCATAAGGCCCTGGGTTCAAACCCCAGTATGGGAAAAAGAAATCAGTGAGATTTCGAGTTTTTCCAGAGTAAATGGTTTCTTGGTTACCTCCTTGTGGATATTTGAAACTGGAAAACATCACTAAATTTCATGGCAGTAACCATAAATTTAAATTTTGGGGGTTTATTTGGCTGGGACTGGAGCTCAGTTGTAGAGCACTTGCTGGGCTTTGCTACTCATTACTAAAAAAAATTTGTTTTTTCTGCTCACTTGGTTTGGGAGGTGCTGAGTTTATCTGGATCATGAAAAGGGGGTTAATAAGCAAAGAGTAGTACAGACGAGGGAGTAGGAAGAATAACTTAAATCAGGAGTGCTAACAAGTGTTTCCTAGAATTTAAAAATCACTTAAAGCTGGGTGCTGGTGGCCCACACCTGTAATCCTGGTTACTTGGGAGGCTGAGATCAGGAGGATTCAGTTGAGGCCAGCCTGGGCAAATAGTTCTCGAGACCCATCTCAATCAATGTGCACCTTGCCATGCCAGCTATGGCAAGAAGCCTAAAATAGGAGGATGGGATCCAAGACTTGCCTGGGCAAAAAGTGAGACCTATCTCCAAAATAACCAGAGAAAAAGAATCTGGAGGTTTGGCTCAAGCAGTAGGGAGACTGCCTAGCAAGCCCGAGGCCCTGAGTTCAAACCCCAGTTCCACAAAAAAAAAAAAAAAATCAATTTAGCAGTACCCCATTTGACTGCATCATGCTGATTCCCTTTTCCCCTCAACTCCTCAGTTATTAAGATACTTATATCTTTGGAACTTTTCAAATATCTCCTAGGGAACTTGCAACTTTATTCTCCCCTGGTGAGGATCACCTGTTGACCTCCAGGTTTGTGGAGGAGCTTTGGAAGTGGGGAGGTTTTGTGGCTTGGGAGCTCATCTCAGTCCATTTTCACAGGCTTATTGGGATGAAATGCATCACAAGTCTTGGCTTACAGGAATTTGACATTGCCAGGAATGTACTAGAACTGATCTACACACAAACTCTGGCATGGTAAGTTTGAGGGCTTGGTAGGATGCCCCAGTCAACTCCTACCTGACCACATGTGCACTTGGAATTTTGTTTTAAAAGCTGCATGGGTGGCGCCAAACCCAGATACTCTGAGAGGCCTATGGTTAGCCTCTGGACTATTCTTTATCCTCACAGGCCTCAAGGACTTCAGATGCAAGTCAGTGCAGAGCAGGGGTTTCAACCTGGAGGCCACTAGGCCAAATGCGGCTAGCAGGGGTGACTCCTGTGTCCCACACAGGGTTTTTTCCTAAAAATCTGAGTGTGAATGTTTATGCCCCTAAAATTCATATGCTGAAACTTAATTGTCAGTGGGATGGTATTAATTACCAAGCCAGATCTTTGAGTGGAGCCCTTATGTGGATGGGATTGGTACCCTTAGACAGGCAGACACACCAGGCCCCTTCCACCATGTGAGAACACAGCAAGAAGGTGCCATCTAGGAACCAGGAAACAGGTCCTTACCAGACACGGAATTTGCCAGGCTTAGATCTTGAACCCCAACCTCTGGGACTGTGAGTGATAAATTTCTGGGTTTCCAAAGTCAACCAGTCTGTGGTACTTTGTAATAGCAGCTCGAATGGATAATACAGCCACCAAGATTTAAAAATCAGGAGATAAAATTGAAGTTTCTGAGTTCACTCCAGAAAGACCTGGCCCATCTGCCATCATGGGCCCATTTGACCAGATCCAAACCATGGCGAGTGTCTCCATTTTGCCTCAGTCTCTCCTTTGAATGGTTCCTGGCACTGACCTGCAGCTCTCCTGACAATATGCTGTTTTTTTTTTTTTTTTTGGTTGGTTTTTTTTATGGTGGGAAATTTGATTTTGAGCCCATGTCTCAGCAGAAGAGGGAGAGTAAAGGCAGAGAGGATCATGTGTTCCTTACGCCTGGTCTGCTCTGCCTTCAGGTGGGGTCTCCATGGCCTTTGGGAGTTTTGACTTCTTTTCCTGTGTGTGTGTGTTGTGTGTGTGCGTGTGTGTGTGTGTGTGTTGTGTGTGTGTGTTGTGTGTGTGTGTGGTGTGTGTGTGTGCGTGTGCATGTGCGTGTGCATGTGTGTGTGTGTGTGTTGTGTGTGTGTGTGTTGTGTGTGTGTTGTGTGCGTGTGCGTGTGCGTGTGCATGTGCGTGTGTGTGTGTGCGTGTGTGTGTGTGTTGTGTGTGTGTGTGTTGTGTGCGTGTGCGTGTGCGTGTGCATGTGTGTGTGTGTGTGCATGTGTGTGTGTGTGTGTGTGTTGTGTGTGTATTGAGGACAGCCAGCCAGTTTCATCAATTTTTTTTCTCTTATTTTGTAATGCGGAGTTTCACAGCAAGGGCCTCGTGCACGCTAGCCAAGTGCTCTACCACTGAGCGTGTCCCCAGATCCTTGCATTCTTTCTTTAATACAAGCTCACCTAGAAACCTCGAGCCAGTAGTCAGGGAGTGTTTTTCCTTATTTATTTTAACATGGAGCGAATGCCAGAATTCTGTATGGAGTGTCAAATACCCAGGGTCCACCTGGCGGTGGGGGAGCTTACTGATTTGAAATTCGTGCCTTTGGAGTTGAATCAACCTGGCTTCTGAGGCTGGCTCTGCCCCTCACTGAGGTCCCTGAGATCTCTGAGCCTCAGTCTCCTCATCTGTAAAATGCTCATAATTGTAGCTGCCTTCAAATGATGACGGTGAGGCTTAACTATGGGAGTGGATGGAAAAGTCTTTGCAAACTCCAGGCTGGAACGTGTTTTCTCTCCTGGCTCTTGAATGTTGCCCTGGTGACTGGCTGTCTGCTCTGAGCACACTCACATCAGTGGATTTTTTTCGGAGATAGTGAGGGTCTTCTTTGGTGTTTTAGGTGATGTGTCTGCAGACCACTCACTGGCAATCTGGCAGCTCACAGAGGCCGTCCCTCACGCTAGTTCAGCTTGCCTTTGGGCAAATTAAAAGATAGAGCTAAGACTACCTAGTTCACAGGGTGTCAGAGGAGACTGAATGGAAAATGCTATGCCAAGGGCTCAGTGAGTAGCTGACTCAGAAAGGCTTTGTAAGCCAGGATCCTATGACTATTGTTATCCTTGTGAGCACTCTTTTAAAAACTCATAAAAATGCATAACAAATAGACCGGGAGCGTTACTCAAGCGGTAGAGCTTCTGCCTACCAAGTGTGAGGCCCTGAGTTCAATCCCTACTATCTCCCCCCACAAAGCCCCCAACGACAAAAAACGCATAGCAAGTCTAATCACATAGTTGTGTAGCCAATCTTCAGAACCTTTTCATCTTGCAAAACTGAAACTATAGCCAGGTGTGGTGGTGCACACCTGTAGTCCCAGTTTTTGGAAGGCTGAGGCAGGAGGATCATGAGTTTGAGGAGCTATAGGGAAAAAGCCTGTCTCAAAACAAAACAAGAGGCCCTGAAAGTTTATACCCATTAAACACCTTCTTCCAACCCCTGGCAACCACCATTCTGCTTTTGGTTCTAAGTTTGACTATGCTAGATACATCACAGAAAGGGAGTCATATATTTATCTTTTTGTGTCTGGCTGATTTTGACAAAGCATAATACCCCGAAGGTTCATCTCTCTCTCTCTCTCTCTCTCTCTGTCTCTCTCTCTCTGTCTCTCTCTCTCTCTCTCTCTCTCTCTCTCTCTCTCTCTCTTCTCTCTTTCTATTTTTCCTTCCTTCCTCTCTCTTTTTCTTTCCTTCCTTCTCTCTTTTTCATTTTTTTGGGAGAGGTACTGGTGTTTAAACTCAGGGCTTCCCACTTGCTAGGCAGGTACTCTACTATTTGAGCTACACCTGCAGTCTCTTTTGGCTCTGGTTATTTTGGAGATAGAATCTTGAGTTTTATCACAGCCATCCTGGACCATGATCCTATTTTATGCTTCCTGCCATCTCTGGAATGACAGGTGTGTGCCACTATGTCCAGCTTTTTCTATTGAGATGGGGTCTCACATAGTTTTTTGTCCAGGCTGATTTGGAACTACAGTCCTTCCAATTGCAGCTTCCAAAATAGCTAGGATTACAGAGATGAGCCACCACACCCGGCAGCATTTCCTTTGAAGGCTGGATAATATCTCATTGTGTATACAAGGCCACATTTTGTTGATGTGTTCATTCATCCATGGACACTTGGGTGGCTTCTACCTTTGGCCATTGTGAATACTGCTACTATGAGCACAAGTGTACAAGTATCTCTTTCAGATTCTGCTTTTAATCGGGTTAGATATAGACCCAGAAGAGGAGTTGCTGGATCAAATAGTATTTGTGAACACACCTAAGTTTTTTGTTTTAAAAGTAATGGGGGCAGCTGGGTACACCTGAAATCTCAGCTACTCGGGAGGCAGAAATAGGAGGGTCGCAGTTCAAGGCCAGCTTGGGCAAAAAGTTATCAAGACCCTTTCTCAAAAACGAGCTGGGCGTGGTGGTACATTCCTGTAATCTCAGCTACTTAGGAAGTGGAGGTAGAAAGATTTCAGACCAAGGCCAGCCCAGGCTAAAGCTCAAGACTGTTTAAAAAGAAAAAAGCTGGGGGAGGGGGAAGGGCTGTCTTTATTTTATAACCATAAATGGAAAACCAGTGCCATTTGACAGAAATCATAAGCCACTGGAAAAAATGAAAACAATCCCATCCCACATAGTCCTTATTTTCTAGCAAGATGCTGCTATCTGCCTGTTCCTTTTTCTTAAAGGAAAAAAAAGGGGGTGGGGGGACGGGGGTGGGGTTTGCCGAGGAAGCCATTCTCACTCTGCACTGAGATGTTCTCTTGGTACTCAGAACACTGCAGGGAGAGTTCCTGAGTCTCTCACTCATGCATTCACTGCCCCTGCAGGACCTCAGGCCTTCGGACACCCTAGGAGGGGACAGCCAGGTGCCCCACATTTGGGACAGGCCAGGTCAGGGCATAATGGAGGCCAGCTGGCTGTGTAACCACCTTTGCAGAGCTGGGGAGAGCAGCCATGGATGCTGGGTGTGGGGGAACCTGCCCGGCTCACTGTGATAAGCACAGTCCCCTTCTGTATTCATCCAAGAGCGGGCTTTGCCACCACCGAGCACCAGTCAGGTGGCTTAAGCCACAGATATTTCTCTTCTCTCAGTTCTGGAGACAAGTCCCAGATCAAGTTGTTGACATGCCGTGGTTCCTTCTGAGGACTGTGAGGCAAGGGTCAGTCCCAGGCCTCTGTCCTTGGCTTATAGATGGCTGTCTTAAACCTGAGTCACCCCTCCAAGCATCTGTGTCCTAATCTTCTTTTAAGGTCAGTGATTGGATTGGATTAGGGCCACTGCAGTGACCTCACTGTAACTTAATTACTGCTTTAACGGTCCTATGTCCAAACGAGGTCAGAGATACCAGGTGTGTGTGTGTGTGTGTGTGTGTGTGTGTGCGTGTGTGAATGTTAGGACTTCATGTGAATTTCAGGGGGACACACTGTGGCCCTGTCTTCCTTTCCTCTGCCGCCCTGCCGTGTCTCTGACACCCTCTCTTCCTCACAGGCTTGGGATCTTCTTCTGCCCGTTACTACCACTAATCCAGATGTTAAACCTCTTCATCATGTTTTACGTCAAAAACGTGAGTCAGACCCAAGTTGCAAGCAGTCAGTGTCCTCAGCCTCGTGCAGCCTGGTCGGGGCTGGAGCTGGTATCACGGGGAGGGAGGTGGGCGCGCCTGCTGGTGTCCCTCCAGCTGCAGAGGGCCATGTTTCTTTCTCTTCAGATCAGCCTCATGATGACTTTCCAGCCCCCGAGCAAGGCCTGGAGGGCCTCGCAGATGATGACGCTTTTCATCTTCCTGCTTTTCTTCCCGTCCTTCACTGGAGTGCTCTGCACACTGGCCATCACCATCTGGAGGTAAGGCACAGTGGAACTTCGCTGGGCTTTTAGATATTGGGTAGTTGGGTTTGTTTTAAAAAGTGGGTTTTGCCAGGTGCATGATGCATGCCTATAATCCCAGCTACCGGGAGGCAGATATAGGAGGATTGAGGTTTAAGGCCAGCCTGACAAAAATGTTAGTAAGATTCAAAGAACAAGCTGGGTGTGCTGGCACATGCCTGTCCTCCCAGCTATGCAGGGACGTAGGTAGGAGGATTGTGGTTAGAGGCTGGCCCCAGGACAAAGCGTAAGACTATCTTAAACACAGCTGAGTCATTATCATCCAGATATGGTGAGGTCAGCTGACCTGGAGATGGTGGCCATTGAGATAGTAGTTTGTTACTCACAGTTCCCAAGGGGAGGGGACACTCCATTCCACACAGGGGCCACATGAGAGACCCAGGGTGGGTCAGGAGGCAGAGGGAGTGAGGGAAAGCATGGACAAGAGCCTTGGTGTGGTTTCCCTGGTAAGGAACAGGTGAGGCAAGGTAGGCAGGCTTAGGATTGGCTAGGCTGAGTAATTGCAGCAGGCTCTGAGATCTTGGAGCTGTCCTGTGTTGTCTGGGGGTGACTGGAGCAGGAAGCAAGTGCTGTGAACCTATTTTTTATTTCTCTGGCTCCTTCTGTATTTATTAATTGAAATTCTGTGCACGTGCCTGACAAAGAAGGTGGCCTTGGTGAGGGCTGGCGGTTGGTTGGTCTGCATGTACAAGTCACGCTCTGTAGACTAGATCTGGAAAGGGCAATGTCCCAGGGCCAGGCAGGCCTCAGATGTCAAAGCTATGCAAAAAACATGCTTACTACAGAGTTCAATCCATGCGTCCTTAGGAGCCCTCAGACACGCCAAGTCTGGGTTTATTGCATGCCCCATAGTCAGGAGCAGCTGCCTCACTTCTGCCAAGTGCTGGAAGCTTCCCAGAGGAGAACAGGATGTCATCACAGTTATCCAACAGGCCCTGTCTGATCTGGCTCTCTTCTCCTCAACCTCACCTCCTTCTGCCTCCATTGCACTGCAGCCCCACAGCTCTGGCTCCACCCCCACACAGGCAGGGTCCTCTCTCTGAAGGACTCTCCCCACTCCCTTTGCCTGGCTGTCTTCTGTCCACAAGTCCATGTCTCAACTCCAAGGTCATCTCCAAAATCTGACCTTCCCAGTCTGCTGTGAGTCCTTAACTCTTTTCTCTCTGAGATTTGAGTTTCTTTCCATCATTCCGTGGTTCCCAGTCACAAATGCCTTTGCTTGAGTCTTTGTCTGATTGTCTCCTCATCAGTTGTCCATCTGAGAGGACAAGGACTAGGTCTGTCTTGTTAAATGTGGAATCCCCAGGGTCTGTCTAGAGCAGTGCCTGATAGAAGGTTGAACGAATGAATGAACGAACAAATGAGTTGATTTTTAGAATACGAGTGGAACTGGAACCATCAGAACTTCAAGCAGTTTCGGGTAGGATACCCTTTCACGATGTCCTTCTTCTCTTGTCACATCTACTGTCCTCACTCTCCCTGACCTCTGGTTTTTGTTCATTTATAACCACCCGCCGCACATGCTCACATCATCACTCTTCTGCTGCCGTAGCTACTGTGCTTCCCTCTTCTTGTTTCATTTTATTTTTTTCTCCATCTTGGTGTTTCTTAATTCAAGTTCACAAAAAGAGAATCTGATTGCCCCCCAGATACTGCAGGATCACTGCCCGGCCTTTGGATTGGGTGGTTGGGTCAGGTGAGACTTCCTGTCCACTTCCAGTTCTAAGAGTCAGTTCTTGGAGTGGGGGTCATACTAGCAAGGGGGTTTCCTTTGAAAGGGGAGTATAGGTGGAGCAGGCAAGAGTTGCTGTTTCCTGGTCCCAAGCCAGAAAGGGCACTGATTATAGAATGCCAGAGACAGTTTTCATCCTTTGTGTTTCCAGGTTGCAACCTTCAGCTGACTGTGGCCCTTTTCAGGGTCTGCCTTCCTTCATTCAGTCCATCTACAGCTGGATTGACACCCTGAGTAAGAACCCTGGCTACCTGTGGGTTGTCTGATCTATCGGAACCTCATTGGAAGTGTGCACTTCTTTTTCATCCTCACCCTCATTGTGTTGTAAGTGGGGTGCCTCGGGAAACTAGGAGGGAAGCCAAGAGCTCTTGGGAACCTTCACTGATGAGACAAGACCAACCCTGGTGACTTGTTTGGAAGGCTAAGAACTACAGCATGACTCTGGACTCAGAATGCTCTTCACTCTACTCAAGTGGTAGTTTTAATACCTTCTGGTTTCTTGCATGACCTCCAAAGAAAAGGATACCTGCCTTACTCTCTCTTCTGAGCTAGGAGAATAAAATAAAGAGTGGCTGTAAGAATGCTTAGGAATGTAATATTTGTGACCCTTGCTGATACTGCAATATGAGAAAATGGGTTGATCATTACTGATATGTAGGATATTGGAGCAAGCTTTTTCTCACTCCTGGTTATTACTGAACCTAACTGTGCCTAACTGAGTGGTGACGGGAGATGCAGAAAGGACACAGGATAGACCAGACAGACAGAAAGTTGGGGCCAGGTGTGTTGGGTACTAGGATAGAGACACCCAGCAGCCTCATTGCTTCTTTTCTCTGTTATTCTTTTCATTTTATTCTGCTTCTTTCTCTCTATCTTATTTATTCTTAAGGCCTTACTCCTTTACAATTCTTTGAAACCTCACTTCTAAAGTCTTCTTTTCTGTTCTTCGAAGTCTCTTTCCTCAGACTCACACTGTCCCATGTTCTCTCTTAGCTTTTCTTTAGAATTATCTCTCTTAAAGTCTTTGCCCTCAGACTTGCACTGTCCCATTAGACTCGCACTGTCCAATGTTTTCTCTTAGCTTTCTTAAAGTCTCAGTCCTTAGACTTGTACTGTCCCATGTTCTCTTCAGCTTTTCTTTAGCTTATTTTCTGAAGCCTAATGTATAAAGTTCTCAGTGCAGACTTTCTATCAACCCTTCTTTAGCAATTCCCTTTAGCAATTCCCCTTTGGCAATTCCCTTTCAGCAATTCTCCTTCAGCAGTTCCTTTCCCTTCAGCAATCCTCCCTCCAGCACTTTCCCTTCAGCAATTTGTTTTCCCCCTTCAGCAATCCTTTTCCCTTCAGGAATTCTTTTCCCTTCAGCAATCCTTTTCCCCTCCCAAATCCTCCCACATCAAAAAGCCAAAAGCCAAAAGCCAAAAGCCCAAAAGCAAAAGCAAAAGCAAAGTAAACAAGGAGTGGAGCAACAGCCCTCGGGGAGGGCGTGACATTGTAACAAGAGGAAACTTCGATCTGCCTCTCTGAAGGTGAACAACTTAGGAAAAGCATCTGTGCTGCATTTTCCTCTTCTGCGGCGGGGCTGTGCCAACCTCAGCCTGTAGAAACATCTTAGGAAAAGCAGCTGCTCTGCATCTTATTCTCACCTTATTCTGTGGCTGGGGCTGTGCGGATCTCAGCCTACAGAACACTGGGTACAGCTGTGCTTAGGTCCAGTTCTCATAGGCTTCTCATAATCCACTCCCCACAGATATTGTGTCTTCATTTTTTAAAAAAATTCATTTCTGACTTCCTGTGAGAAGCAGATTTTGCAAGCACTGGCCTGTTTTCTGTCATGGCATGATTGGTTGGTTGGCTTCTGTTTAGAGGTTGGCCTTGACGTCTCCTTGTAGAAGAAACCCAGCTCAAAGGCACAGATCGTTGGAACCAGTTGATGTAGACTGTAGAGCAATTGCTCTATTTTACAGCTGGGTTGGGTAAGACTTACAGAGAGAGGGTGACTGGCAAAGACAGCTTCCAGGATGCAGAGCCTGTGAGAGTCAGAAGAGGCTAGCATGGGTCTCCTGACTCCTGGTTATCCCTCCTCCCCAACACAGTTGCTTTAGAATGATGACTTGTCCTGGCTCTCGAGTCCTCCAGACTTCTCATTCCCTCAGTCTGGTGTGTGCTCATCACACTTCTGGCACCGAGATGTGTGGGAGTGGTGTTCCTCCCACCAACTAATTTTCCAAATCTCCAACACTAACTGAGTGTCGTACAAACTGAATTCAGTTGTGATACTGGATCTGGATTTAGTGTCAACCCCACAGGTTAAGGTTTTAGTCCTGCAAGGATGGCTGTACTTTAAATGCTAGTTGCAAGTCATCTACACTGTGATGACTAGCTATAAATTCAGAGTCCAAAAGCAATTTCTCAGGTTCAATAATTACTGAAATGATTCACAGAATTCAGGAATGCTCTTTCCTTACTGTTATCAGTTTATTTATAAAGGGTGCAACTCAAGGAAGAGCCAGATGGGGCAAGCAGTGAGGCGGGGTGGCATGACATTCCACACCCCTCTCCTAGGTGGACACAAGTTAGTAACATCATGCGTGCTTGTATTTAATTCAATTTCTAGAGCTCCTCTTTCCTTACCTCAAGGTTATAAGGCAGGCAGGGACTAAAAGATCCAGCCCTTTCATCAGCCTTGGTTCCTCTTCTGGTACTAGCCCCAGATCTAAGCCATCTAGGTCCCCGGCCCACGTTGAACATCTCATCTATTTCAAAAGACACTCACCCACTCTGGAGAATTCTGAAGATTTTAGGAGCTGTGATGCCAGAACCAAAACAAGGACTTGCTAGAGCATTGGCACACTGAAGTTGGCTTAGAAAGTCAGCAATCTCAGGTCCTACCCAGATCTACTAACCACAATATGCTTCCTCCACAATGTTCCAAGAGAACAGCACGGTCTAGTTGCAAGTCATCTACACTGTGATTGACTAGCTATAAATTCAAGAGTTCCCAAAGCAATTTCTCAGGTTCAATAATTTACTGAAATGATTCACAGAATTCAGGCAAGCAGTAGGGCGGGGTGGCATGGACATTCCACACCCCCTCTCCTAGGTGGACACAGTTAGTAACATCATTGGTTGCTTGTATTTAATTCAATTTCTAGCTCTCTTTCCTCCTCAAGGTTATAAGCAGGCAGGGACTAAAAGATCCAGCCCTTTCATCATGCCTTGGTCTTTCTGGTGACTAGCCCCAGATCTGAAGCCATCTAGGGTCCCCTGGCCACTTGACATCTCATTCTTATTCAAAAGACACTCACCACTCTGGAGATTCTGAAGATTTTAGGAGCTGTGTGCCAGGAACCAGAAACAAGGACTTGCTAGATGCATTTGTCACACTGGAAGTTTGCTAGAAAGTCAGAATCTCAGGTCCTACCCAGATCTACTAAACCACAATATGCTTCTCCACAATGTTCCAAGAGACAGCACGGTCCAAATTCACAAACTCTAGCTGCATATTCGAAATGCATGCATTTTGAAAATACTGAAGTCTAGCCGGGCACCCAGAGATATGCCAGTAGTTGATCTGGTGGGGAGGGGCATGGCATGGGTCTTAGTCCCACCTCCCAAGTGAATTCAGGTTGAGAATCCTGAATTCAACTGTCGGCCTCACATGACTTTTCAGGAGCACATTTGCAAGCAAATACTGCCGTTTCCTTATGCCTGACTAAATTTGGAACCTCAGAGCATTGGCACCAGGAACCAGAAACAAGGACTTGCTAGATGCATTTGTCACACTGGAAGTTTGCTAGAAAGTCAGAAAGGAATGTCTGTCATTCTTGTTTCTTCTCTTCCAGGATCATCACCTATCTTTACTGGCAGATCACAGAGGGAAGGAAGGTCATGATTCGGCTGCTGCATGAACAGATCGTTAATGTAAGTTCCTTTGGGCCCCTCCCTTATCCTCTGCTTTCATACTGGAAATTTCCAACATCCTCTAAAATAGAAAGAAAAAACAGTTCAATGACCCCCTGTATCCCCACCACACCGCCCCCAACAGCCATCAACATTTATTTACTCTATTTTCTTTTTAATTCTTTTTTTTTTTTTTTGAGACAGGGTCTCACTATGTAGCCCAGACTGGCCTTGAACTTGCAATCCTTCTGCCTCAGCCTCCTAAGTGCTGGCATTGCAGGCAAAACATTTATACACACCAGTGTACATTTTGTGTATGCTATTTTTTCCCGGAAAAAAAATCTCTGAATTATTTTTAAATTAACTCTTATGCTTTTTATTGTTTTTTATCTTTTAAAACTTTTATATGCAGCTCTATGAGTTAAAGACTTTTTCAAAATGTCACTACAGTATTATCATTGCCACTAAAAGGAATATTCACTGCTACCTTCTAATATCTATTCAATGTTCAAATTCCCCAATGACCTACTAAGTGTCTGAACAAGGGCTTCATGTTACACTTGATGGTGATACCTAATTTTCTTTTAGTGTATAACCACTTGCCACCTCCCACTTTTTCTTTCCTTTTCACCGTGGAAGATTCATATCTGCATATATCTGACTTGCAAGATATTGTTTAGTTGTTTCTTTCTTTCAACTTTTTTTGGCTGTACTGGGGTTTGAACTCAGGGTCTACACATTGAACCACTGTACCCGCCCTTTTTTGTGATTTTTTTTTTCAAGATAGGGTCTCGTGAACTATCAGCCCAGGTAGGCTTTGAACCATGATCCTCCTGATCTCTGCCTCCTGAGTAGCTAGGATTACAGGTGTGAGCCACCGGCGCCCGGCTCTTTCAACTTTTTGAATTAACTTCTGGCATCTTTTGACATGACCCCAGAAGACTGTAATATCTTCCTTTGCTCTCTGAAGAACAAGATATTCCAGGCTCATTTTTGTTCATTTCCTGTTCCAGCACAGAAATCAGCCATTTCTTCAAGGAGTCTTTGTGAAATGGTATTTAGACACTACAGTCCAGGCACAGGGCTGCTCACGGCTCCTGGGCTACTTCCCTTTTCTTCTAAATACCAACATAACCACGGAGGGAAAGCTTGTGTCTGGAAGCATGGGAAAGAAACAGGAGTCTTCCCAGGACTCTTCTACTTAAGTCTTTGGGTTTTCAGATCGTTTGTGTTGGTAGAAAAAGGGCATTACATGAATGAATTATTATCTTTCCACTCCTTGTTCCCAGAAACACAGGAAACTTGAGTTTTTCTGATGCAGAACTCTGAATGGCTTGGGCAAGTTGTATGAAGAGCTCTGCACTTCAGGTTTTAACTAAACCTTGAGTTGTCAGGCTTTACCCAGTGCTGGGCCATCTGCAGAGGGATATGGATGTGACATCACTGCAGGACTGCCCCCTGGAAGTCTTGCTCACAAGATGGACCACAAAGGCAAAGACATTGTCTTGAAAGAGTTTCTAATAGACTCTGCAGCAAATCTTATCAAAAAATAGCCACCTACATCAAAAACACCCAGATGCTTGTTAAAAACACAAATTCCTGCTACCTCCCTATCCAATGAATATTGGCAACAGATAACATTTGCTGAGCACTTAAATGATGCCTGTATCATGCTAAATTAAATGATGAACAAAATAGAATGTTATTTTAATTCTAATTACCTTCTCTGGGGCACAAACATTTCTTTAAACTCCCATTCTATAATTAAGAAACCTGAGACTTTCCTTAGGTCACCAGGACTAGTAGATGGTAAGATTTGATCCAGGAGACTCCAGATTTTGTGCCCTTAACTACAATGAAGTTTTGCCTTTCTTCTGGGCTCCGGAAAGCCAAATTTACACTTTTTATAGTTCACAGTTGAGTGTGAAGAACAGAGATTTTCAAAACAAGCTGAATAGATCTGAGGGCTTGCAAAAATTTTAATCCCAAAGACAGCTCTTAGGCTGGCAGAGTGGCTCAAGTGGTCAAGTGCCTATCTGGCAAGCATGAAGCCCTGAGTTCAAACCCCAGGTCCTCAAAAAAAAAAAAAAAAAAAAAAGCCCATTGCTATCCAAAGACAGCTCTTTCTTACAGAATAATTTCAATTAATAAATCCAGAAGTAACCAGGGAAATAGAAAATAGTTTTCAAGCCAGGTGGCTCATGCCTATCATCCTAGCTACTCAGGAGGCAGAGATCAGGAGGATCATGGTTCAAAGCCCGCCTCTGGCAAACAGTTTGAGAGACCCTATCTCAAAAAAATTCAACACAAAAAAGAGCTGGTGGAGTGGTTCAAACAGTAAGAGTGCCTGCCTCCCAGGCATGAGGCCCTGAGTTCAAACCCCAGTACTTCCAAAAAAAACAGAAAACAGCTTTGAAGTAAACACCACAGTAATATTTGTTATAAGCAAGATCCATTGGTAGATGCTAAAACTAGTGGATAAAACTTGAGAAATAGACACAGAAATGGGAAGGCCAAGCCTGACCTAGTCACCATGCAGGTAGAATTTTCTACTGTCTTCTGCCCCCGGGAGCTCACAAGGAGGTGATCAGACCCTTCCTCTGTTCCTCCTTCCCACTTTGAATCATTGGTCTCTGCCAACACAGATAACTCTAAAGCTTTGGCATTCTCAGGGCAGACCCAGGTAACGCTAGGCCCACAGAAATGGGTTCTGGAGCAGAAGGGTGGAGACCTATTGGTGTTCAGACACTAAGTTGTCTGGGCATGCAGGTTGCTTCTAGCAGCAGACTAGTGAAGGCCACTGCTCAAACCTGCTGGAGAATTGCTTCAGATTATCTTGCAGGAAGGCTCTGGAGGTCATTGCCTTGGCTGTCAAATGTTTCTATATCAGCAGAAAATATGGCGGCCACATCCATCCAACTTGTGGGAACTTTTTTTTACCAATTGCTTCTTAACCCTACTCCATCGTTCCCCTTCCATGTTTTTATTTTGTTTTCCTTTTTGGCAGGAAGGCAAAGATAAGATGTTCCTGATAGAAAAATTGATCAAGCTACAGGATATGGAGAAGAAAGCCAACCCCAGTGCACTGATTCTGGAAAGTAGAGAGACGGAGGTGAGGCCAGAGGCTGCCTGTGGACCGCTGAGATTTACACTTACCTCCTGGTGAAAGTGCATCAAGGAACAGAGCCCACACTCTGGGAGTCACATAAGGCGCTTCACTTTCTGCTAAGCATTTCTGTTTTTATATTTAAAATGCAAATTATTCATTTAACACTTTCCATGCTGGCCTTGTTCTAGGTGCTGGGTTAGCTCTGCCTGCATGGAGGTAACATTTTGATTTTGGTGGTACCAGGATTTGAACTCAGGGCCTTGGCCTTGCTAGGCAGGCACTCTGCCATTTGAACTACTCCACAAGCTCTTTTTGCTTCAGTTAGTTTTTGAATAGGGTCTTGTGTTTATGCTTGGGGCTGACCTGGACCACTATTTTTGTACTATTTATGCTTTCTTTGTAGATGGGATAACAGGTGTGTACCACTGTACCTAGCTTATTGGTTAAGATGGGAGTCTTGCTAACTTTTTGCCAGGCTGGCCTTGAATTGTGATCCTCCTGATCTCCACCTCTCAAGTAGCTGGGATTATAAGCATGTACCACTGCTGTCAGCACTTAACATTTGTTTTTTATAACCCTGCCATGCATAAGTATATTCCACTGAGAGGAAAAGTGCCCAGAAATCTCACCCCGCTTTTAATTAATGATCCAGTGTGTGTTCCCCCAATTCTTTCCCCTGGGCATCAGCAAATATATGTGCATTTACTAACACTTTAACTTAGCATAAAAGCAGGGCTATATTATACAAATAGTATCATAATTTTTCTTTCCACTTAACACTGTATGTCAGATACTATTTCATTCTTGACATTTTGGACATTTGTGTTGTTTCCAGGTTTTTTAAGTACTAAAAGCAGTATGGAAGGAAACATTTTTGTTACAATATAGTTGTTATTATCATTATTATTAATCCTTTGTGGTTCTGGGGATGGATCCCAGGGCTTTTCACCTGCAAGGCAAGCCCTCTTCCAGTGGGTACACATCCAGCTGATTCTGTTATGATTATTTCATATGAATATTTCTGCATAGGACATAATAGACATTGCTGTATTGTTCTCTTGAAAAGATTTGACCAATTTCAGTCCTACCAAGAGGGCATAGAGGTGTATGAAATCACAGTCCGTGTGGCTTCCTTGCTGTCCTGGAAAGCACAGGTACACAGAAAGCCACCTTAATTCAAATGCTACTAATCTTCTATCTGTGCAAATTGATATTGTAAGCACATTTTAGATAAGGGATCTAGAGACCCAGCTCAGATCCTCTGAGGCCAGGGACCACATCTATATCCTTGTCCCCCCAGGTGCTAGAATATCACCTTGCCTATTGTGCACATTTGTGGAACAGATGAATAAATAAAGTCACTGTCCCTAAAAACCAAAACACATTTGATATTTCTGTGGCTGAGTTTTGGTCTTAACTATTACCCCTTAACTTTAAAATAAGAAGTTGTGGGGTGGCAGGGGGGTGGGGGGCTCATGAATTATACCAAGTATTCCACAAGATCGAGCAGCTACATTCTTTCCCATTCTCTTTTTCAGCAACAAGGCCCTTGGCGTTTGGGGAACATGATGTCTCTCCTGGTAAGTAGTGGAGCTGCCACAGAGTAAGACAGTTATAGCGGGGCACAGTGGCTCACACCTGTAATCCTAGCCTCTCAGGAGGCAGAGAGCATGAGGATTGGGGTTTGAAGCCAGATATGCAAATAGTTTGTGAGACCCTATCTTGAGAAAACCCATCACAAAAAAAGGGGCTGGTGCCACCACTGACGAATGGATTAAGAAAATGTGGTATCTATACACAATGGAATTTTATGCAGCCATGAAGAAGAACAAAATGTTATCATTCGCTGGTAAATGGATGGAATTGGAGAACATCATTCTGAGTGAGGTTAGCCTGGCCCAAAAGACCAAAACTCGTATGTTCTCCCTCATATGTGTACATTAGATCAAGGGCAAACACAACAAGGGGATTGGACTTTGAGCACATGATAAAAGCGAGAGCACACAAGGGAGGGGTGAGGATAGGTAAGACACCTAAAAAATTAGCTAGCATTTGTTGCCCTTAACGCAGAGAAACTAAAGCAGATACCTTAAAAGCAACTGAGGCCAATAGGAAAAGGGGACCAGAAACTAGAGAAAAGGTTAGATCAAAAAGAATTAACCTAGAAGGTAACACCCACGCACAGGAAATCAATGTGAGTCAACTCCCTGTATAGCTATCCTTATCTCAACCAGCAAAACCCTTGTTCCTTCCTATTATTGCTTATACTCTCTCTTCAACAAAATTAGAAATAAGGCAAAATAGTTTCTGCTGGGTATTGAGGGGGTGGGGGGAGAGGGAGGGGGGGAGTGGGTGGTAAGGGAGGGGTGGGGGCAGGGGGGAGAAATGACCCAAGCCTTGTATGCACATATGAATAATAAAAGGAAAAAAAAAAAGGGGGCTGGTGGAGTGGCTCAAGGTGAAGGCCTTGAGTCCAAACCCCAGTATTGAACAAAAAGAATAACACAGTCATTGTCCAAGTGATGCAACCCAAGGTGGAGGGTCAGAAATGTTCCTGTATGTTTCTCATTCAGTTGCAAACTTGACCCATCATGAATTGAGCAAAATCCAAGGATGATTCTTGCTTGAGGCCTGTCCTTCAGCAGAAGGTCACAGTGTCAACAGCACCTCCTTTCTCTCTTCTCAGTTCTTTCCCATGCTCCCTAATAGTTACAAAACAGCTTTATCAATTTCTTCTGTCTTCTCAGGTTCAATCTACAGGGAAAAGGTGGGGGACCCAGAATTCTTATAGTGTCTCTTTGGGTCTGATGGGGCTGTGTGACCATCCCTGAAGCATGAACTATGGCTATGAACAGGTGTCGAGTTCCTTGATAAGATCCGAGTCACATGACTCAGCTGTAGGTTCAGGTGATGCAACCAGGCAGACCAGAGACAGAGTGGGGAAGGGTGGCTTCCCAAGGAAAATCTGGGGTTCGTGCCAGGGGGGAAATGAATGGTGGGCAGGAAACAAACCAACCCACTTGTTTTGGGATGCCAGCATTTAATAATGATGTCATGTGATGGGAGTCCACAGGGAGGATTACAAAAACTAAAGAGGAGGTGTAAAAAATTGTGGGGTCTTCCAGGCCCAGTTGGTCTTGCCCTTGTAGTGACAGGGCATCTGTGTCTGTACTAATGTCTCTTTCCTGTGTCAAACTCAGACCTGCGATTTAGGCGATCAGTTCAAGAGGAAAATCCAAAAGCCTGAAGATGGTTGTGGTAGCCAGACAGCAATCAGAGAAGGAAAGATTAAAAATTGTGTCTTCCACAACATCAGAGTCTCTAAGAGCTTCCCAGACAAGAACCCAAACCTTTAGTCAAGAGTGAAAAATGAACTTCAGTGTCAGCCAAAGCATGCTTGCTAATTTTCCAACCTTATTTTTCAAGACAAAAATATTTGGAGTTCTCCAATAAAGACTGTTGTAACATTGAAATCACCTCAGGAGTCACCTGAGAATGGTGTGTTTTATCTTCGAGAACTGTGAATCTGATTCTCTCTTCCAAGATCTCCAGCCCAGGCAAAGATTTAGAAATTGGTGCTAAGAAAAGTGGTCCAGAACGAATTTTTAAAAATGTGATCCTCAATCAGGGATGTGAAGCATGTGACTTGTGTAGCTTGTGTTTGTGACTTTGAACTAAAATCACTGTGTTACCTAAAGTGGAAACATATCTAGAGGTCTTATCTCTGAACTTTATTGCATCTGGAGTACAGGAGTCTTTGGGTTTGGATCAAAGTAGCAAAAGCTGGGGGAAGAAAGGAGGAGCAGGCCCCCCGAAGTCTTAGGCTGAACCAAACACCAAACTAGTGATGGTGTGTGGAATGTGTGTGCAAATGAAACCATTGTGTGTGTATACTTTTTTTTTTTTTTTTTCGGATCTGCCAAATGAGTCACAAGGCATGTGACTGTTCTTAAAACTTAAGGGTTCCCTAGATTCCACCTACTAAAGGTCCCACCACCTTCTAATAGCACCACGAACTGGGGACCCCCGCCTTCAATACAGGAGGCTCCGGGGCAGGGGAGGGGTGACGCTTATCCAAATCATAACATTTCCCAAAAAAGTGCTCAAAAGCTGGAGCGCCCCTGAGTTTGGGGAACAAAAATGAGAGCTTCGTCCTTCAAGTCGTTGTGAGGCAGGCTGAAAGTTCAGGACTCATAGAAAAATATTACATTTCGAATTCTAGCTCAGGGACCACCCTCACCTGGCCCCGTACCCACCTATGTCCCTTCCCAGTCATTATTACTGGATGGGAGTCACCTGGTTCCTCACTTCCCTGAGTTCCCTGAATAATTACAAGATCCCAAGTTCAAACCCAAGCATCACCAAAAAAAAAAAAAAAAGGTTAGCATAGGTTTTAAAAGCATCTGAAAAAAAAGAGAAGCAGCTCTCTCTGCCTCTAGCTTCCACCTGGGCCCCCCATGCTCTCTTTTGTAATTCCCTTCCCTAACTTTTAATAAACTCCATTCACACCCATGTGTCCTGTCATGGATTCTCCCACATGGACACAAAGACTTTGGAAGTCTTCTGATCACAGAATACACCCACTGGCAACAGTTGCAGAGAATGGCAAGTTCACACCTGTGAGTCAATGAGACCATATGTGTGTGAAGTTCAATCATAAAAGAACTTGCACATGTGTTGAGGACAGATGGTAAGAATTAAGGGAACACTCATTCAGTATGGTAGCATGTACCAGTGCACCGTAAGTTCTCAGAGTTGGGGCTGTTTCACAGCACTTGTGTCTGATCAGCTGTGAGACAGATCCCTGGGGAGCTCAGGTGTGTTGCCCTCTGTTTTGCTCACGTTTGCACCTGTAATGTAAGAGAGTAACGGCTTAGCTGCTGCGAAAGGTGGCTCACGCCTGTGATGCTAGCCACTTGGGAGGCTAAGATCAGGAGGATCTCGGTTTCTGGCCAGCTAGGGGAAAAATGTTAGCAAGACCCCAGCTCAACAGTAAAAAGCTGAGCATGGTGGTGTCCACCTGTCATCCCAGAGATGGTGGGAAGCATAAATATGAGGGTTGAGATCCAGGCTGGCTTGAGCAAAAGCAAGACCCCCACCTCCAAAAGAACCAGAGCAAAAGGGGCTGGTGGAGCAATTGCAAGACCCTGAGTTCAAACCCTAGCATCACAAAAAAGAAAAAAAGAAGTCTTACATGTGTGTAGTGTTGACTCCCACACATCCCTGAGGTATAATTTCTGGCTTTAATCACCTGGGGACCTAGATATTCCACAGATGCTGACTTGTGAGATGGGAATGGGGCCTGACAGTTTGCATTTCTAACTAGTGTCTCCGTCTGAGGACCTCACTCCCATTTTATTTCATCTTCCGAACTACATGCTTTTCCCAAACTTTTCCACTTTTTCTCATGCACAATTGCCACTTGACAGGTGCTGGGAACTGAGGCACGCACAGGGTTTGCCTGAGGTCTCTGAGCTGGAAGGGGCAGCACTGAGGCTTTGGACTCCTCAGAGGCCGGTTGTAGCTGTTTCTGTAGCTCAGAAGTCTCAGGACTGTGGAAGGGCTCGGTGGAACCCTGGGCCCCAAGTGGAGTTCCTGATTCAGTAGTTCTGGGGTGGGATTTGGGAATTTGCATTTCTTAGTTTCCCTGTGGTACTGATGTGTCCCCTTAAAGGACAACATCCTTTGAGAAGCATCCCAGTTGATGTCTGTCCTTTCTCTTCCTGACATTTGGTGTATTGATTATTCAATTTTTTTTTTTGGAAGTACTGGGGTTTGAACACAAGCATTCTACCATTTTAGCTACACACCTCCAACCCTCTTTTGCTTTATTTTTTAGATGGGGGTCTTACCTTTTTGCCAGGGCCTGCGTTGGACTGCCATTCTCCTACCTATGCCTCCCATGTAGCTCGGATTACAGATACACACTGCCACGTCTAATCTGCTTGATATGGGGTCTTGCTAGCTTTGCCTGGACTGGTCTTGAACGTTGATCCTCCCGAGTAGCTGTAATTACAGGTTTGTACCATAACACCTGGATTATTAGATTTTTGAGCATAAAGTTTGGTAACAGAAGAGGTCATCAGTATTAGTTTTTTTGGTGATACTAAGGTTTGAACTCAGGACCTTGTGCTTGCCAGGCTAGTACTCTGTCATTTGAGCCACACCCTAGCCCTTTTTTAGTGTTTTGTTTTTATAGGGTCTCACACTTCTGCCCAGGTTGGCCTTGGACCATGATCCTTCTACCGATGCCTTCCAAGTAGCTGGGATTACAGAGGTGTACCACCATGCCTGGCAGTCTTCAGCATTTTTGATCAAAGAAGTTCTCTAACCTTGCCCCTCAGTTTTCATCACTCCATGCTAGCAAGGGTCTGAGAGGTTGTTTGGGGCACATCATACCCATACCCTTCCTTGTCCTCAAAGATGGGGTTTATCATATTGTTGAAGCTATTCCCATTTTAGGACATAATAAGTACAACCTATATTAGAAATTTGTATCCAATAAAAATATTTATCTTGGTCAAATTCTTGTTGAAACAGAATGGCAGATGCTAATCTCTCAATCAGAGTATGAGTATCGACTAGTCACGGAAATGGTGTATTTCTGAAGCCTTTTGAGGGAGCCCTTCGTTATCCGTCTCCAGCATCCTGAGGCATGGACAGGCAGAGCAATGAGGGTGTGTTTAATCTCTATTGACTTTGTTTTGGAAAGGATATGATCCATCCTGCTTAGGTTGGACTCTTACTGCTGCCAAATCATGAATATTTTATCTCTAGCCTAAACTACTGTCTCACTCTAGGACTATCTCCAGTTTCAAGGAAGTTTCTATGTGCGTATCTGCCAAAATTCATTACTTCACCATTTATTGAACATCTGCAATATGGCTAGTAACTGTGATGGTGTTGGGAGTGAGTAAGGTAGTTCTCATATTGTGCCCCTGCCATAGGACAGATATAATAGATGGGGTTGAGTTCCCAAATTACCTAGGGCTGAATCCTTATTCATCATTGTTCTGACTTTAAGCATGTTACTTAACTTTCCTGTGATTTGGTTTCTTTTGCTCTAAAATGTGATTATTATGACATCTACCTTATACCGTTGTTGCAAGAGCAAATAGGAAACATTTGAAACCTGTCTAATTTGTGGTAGGCAGTCAACAAAAGTTAATTGCATGCACCTTTTCATTTAACACCCCATGAGGTGGTGTTACTGGCTTCAGGTCAGGGGCCAGAAGGTTCTTGGTCTCACTGAGAAAGAATTCAAGGACGATCACAGAGGAGGCATAAGCAGGACAGGTTTGTTAATGCAAAGCCAAGTGAAAGTACTCTCCAGATGAGTAGGTGAGCAGGCTTGAGGAGTGGCTGTGTGAAGGGTCCACCCTTAAGCTTTTATTGGGGTTTACAAATGTGGAGGTGGCTGCTCCTGAGACACTGGGTTATGTGTCATCAGTGATTCCCACATGTTGTGTTGGGAGGTTTTGGCCTTGAATAGTCAGACAAGGACTGTCATTTTTTATGGGCTGCAGGTCAGCAAAGCCCCTCCTATATGTGACAAGCAGTTCCATTATTGTCAGAAGGCCAGAATGAGATTTTTTTTCAACATCCAAGCCATCATTCTCAGCCACCAGGTTTCCTAACTCTTAGGTCGGTGGTTCTAATACCACCCTGCTCTACAGATGGATTAAGTTACCTGTCCAAGGTCATACTTCCAAGAAGTTGCTGATCAGAAACTCAGACTTGGCTTTCTCTGATCCTAAATCCTGTTATTTTTAGCCTTATATTTAGCTTTCCAAAGATGTTCCTAACAGTACTTACATCTCTCTTCCAAATTCTCTACCTTTCTGGCTCAGACTACCTTAGCATGAGGTATGGGACCTAAGTCCTTAACTGGGCTGGGCTGAGTCAAGGACCAAATGGATTGGGGATGGTGAAGAGGCAGAGAAGCCCTGGCCCTCTCGGTCTTCACATACGGAAGGCTGTTATTTACTGCATGCTGCCCTCGAGGGCAGCCCCACCCTGCCGGGTGCTGCGCAGCCTCTCAAAGGATCCAGGGCTGCATCAGCGCTCAGATACGCAGATGTGTTTTCCAGGGTCACTTTCCCCTCCCTCTTGTCACTTTGGTTACAATGAGCATGGAATGCTCATGCACTTCAGACAGTGGTCCCATTTGATTAATAAACTAATTTTAAAATTGATTTTTTTTTGGGGGGTGCTGGGGGTATACCTTGTGGTAGAGTGTGTGCTTAGCATGGGTGAGGCCCTGGGTTCAATCCCCAGCACCAAACACAAAATTAAGAAAGCAAGGACAATTTTTATATTGCTTGAGAATACTCCAGGTCTCCATCTACCATGCCCCAGCCAATACCCATGGCAATCACCATCAGGATGCTTCTCTGCCACTGAGCCGTGTGGAGGGAGGACTCCCACTCACCACCTGGCTGCTGCAGAGGTGAGGCTGGCGAGTCATCAGAGGGACCAGAGGGAAGCCATGACTAAGTTGTGGGCCTGTGACGGGGCCCTGATGGGGCTGCACCTTGGGAGGGGGTGAGCTCGACAAGGGAGACAGCTCTGACATTGAAAAAAAATCAACTTCATTTTAAATATTGCTCCTTAAGTTCACAGCACAACGCTGGCTGTTCATGTTGGAGAGAGCAGAGACATGGTGAGCGGGGAAGATCTGTGGCCCTGGAGTCAAACCCACCTGGATTTGAACCCCAACTGCACTACAGACTCGGAAACATCTGGTATCTCAGGATTTGACTTTAACTCTGCAGGGCCTCAGTTTCCTCATCACAAAATAGGGAATGCTAACTCTTGCCTAAGATTTTTGTGAGGGTTGAATAAGGATGATACATGCTAAGCTCCTGGCCCTGCTGCATCACCAGCTGTGTGGTTTTGAGGCCGCCTCTCCCTGCCCATGCCCACGGGTTTTAGTTTTCTCATAAGGAGAATAAGCCTGGAGGTTGTTGGAGGTGTCTATGAGCTTCCTAATGAGCCTAAAAAGCGCAACCCTGCCCCCTGGTGGTTTGCACTTTTATGCAGTTTCTTGGTTGGTGACCTCCTTCCCTGACCTTGGCACACAGAAGCCTCACTGGATTGCAGGTGGCAGCTTCCCCAACTTCCTCCCGCCTTAGGATGCAATGCTTGGCACACGCCTTTCCTTTTGTGCCCCCTTTAATGATTTTATTAGTATGGTCACAAATCTGACATCTACAGTACGCCATTGACAGAGCTGAGTACAAATTTTTGAAACAAGTGAATTACTTAGGTGTGGCAAACTTTAAAATGTCAACTCCCAGTGCTCATGCAAGTCCCATGCATTTGCATCCATGTCCCCTAACTGCAGGGCACGCTTTGTGCTCACACTCACTGGGTCTTAGGCATGCCTCAGCTGGGGTGCTGGGCTGCTGGGCCTTTTCTCAGACCCAGATTTTCAAGAGCAATGGCACCATTCCATGGCGCATGGTGGCAACACTGGGTTCTGGGTGTTTAGGTAAAAATGCAGTTACCTACTATTGCCTGTGTGAGCCACCTGGTCCCCCAGGGCTTGAACTAGCACAGAGGGCACTTTGATACCCTGTCTGAGGCCACAAGGCAGTTTCAGCAGTCATGTTTCCTCCCCAGGAAGTCTAGAACTGGGGTGTACAGTCTTCCAGCATGCTGTCAGTGATGTAGCTAGAGTGGAGATAGGTTTCGTAGTACCGTTTTTCATCGAAAGTGTTGACAGTCCAACCAACAACGTGAACTCCTTTAGCTGCCCACTTCTTCAAATAGTCCCTGGAGAAAAAGGAGAACGTGATCCCGTTAGAACAATGATCAGTGTCCCCAGAATCTACAATGTTGCTGAGTGTGGTGTTCACTGAGCTCCAACAGTGCCCATGGCCTCCAACTGGCCTCTCAGAGCAGGTGAAGGGAGTGCCGGAAAGCCAGCATGCTCTTAGCTCAATGAGTCACGCTGTGAATTGAGTTTTTCTCCTTCCTTCCTTCCTTCTCTTCAATTTATGAGCAAATACTTGTTTCCTCCCGAGCCCTGCTCAGTATTTTAATGACCAGAGATAGGTAAAATGCCCCTACCCTTTCTCTGTGCGTTTCCCATTCCCAGGTTATGGAAAAGGTCACAATGAAAAGGTAGTTGTGAAGAAATATAAAGCTGAGACTGGCCATGGTGAAGACCAGACACACACCCTTTGAAGAGCAAGCCTAGAGCAATGTGGACGACTTGGTGACCTCCAGACTGAGCTACGATGCTCACAAGCCCCGTTCTAGAACTGGCCGATCAGAACGTGTTACCGTAGGCAGTAACCAAGTGGTTGCTGAACGCATGCTGGAAATCCTATGAAACTAATTAGCTGAAACGTACAGCTCTTCAACTGCTGAAAGGAAGAGCCTGAGACGCTGGCAGGCCAGGGAACGGAAAGCTCTGTGGAGGAGACGAGCAGAGCGGCAGTGCAGGCAGCAGGAGGGGAAGGCTGATATCTGCCTTACCTTACCGTATTTGCTGCAGCTCTGCCCTGTACCCTACATTGTTCAAAGTGAGCCCATCAAAAAATTGCAATGCCTCTCTCACCATAGTTTAAAAGTCTTTTTTTTTTTTTCATTAAAATGCACAAAAAAAGCAAGACTATCTGATCAACCTGTTCTGAAACAGTGAAATACCCCTGAACTCTTCCCACTGAAGAAGCTGGTGGCATTCCAACCTAACAGGAGCCCAAAACCAATCCAGTGTGTCCACTTCCTTAATCCTTCCTCCCCAGAGGGAACATTGAGGAAATGTGTCCAGAAGATTAAAAAAAAAAACCTCCCAACTTACGGGGATACAAAATCCTTCTGCATGAGGAAAGCTGAAATTCCACACAGGTACCACAAGACATTATGCATACTCCAATCGAGCAAAATGTCCAACACAACAAACATGGACTGCTTCCAGAAAGCACTGAAGCGTGGCTTCCCGTCACCTGTGTGGCTCAGGCTCCAGGGTCTGTGAGTTAAAGCTGTTATTATGTTCTGATCGGTTTGTCTCATCTGAAAAGGAATTTTGGAAAATAAAATGACCGTATTTTCAGGTTACAACTTCTCAATGGTTTAGGTTCAGCTAACATCTCTTCCTAATGTAGACATGGAACCCTGCCCCTGTCTGCTAGGTAAGTCCTCTATTGTAAACCCTTTGAGAAAAAACTTGAGAGATGTAAGGTTTTTAATATGCAGTATAACTGAGACCATTTCTTGCTTTTTTTTTTTTGGTGGTAGTGGGGTTTGAAGTCAGGGCCTTACACTTGCTAGGCAGGCGCTCTACCACTTTAGCCATTCTGCCAGCCCTAATAGAGACTATTTTCACAGTCCATGAAGAACTGCAGTCTCCCTTCCCCCACTCCCTCCCTTCCTTCCTTCGAGACAGGGTCTCACTATGTAGCCCAGGCTGGCCTCAAACTCATGTTCCTCCTGCCTCTGTCTCCTAAGTGCTGGGATTACAGGCATGAACCACCACGCTTGGCTACAATGCTAGCTTTAAAATAAGAAAATTAGAACCATGACCATTTCAAGATGGGCTGATTAGTGTTGATCCTTTCCAGGGCAAAAAAAGAGTTGTAGGAGGAGTCGGGAGCCAGTGTCTCACGCCTGTAATCCTAGCAACCCAGGAGGCAGAGGTCAGGAAGATGGCAGTTCGAAGCCAGCCCCAGGCAAATAGTTCACAAAACTCTATCTCAAAAAAACCCATCACAAAAATAGGGCTGGTTGAGTGGCTCAAGCTGAAGGCCCGAATTCAAATCCTAGTACCGCAAAAATAACAACAAAAAAGAAGAGTTGTTGGGAGATGAGGGGAGAAGGAAGAAGAGAAGGAGGGTCTGGGAGGAATCTGGGGAGAAGGCAGCACAGGAATGGAAAGACGGGGTGGAGTTCCTGCCATCTGTGTGCTGCAGACATTCTAAAGACCTCTGTGGTCAAGTAGGCTTGGCAAGCCCCACCACTCTACTCATTCCATCGATGGCTTGAATCAGCATGGGCTCTACCTTGCTATAAACATTTTAAATGTATGCTGTTGGTCACTGTGGAAGAATGCTACGGAATCAACGCATTATTTTGGAAACTAAGAAACATTAGGTATTTATCTTGTCTACTGGGTAACTAAATGGTAGAGGAGAAGTTTCTTTGTACATGATGAACTCAAGCTAATAATGGAAGAAGAAATGACAGAATTTAAATATCAGCCTTTTGCAGCCCCCTAGTGGGCCAGCCATTGAGCATCAAGAAGTACTAACAACAACAAGAATCTGCCAGATATAACGTGCCTGTGACGGAGACAGCCTTACTGTGAAATCACCTGGCCAAGGAATATCAATCCTACTTTGAGCAAGTTCCCAGCTCTCATCATCAGTTTACAGGAATTAAAACAGGAAAAGAGGGTTGGAGGAGTGGCTCAAATGGAAGAGTGCCTGTCTAGCAAATGTGAGGCCTCAAGTTCAAACCCAAGTACTGCAAAAAAAGACAGAGAAACAAAAGAATCTACAGAATTACATTATGGCACAACTAGCAACTCCACATATGGGTAAACTCTACAAAACGAATGATCTGGCTTCTCCAATAGACACGTCACAGAGGACATGATGGAAAAAAGATGGAAAGAGAACATTTAAAATGCATACTTACTTGGGTCCTGATTCAAATGAACAGTTAAAAAATAATTACTCTTAGAAAGATTAAAAAAAACTATGACATTTCTGAGAAGAGTAAAAAACTTGTATGGCTCTAATATTTGGTCATATTAAAGGCTTATTGATAACGGCTTTCCAGGGGACTATGGCATTGTGGCTGTTTTTGAAAAGGTCTCACTCTCTAAGATACTCACTGCACTTTTGTGGTAGAAGGTAGGATTTGCTTTAAGACGGCACTGGGGAAGATTCCTGGGGTGTAGATAAAGCAAGCTGGATTGTGGTTAAGGGTGCTCATTGCATTTCCATCTTTATGCAAATTTTAAATACTCCATAATGAAGAGTTTTTTATTAGTGAGAAGTAGGGCTGTATAACTGTTCTGTTCTGAGAATGAGTACAAAGAGAAGAGCCTACCTACCTGAGGACAAGGGGCTATGAAGAGAAATCTTAGCATTTTTGCCATTCTTCCTGATAAATAAAGAGCTTCTACAACCCAGCTGCCCCATGACTGACGAATGGATTAAGAAAATGTGCACTATATATAAAAAAACAGAACCAACAAAAAAAAGAAAATGTGGAATATATACACAACAGAGTTTTATTCAGCTCTTAAGAAGAATGAAATTGTTGTTTGCAGGTAAATTGATGGAACTGGAGAACTTCATGTCAAGCAAAGTCAAGCTCAAAAATTCAAAGGTCACATGTTTTCTCTCATATGTGGAAGCTAAGACCTATGAGTTTAATGTATTTATAGAAACATATATATAGTGACAGAGAGAACAAGATTGTATTAGTGAGTCTGTCTGACTCACTACGGTTGGAAGAGGAAAAAAAAAAGAGAATGAAAAATATTGAAACAACCCATTTGTATGAATGTAATATACTATGCACTGTTTAGTGATGTGATGAATATTAGGGGAGCATGGTGATAGAGAATGAGTAAGTAATGGGGGAAGGGGGTTAAATTTTGATTAAAACATAATATACACAGATGGCATATCAAGGTGAAATGTCCTTGGACTATCAATACATTTAATTTTAAAAAAATGAAGAACAGGAGGGAAAAATAAATCTTTTCCAGGGGTGGGTACCAGTGAGAGGGGGGTAGGCACAAGGAGAAGGGGGATGGTGGATGGATTTTGTATTCATATATGAAGATAGAAGAATGAAATTGGCTGAAACTGTTCTAAGAAGGTGGAGAAGGGGGAAGAGGGAGAATGATGGAAGGGGTAAATCTAAGATATATTGTAACCACATATATAAATATTATAATGGATCCCCCTATACAACTATTATATGCTAATAAAATCATAAAAAAAATAAATGAAGAGTTTCTTGACCATGAATTCACTTGGTTCAATTTAACAGACATCTGTCTTATGTTTCTGGAGCCTGTTGTTATTATCTCCACCACCTAATCTAATACTATGTTCAAGAACAATTCTGAATTTTACCTTATAGATAACTTCTGGCAAGAATGAGCAGACCATGCTACTATTGTATAGTTGTGGGAATTCCAAATAGATTTTCTTCAGAGCATTAGTAGCCTGTAAAAACAGATTCAGATATTGAAAATCAATTAAAGCATGACGGTTTTATGTTAAGCGCAACCCTATTGAAAGTATCAGAAGCTTACTAATACTGTATTTGGGGGCTGAAAGTTGTGGCGATGCTACGCGCCACCATGAGCCACTGGGATACATTTTAGGTTCTCAGGTGCAGTGCCTGTGGAAAGGCTCGCCCCTGTGCTGTGCCTTTGGAAATTGTGGTGAGCTGTAGGAAGAGGCTGGAAGCAAAACTTTAAATCCTCTCCTTACATGCTGTGTTAGCCAGTAGAAATGGTCCTTTAATGCCCAGTCTGCCTTTCCTAGATGAAGCCTGAGGCTCCCAGCCTGGAACTCGGGAGGGAAGACCTGCTCTGTCCAAGGACTGAAGGGATCCACCTTCATCAGCAATGTGGAGGGAGAAGCAGTGGGGAATAAGAGCGTGCTGGGAAGAGCTGGATGCCCCCCAATTCTTCCCGAATGGAACAGAAATCTCTCTGTGTAGTAGTCCAGCCTCTAATAAATGAGGAAGGAATGACAGAATGTAGATGCTGGTATTCTGTAAGCCCTAGCAAATTAATGTCAACAGCAGCTAACATGAGACTCCGCCAGACACATGCTGCATAACCCTTGAAATACTGACTTCTGGATGTGGCTCACGCCCATAACCGAATGTAAGCAATCAGATGCCTTCCCCACCGAAGTGACAAAGAAGACAGGAATGATTCACGCCATGCCTCCCTTTATTAACATGACGGGGCAAGCCACAGAACCAAAGTTGTTTGCATCCTATTTGAACCAACACCTGCACTATGTGTAATGCCTCACCACATTACTCATTTAATTCTCATGATGACCCTAGTTTTTTTTGTAATTCTCATTTTGTCTATGAGGAAACGAAGTGTGTCAAGGTTGAGGTTACCCTGTAGCGAGTCACAGCTCAGTCAGCGTCTGTTATCCTAACTACAGGGCTCTACCAGCTCCAATGTCTTGCCAACACTTGGCCCTCTGTCCTGCCATCTTGGTGAATTACATCACTGTGTTCTACACAATCTTGGCCAAACACCCGCGAACACCATCCAGAAAACATAAAATAGCTGGATTTCTTGACATTTTTTCTTTTTCTCCTCCTTTTTTCCCTTTTTCTTCTAAGGAAATAAGCATGAAGGTCAGGACATTGTAGGAGCTATCGGGGTTCTTTCCTAACAAAACCTAAACCTGAGGTATTCACTAAAAGCACGTTTCCTGGGCATAGGGGTGTGGCTCTGAAGTAGAGTGCATGCTTAACATGTGCAAGGTCCTGGATTCAATCCCTGACACCAAAAAAAACAAAAACAAAATCCCACCATTTCCTTGAAGTCACACTAGACATTGTCAGAATCCCTTCTTTAGACAGGATGGCCCGGAAACCTGTATTTAAAAATAGGTATTCCAGGTGATTCTGATGCAGTTCAAGTAGAAAATCCAGACATATATAACTATCTGTTTACCAAAATAATAAATTAGTTATCAACCATTCTCTTCTTTCCTCCCAACTGGGAGGTTACTGTAATAAAATTCAGAGTATATACTTATGCTCACATTTCAGGTTTTAATAACAGGTTTAAACTATCTCCTGGAATTAACTTAAAAAATGGCATTTTGAGAACTCTCCATCAGTAGATGACTTTTACTGATCATAACTATTGTGAAGGGAAAATAAACTTGCCCAAGAGTGGGGGAAAAGATATTTGTACTTGAAAACAAAGGTGACCAAATCCTATCCTTCCCACTGATTTCCACTACAATATGTTCTTTTGTTTTGTTTTTAAAACCAACTGGCTTTCAATTCAAATTCCTTCATCTATATATCTATCCTTATCCACATTTTCTTGATTTCAACAGGTTTCTAGTAACCTTTTTTGGGGGGCACTGGGGTTTGAACACCAGTCCTTTTATGTGTTGGGTAGTTTTCAAAATAGGGTCTCTTGAAGTATTTGCCTGCAGCTAGCTTTGAACTTTGATCCTCCTGATCTTTGTCTTCTGAGTAGGCGTAAGTCACTGGTGCCTGGACATTGCAATATGTTTTTATAAGTAAAAGTGTACGTCCTAAAATTTAAGCAAAATTTTCAAGAAAGGGCTGGTACAGTGACTCAAGTGGTAGAGTGCCTGCCTAGCAAGTGTGAGCCTTGAGTTCAAACCTTAGTTACCGCCCCCCAAAATTAAGTAAATAAATAAATAAAATTTAAGCAAAATTGTATTTAGGGATGTCACACATATTTGAAGGAAATGTGGTAATTTTCTGATAAAAGTATTACTCAAGTCATTAAATAATAAAACTGTACATAACAGAAATCACATAGTGAGACACATCTATATAAAAGACATATATCCTGTTAGCTACTAAGAACTTTTAGTATGGGAGTTCTCATTAAATGCAGTCTGTGGCTATCCACCTAAAGCCCTTAACTTATGAGGGAGATACAGCTGGTCTTGTGTTCAAGTTCTGACTTCCTTTTTTATTTATTTTTGATGGCACTGAAGTTTGAACTTAGGGGGTCTTGTTTGCTAGGCAGGTGCTCTTACCACTTGAGCCACTCCACCAGCTCTGACCTCTGTTTTTGCAGTTACTTGAGGGGTCTATTCCAGAAGTGCCTCTTCACTGCTTACATAACACTCTTTTGAAAATGTTTTATGAAAATAAAAGAAACTTGACTCTCCCATCTCATGCTGGTTGTAGAATAGTGGGAGCTGTTAAAAGGTTCCATAATTTACTGTGTCCTTAAAGATGTGGATTTTTGCACTGTACACTTCCATTAAGCACATATGTTACAATCATTAAATATCAGAACAAAGAATAAGTACCCCAATGTATAGTTAATTTGGGAGTGACTAGGATCACAAAGTGAGGTGCATGGAGCCCACTATACCATATTTGCATGGCCTTTGACATCAAAGAAGACCGTGAGGTTATGGTTCAGGCACTCCGTGACAGCTTCCCTCAGGGTGGGGATCTTTTCGTCAGGGAAATCATTCCTATGAGAGAGGGAAAAGAAATGGCAAATGGCAGGAGAGAGAAAGGGATCAAAGTGTAGTGATATGTTGCAAATGTCTCCAAACAACAGCACGAGTGTTCTCCCTGACCTCCTCTCTGCATCCTTACCAAGTCCCTGCTCTCTGCTTGAATCCAGTGATGGATATCCTTGACAAAGACAGACTGAATTAACCACAGAATCCTAGCCCAGCTCATCAAAGGGTGGCAGATATACCACCTCTGGATAACCCCGAGGCTCAATTTTAAGTTAATTTTTCTAATGGAATCCTCTGCAGGAGAAACTCCTAGAAATACATAAATCTGAGTAGTTGGGATTGCTGGTGTGCACCACCTCACCTGGGGGCTTTTTTAAAATAATATTTCACTCTACATGTTTTAGCTTGTACTAATTCAAACACACACACATTTCTCTTGTTTTTTTTTTGGTAGTAGTGGGGTTTGAACTCATGGATTCATGCTTGCTAGGTAGGTGCTCTACCACATGAGCCACCCCACTATCCCTTTTATGTAAAGGGTTTTTTTTTTTGAGATAGGGTTTCACAAACTAGTTACCTTGGTTGGCCTAAACTGAGAGACTCCTGATCTCTGCTTCCTGAGTAGCCAGAATTACAAGTGTGGGCCACTGGCACCTGGCTTCAACTATATTATTTCAACTGTAAGATCCTGCTTTAAGAAAAGGATATGGATGTTTTAAATGTTACAGGCAATTCTGCCAGCCATTCTGGCTGATGACAAGTCCTTGGGAAAGAGACACGGGACTGCATTCGCTGCTTCTTTGGCCAGCCTTCATTTCTCTGACCCCCTCTCAGGTTGAGCTTCTCCCCACACTAAGCAAAACTCTAGCAAAAATATCTAATTTGCCTGCAACATGATCCTAAACACAAGCCAACTACTTTACTTGGGGTTTAAAGGAAGTGCACCTGTTCCAACTATGGAGCAAAGACCGGTTGTGTTGAAGACAATAAGCTAGCACACAGATTCTGATATGGTGCCTCTTTAGGGGTGTTAAGGGTGATGCTGACCTAAGTGGTTTTTTCCTTTAAGAATTATCTTTGACATCTTACTAACTGCAATGTCTCTGTAATATGAAAACCTGCCTTTTCCTTGTACACAGCAGAGCCATGCAGTTTGACAGTGAGGAACAATCCCTGTGGCCTGGACTCAGAATTCCCAGGGCTTAGCAATATTCTCTCCAGCTCATGGCTCACACCTATAATCCTATCTACTTAGGAGGCTGAGATTGGGAGGACTGCAGTTCGAGGCCATCCTGGGCAATAAGTTTATGAGACCCTGTTTTGAAAATATCCAACACACACACAAAAGAGGAGAGGACTTTAAATAACCACATTCAACATATGTGTCCAATTCCAACAGTGTGGGAGAAAGATGTGCGTTCTGTGGATTTAAGTTTGAGATACCCTAAGCTAAAGATATGAACTGACTGATGTGGACTGTTTATCTTCCAGAGCAGTCAGAGGAGAGTGCTTGATTTGTTTGATCATAGAATGCTTTTCTTGTGGAGCATCTTATAGGACTAGCTCTGATATAGACACACATATGTGTACACACACACACACACACACACACACACACACACTTTGGAAACTATCAGTTTATACCAGGAGGGGATTAAACTAGACATCTGAAAGAACTTTCAGTTTTACAGGGTTGAGACACAGGAGGGCAACCAGAAACAGACTGGTGCAGTAGACGTTTCTTTGAATTAAAAACTGGGATATAGATTCTAGTCTTGTCCTCTTGATTTAAGTGCAAATTTAAACTTAAATACTCATGGGTGGCTCTCATTAATCCTGCTATTAGAGATAGCACCAGAAAAGTTAAATGCCTTACTCCAGACTGAAAATGAGGTACAATTTAAAGTAACCATCATGTTAGTAACTAGACAGAGTATTCACTTGAGAGTAATTCTGAGGCCAAATTTGGCCTCAGTGGGAAAGATTAAAAACACACATGCTGTATTTATGTTGTTCCTGGTGCCTGCTCATTACTTAGGAAACCTGTATACAATTCAAAACAAAATGGCTCTCCTGGAGGAGAAGGTGTAATTAGAAGTTTCCAGTGTGTACCTGGGCTCTCCCATAAAGGCTCCAGGATCTGTGTAAGTGATCATAAACTGCTTACCTGAGTCTGTGATTTGCTGCAGGGTTAAGTTTCCTAATTTGATCAAATGTCAAATCACATAGTCGACCAGAACCGTCTGTCGTCCTATCTACTGTGCTGTCATGCATTAAGACAGGAACCCCGTCGGAAGTAAACTCAATGTCCAACTCCACACCTGCTGCTCCATTCTTAGCTGCCTTAACAAAAACATGGGCAAGGTTAATGTCAATGGCCACAGACATCATTCTGACCCTGAACACTTGAGAGACCAAGAGGGCTTGGTGACACAGACAGCTGCTCTTTCTTATTCCTGGCCCGGCCCTGCCTGTTTTCATGAACATTCACCACCTCACTCCCACACTTAGGGAGGTCTTTAAAGACCTCTGTTCCTACTCTTCCCACCCACATGGGGCAGGAAACCTGTTTCCTCTGGATGCCTTAGCTATATGGTCATCAGTGGCTCAAGCTATGTAACCAATCCCACTGTTTGCTCCCATAACTGGAAGACTCGCCTGGGTTTGTCCATTAGTGTGACTCCTCACTACTTGGGCATCAACAAGTGAGTCAGCTTTTTGTCAGGGTGATTTCACCATCTGTAAGAGAAACACCAAGCCTGCTTCTAGGGACAATTTGTGTCTGCAGCATTGGCTCTTGGTCAGTGAGTTGGTAAGCTCAATAAGGTACATTAGAGTTAATCTAAAAAGAGAATTTAGGGCCAGGGGTGTGGCTCAGTGGTAGAGTGCTTATCTAGCATGCACAAAGTTTGGGTTCCATCCCTCACAATGTAAAAACAAACAAGTAAGCAGAAATAAAAGGAAAACTTGAACACTTGAGACACGCCACCTAATGTCAGCTTTCTTGGAGTCCTCGTCACAATGAAGATGTGAAATGTTCATTATGATCAAAATTTTAAATTAAAAAAACAAATTTTAAGTCACAGTCCCTTGCCAATATATATAAAGACTTAACAGATGTTAAAGAAAAAGATAACAATAAAATTACAATAGCTATTATTCACTGACTCTTCTATTTGCCAGGTGTTATTCTAAGTGCTTCTGATGCATTAGCCTGTCTGATCCTCACAACTCCTCAGCAAGTGCCTTACACGTGAGGCCACTGAGACAAAGAAAGATTCAGAAATTTGCCCAGGGTTTCAGAAGCTACGACGAGGTAGGCTACACTCTGCACTGCTATGACTTTACCATCAACCATACAGATACAGCTAAAATTTGCCTGTTCATTCTCTTCCATCCCTTCCAGAAGGAATGACCATGTCAGAGTTGGTCTGTACCAGACCCATATTACTCCTGAACAGGTCTGTATATTCGAATTTATCAGTCATGTCCTTTATGAATGGAAAATTTTCCATCCCCATGTTAAAAAGGTACATAACTAACTAGGCATGATGGTGCACGCCTGTAATGCCGGCACTTAGCAGGCTGAGGCAGGAGGATTGTGAGTTTGAGGCTAATCTGAGATACAGCAGGAGTTCTAGGCCAGCTTGGGCTAAGTAGTAAGATCCTGTCTCAAAAAGTAAGGCCACAGATATACAAGTATATTTTCTTGTAAGCTTCAAAGTTTGATTTTCACCTAGGTGAAAATAACCACCATACCAGGCTATTTTCAGTCTTTTTGATTATAGCCATCCTAGTAGGTATGAAGTAGTATTTCATTGTGGTTTCAAACTGTATTTCTCTGCTGGTCAGTAATGTTTAAATCTTTCCTCAAAGGACTGATTGGCTATTACTACATCACAATCTTTCCAATTAAACCTTTAAAAAATATTTACTGAGCGCCTATAATACATAGGCACTATTCTAACAGTGAGACAGTGGTGAGCAAGAGAGAAAAGGATTATGGATGTTACATTTTAGGGAGAGAAACAGGCTACAAACATGCCATGGGTAAATGATAATGAGAAATATTCTGAAGCAGAAAATAGAGGGTAATGTCAGGGGTTAAGGTGGGGGATCACTAGACAAGGCATCCAGGAAAGGCCGCTCTGACAATCTGACATCGAAACTGAGGCCTTTTTGATAAAACGGAGACGGACATGAAAAGATCCAGGGGAGGAGTTCTACAAGCAGAAGTGGCAAGTATAACACCTAGGCTATAAGGTAGAAGGGAGCCACTGAGGTGGCAGGAAGTGTTGGTTGCCCACCAAACCTACCCCCTTCTTCTCTGCTGGCAGAGACCTGATCTTATCCCAGTGTTCAGCTGTCTCCTGTGTGTGTGCAATGGAAGGAGACATCTGAGAAAGACACCGGCAGAAGGAGTGGAGTCTTTCCTTGGAATTAGAAGCTGGTGTAAGAATGTGATGCCTGGGGCTGCCCTAGCCACCTGGCAACTACAGTGAGGGCTGGCAAATAGGCAAATAAGCTGCAGATGGCAGAGCACACTGATGGCTGGATGTGGGCCCTCCATGACCATACATTAGCCATCACGGGGCCATTCCTCCCCACCCCCCCACCTCCTTATGTGAGACAGAAGATCCCTATTGTCTGAGATACCTGAACTTGGACTTTCTATTGCATGAAGCCACAAGCATCCTGACAAAAGTGGCTGGAGTGGAGCACAGGGCCTTGAGAAAGGTACTGGATAGAAAGAAGTTTGGGCTGGGGTGGAGCTCAGCAGTGCCTGGCACGTGGGAGGCCCTGGGTTTCATAACCAGCACCACAAAAAAAAGAAACCCAGAAACACAAAACAAACAATAACAATAAAGTCTGAATTTATCTAATTGCAACAGGAAGTCACTGGAGGGTTTTATATACAGACAGAATAGAATCCAATTTATAATTTTAAAGCCACATTCTGGCCCCTGTGTAGAGAAGGAACTGTGGGGGTAATTTCATTTTTTTGCCAATGTTTTTAATAGTGTGTCTGGGTTTTGAAATTCTCATTTCACATTTATCAGGTTTTTTATTCCATAAGTACTTCATAACCTACCAGAAATTCTACTACCATCAGATGTCTCTGATTTTTTACATAGTAAAATGTTTAAGGATATAAATGATGTATATGAAAACAGAAGAATGAAATCTGATGAAATTGTTCTAAGAAGGGAGCAGGGGAGAAGAGGGAGCAGGGTAAATATCTAACTAAGATATATTGTAAGCACATACGTAAATACCACAATGTATTCCCTCCCCCCCACAACTAGTATATGCTAATGCATTTTTAAAAAGAATATAAATGATGAGTGCAAACATGCAAAGGGATGAAGAGCAGGACAGGACAAAAACCCAACTATGTCTTTCTTTTGAAGTCAAGAGGAAGGATACAGACTTGTTTTCTGCAGTATGCATTTAGCAACTAAATATTGCCATGGCTAAAACATTTGTCAATAGTGACTTTATATTCTATCAGGCTGAATTACCACATTTCACTTCTTCAGACCAGGAATCAATTTGGCCCAACGTTTATTACTGTATTGGGAATTTAGCTATAATTATCTTGTAACACAATAGGACATGAAACACGGTATGTATGTGTATTTCACATCCATGGGTCCTCATTCATTCAGCAGGGTTTACACTCAGTCAATCATGCTCCTGGTCAAGCTATGACATCTATCTATAATCTATACTTATGAATGCTTGTGCTCAGTTACTCTTGACATCACCTTTACAGCAACTTACCTAAGGTGAGTTAAGAAGCCGATGGCAGATACCATCTTTCTTTTCATAGCAATACTACCTCCTATATAGCTATGTTAATTTACCTGACCTCTCCCAGTCTACTATATTCTTCAACGTCTTTAATTTCAAACAGAAGCTGCAAAAGCTTCTCTCCCTGTCTCCCATCATAAAGAGCCCAGGAGAAGCATAACTAGATTACACACAGACACTCAAAGGCCGCCCTCCTAGTCTCCCTTCTTCAGACTTAATTTTTTCACCTGAACTCTGAGATGAGCATAATGAATCAAGTCATGCTTGGAATCTTGGCATAGTTTACTGTGTAGGTGTTACTTTATCTGGGATTTGCTCATGGAATCCCCACAACCAGCATGACAGACACCATTATTTTGCCCATTTTACAAATGGGGGAACTGAGGTCAGGGCTAAGACTAGGGTAAAGAGAAGTGTGCCAGGGTTCCCTGCTTGCAGAACCCTGAAGGAAGCCCAGGAAGTTTGAGCAACTTCTTCATTACATGATACTGTCTGTTCCTAGATACTCTGAGGCAGAGGTAGGGGGATCGAAGTCAAGACCAGCAGGGCAAAAAAACCTCAAGACTCTCTCCAAACACTAACTTAAGCATGGCTCAATTGGTAAAGCACCTGTCTAGCAAGAACAAGGCCCTGAGCTCAAACTCTAGCTCTGCCCCAAACAAACAAACAAACAAACACAAACAAATAAATAAAAGAGGCCACCAAGAACTGGGAGATAGCAAGGTTCTCAGGAGTGCCTTATGGAAAGGGGACAATGGGTCAGAAGTCTGGCTGCCAGGGTAGTGAGAGAGAATGTATTTGTCTGGGGAGAAAGGTGATAAGATGTCCCAAGTAATTCAGAGGATAAACAAAGCCACTTTCTGAGAAGGGTGGTCATTTAGAATAACCTCACTGACTGTCCAAGGTATCTGACTTGGCCCGCTTCCTACTTCATTCTCACTCTGGATTTTGCTCTGTTCCTTGAAGTTGGGCCACACCAGGCCTCTTCTGTTACTTTCCCAGTCAACATCATTTCCATCTCAGAACCTCTGCACTGGCTGCTTCCTTTTCTAGAACACATTCCCCACACATCCCACGGCTGGCTCCTTATAATTCTAGTTTCAGTTCAAACAGCACTTCTTCAGGGACGATTTCTCCTCCTAAAATAGCCTAACTCTTTCCCCTCAGTCGTTCCTCATCTCACTGCCCTATGCACTCCATTGCACTTTTTGTTCTCTTGCATGCGTGAATTGTGTCCCCCACCAGATGGAAGAAGCTCTGTGGAAGCAGAAGGGTCCTTTCTGTCCCCTTCACTGCTGTCACCTCAGTGTCTGGCAGGTGGCAACTATGTAAAATAACTGCTACATTGTATAAGTTCCTGCGGTCCGGAGAATCCTAGACTTTGGGAGGGATCAGGTTACTCCTTGTGGACGATGGGAAGTGGGATAAGCCGTGGGGACCTGGGAGGGGCAGCAGGAGCCCGATCTCGGGAGGGCCGGGGGATGGGGGTCACTCACCTGCCGAATGGCCGCCAGCGTGTTCTCGGGCGCGTCGTGGCTGCCGCCGCGGTGGGCAATGGCGGAGACGCGGTCCCGGGGCTTGAGCACCTGCAGGACCCTGAGGGAAGGCACGGGTTCGAAGCTGACGAGGCGCAGCAGGACGTAGAGACTGCCGGTGAGAAGGCAGGCATTGAAGGGGCTGCGCGTCACCATCAGCAGCAGCACCAGTAAGAAGGAGAAGGGACCCAGGAGGCCCCCCTGGTCCTCCCACAGCCACATGCCGGCAGCCCGCACCGGCACGAACACGGACCAGAGTCCCGGACCCGCCGGGCTCCTGGAACAGGACAGCGAGAAGCGACCCGGGAAGGTCAAGGTACTGGCAGCAGCCAGCACCCTCCGCGGGGACGAGCGCTGCACAATGGCGGCGCCCGCCCCATCCGGAGAGCCGGGAGATGTCCAGCCAATCAGGATTCGGATATTCAGCCAATCAGAAGCCGGGATCTCCAGAGCTGAGGGGGCGGAACTACTGCCATGGCAACGGGGCTGCCCCCAACCTCGAGGCTCGGGTTCTAAGATAGCTCGGTGTTATCTGGGGTTGGGACGTGACCCCCGGCGTTTCAGACACGGTAGGAGCAGGGGAGGGAGAAGGCAGGAAGGAAACTTGGTGACTCCTGTGTCTGCCCTCGAGGAAAGTAAGGTCCTGGGAAGCTTGGCCTGCTTATTTAAGACGTGTCAGACAGTGGTCAGGTGCTATGAGCCGGACCTACGTAGGTCTTAGAGGGTTTTCATTCTTGTGGGGGAAGTGATGCTGTTAGCAAGTATAGCTAACATTTACAGAGCACTTACCTTGTCCCACTTGCAAACACTCTGTATGCATATCTTATCTTTACAGCGGCCTCTGTAGGAGGTTCACTTAGGATTCTTCAGATTAGAAGGGAATGAAAGAGCAGAGCAAAGGAGGCACAATCAGACTTTAAATCCGGAAGGAATTTTAATGATTTCTTATCTTATGGATGAAGACGCTTAAGAGAGATGAAGTGAATTGAACAGCTAATAGCAAGGTCAGGTGTGGAATCAAGCCCTTCCCCCCCCTCCCAGTGGCTTGTGATTTTTCTGGAATATATTAGGAGACAAGAGATGGATAGGTTCTCAAGTCCTTAATTCATGCTGTGTAAAAATAAGAACATAGCTCTTAAAAATATGTCTCTTCCTTCCCGTCAACACTGAATGAAATGTTTCTGTCCCTTGTTCTTACATTCCTACTGTTATTCCAGGTGCATGGTAGCACCATGAGGTTCTCAAAGGTGAACTGGCCACTGATCTGTATCGCACATGGGAAAAAAACTTCTTAAGACATAAGAAAGAGATTTCTTTAAAGATGTCACCTTCTTCAGCATGGTGGTGCACATCTATAATCCCAGCTCTGGCACGGCTGAGGCAGGAGAATCGCTGGAGTTCAAGTAAACCTGGGCTAAATAGTGCATTCCAGACCAGCCTAGGATAATACATCAAGACTCTGTCTCAAAACAAAACAAAAACAAGATAACAATCCCCTGGAGTCCAGTGGAAACCCTGGACCACTGGACCACTCCAGCAACTCAGTAAAAGGGCCTATTCCTTCTTCTGATTGGGGACAGACTGACCTATCAGTGTTGTCCCCTGTGCCTCTTCCCTCATCCTGCCCTTCTTGAGGATAAGTCTCCATTCAAAGCTTTTGCCTGAGAATTGTTGTACATCTTAGTTTTTATTTCTATTATCATGGGATGGAGAAGCCCTTGCGTCCTAGTCATTTCTAGTCCCTTTCCTCTTCTTACTTTTCTTCTTACAAAGTAGAGTGCTTGCCTAGGAAGCACAGTCCTGAGTTCAAGTCCCATACTGAAAAAACCCCTCCGTTGTGCCTAACAACCACCCTTGTGATAGGCACTTCCAAAACCCCCTTTTTTACTTATGCAAAGATAGGAACCGGAAGGAGGGTAAGAGAACCAGAAGGTAAAGCCCAGTAAGAGAATGGAAGTGGGGCCTCTAAACCATATTTTGCAAAGCTGGTAACACGTTGTTTAAATAATTCTAGCAAAAGATCTGGGGCTTTTTCTACATCTTGAATCTGTTACCTTTCCGCCTTGGACTTATCTTCCCGCCGATTTGCAAAGGGGCACAGAAATCTTTGAACTGGTATCTAGGATTGAGATAACTTTCTTTATCTACAGGAAAAAAATCTGGTGAATGTTGTATGCTTTCCAAAAAACACACAGATAAGGGTTATCTTTATACAGATAAGAAAAAAATGACAACTTCAAGGAACACTTCCGGGGACCCTTACGAGCGTTCGTACCTACCGTAGTTAAATCACAATTTCTGAGGCGTCAGCTTGCAGTGAAGACTACGTTTCCCAGAGCGCACCTTGCCTTTCGTACGCACCACGTATTCCAGATAACTAGCGCGCAATGAATCATGGGAATTGTAGGTTCTGGAGGGCCAACAGTTCCAACCGCCGGAGAAGCAAACACCGGAAGTACCGGCCCCGAGGGGTGGAGTCCGAGTGGCGGCTGCTGCGGCGGTTGCCAGGAGCCCGCGTTGCAGCTTGAGAGACGCGTAATATGGCGGGGAGAAGGAGGAGAAGGCGGCGGCGGACCCAGTTGCGCTGTGTCAGAACCAATTGAGCCTTCTACTTCCTGACAAGGCGGGTGTCGAGGGGAGAGAAGCGAACCGGGCGGCGGAGGATCAGGTGTGTGCCTGAGGAGGGGGCTTGGCGCTCTGCGGGAGGAGCCCTGTGGGGCTGAGGCGGGCTCGGTGCGGCGCTCCGGGGCGCGGGGGCAGCAGGTGATGCTCGGATGCAGGCAGCGCGGGGCGCGGCGGCCGCCGGCGCGGAACCTGGTCTTGGGGGTCGCGGGTGCCGGGGTGCGTGCAGAGGGAGCCGGCGAACCCCCTGCTGGGGGTGAAGCTGGGGCACTGTCCCCGGTGGGCGCCGGCCGTTTGTTTCCGAACCCCGAAGTCCCCGGAGCGCTGTTTACGCCGCCTTTGCGACTCGGGGACCGCAGCGTGGGGTTAACGGGCGAATCTCCCCGATGCTGCGAGGCAGGGCGCGGCCTTCGCTTCCCCCATCTCGTTAGGATCCCGGCCCGGGCAGCGGGTGGGGAGGACGCCGTTGTCCCCCTTCCGGTGTTTTCGTGTCCCATCGAATCGTAGAAAGCGCTGTCGCCGTCCTGCCGGAGTGGGAGGCAGGTGATTAAATCACCATCATTAGCGTCTTCCTCCCAGCAGCGCCCGGTGACCGATGCTTTCTGCTCGTGCCGCCGCGTGCTCATCACCGGTCCTGTGCATTCGATCATTGAAGTCCGGCAGATCCCTTAGACACGGGTCCCCTGATGATCCCCGTATGACAGATAAGGAAACAGATGCAGGGGTGGCACCTGGCCCGCCGGGAATGCCCACCTGGGTTGTGCTCGTCTCCTTCACCGCCTCTTTGGGAGAACGGATGGGTAAGCAACGAGTCAGGGTCTGGACTGTGTTGCTGTCACCATTCCCGCCAGTGACATCTCTGGCTGAGATGAGCCTTTGGGGTTGGCAGAGAGGCTCACTTGGACAAAGGTCAGTCGTACTGTGCTATTCATGGCGAAGACCAGGCATGTCTGAGCCTGCTGCAGCTGACATTATTAATGGAAGTGGACCAGGAGTGACTGATAGACAGTAGATTTGTGGCTGGGAGGGCCTGGTAGTCAGGATTCCTTTAAAATGAAATCTGGCGCACAGTGGTAATTGAGGTCTGGGAAACACAGTACCCTCTGGCTTAATCATGGCATCTGAATGGCCCACTTCTTAAATGACTACCTTTGCAGTTTATGGGTAGCAGATTCTCAGGGAACAGAGTCATCCAAGAATTCCATCCTCCGGATTCCATTTTTCCTTGCTAGTTGCGTTGCTGTGTACTCCTCTGTCTTCTTTTTTCCCCTGGTTGAGCTAACTGGCCTAACTCTATTCATTACTTTCATTAAGTGCCTACTGTGTGCTGATACTGTTGTGTGTCATGGGCTTGAGTGAGCAAGACTGAGAAGGTTCCTTTTCTTAATGGAGCTTTCAGTTTGGTGGAGGAAAGCGGACAAAAGCCAAGGAAATAAACAAGATAATTTCAGGTAGTGGTGAGTGCGTGGCACCTGGGAAATGCCAGCATAATGTGATAGTGACCGAGGCAAGGCTGATTAAGAAGGGGTAGTTGGGGACAGCCTTTCTAAGGAGGGGACATCCAGGCTGAGTCTGAGGATAAGCAAGGTCCAGTCATGCTCCAGGATCATTTGCTACTTTCCATAGTCTCCATAAGTAGCACTGGAATTTGAATAAATGATGTAAGTTAGTTTGTAATGAAAATATGTTACTGCATACCTGCAGAGTGTAGGACATGCATGCACTATTTAAGAGACATGATGAACTTTCTGAAACAATAAGGCATCTCTCTACAATGTTAAAAGAAAAATAGTTTATTTCCTTAAATTTTCCAGAACTTTAAAGTTGAATTTCATGCTTTGCTTACATATCCATACAAAATATAATACATTATTAGTACAAGAATCTATTTGCATTCTTTCATAATGCTAGATATGTTTGTTGTGTTAAAAAAATACTTTGATGGCTGGAGATAATAGTTCAGTGGTAGAGCACTTGCCTAGCATGTGCTGCCCAGAGTTGGATCCCCAGAACAGGAAAAAAAAATACTTAAAAATATTTTAGCAGATTTTTTTTTTTGAGAGTTCTCTTAGATCTTAGCCACTGTATGTTTTGGCTATTAAGATACTCTGATATGAGTTGAAACCTAGAGTGAAAAATGCTATGCCATAAAGTATTTTGATGCTTTTTACTGTTGCTTTTTTTTGTGAATATAAGCCTGCAGAATAATCTCATTCCTACTCTAGAGAACTATTTCTTTGAAATAAAATAGCAATATCTTTTTTTAATTACCTAATCATAATTTGAATATGCTCTTTCTTCATTTATAGTTGTACTATATTTTCCTGATACTTAATGTGTGACATTTTTAAGTACTTTGAGGCCTAAGACAGTGTGGTATTTTAATTTATCTCATGTTTGCATATCCCACATGATGAATTAAGTTTCCCAGTCTTTTTCTGTGAAGTCCTATTTTATTTTTAAAATATAAACTTAAAGTAACGTTACTGCATTAGGTTTTCTGTGTCCACAGTTCATCTGTTCCCTTGCTGGTTATGATTCTGATAATGACTCTTTTGTTATTTTCCCTTGCCTATTTACAAGAGACAGTGCCACATGTAATGCTAGGCAATCAGTAAATATTTAGTGCTTGCCAAAATGTGAATATGGTGGTTACCTGGCATTTTCTTAACCACCATCAAAGTTTCCCAGAAATCATGAAATTACTGGGCTGATTGGTTTTAAGTAGCTCACTAACAATTCCAGTTGTCAACATTAAAATAGGATTGATCCAAGAGCCTGTAGATTTTCTCTGTTCTACCTCATGGTCATGGAACCAAAATATAGCCTGAAGATACACAAGTAATAGCCTTCGAACTTCATAACAGAAAAATAGTTTTTAAAATTAGGTAGTCTTTTATTTAAATATTCCTCCTTTTGTTGCAAAAGCATTTGAACCTCCATAGGATGTTGTTTTTCTTGTGCTGTGTAGATAAGTCCTATTAAAGAAAATGTAGGGGCAGGAGGGGATAAAGGAGAATGGTGGAGGGGGTGAATTCAAGTATGATATATTTGATATATTGTAAGAACCTTAATGCCACATTGTACCCCCAGCACAACAATTAAAAAACAAAATAAGATACTAATTTGAAAAAAAAAAAGGAAAATGTAGTGCTCTATTTATGGTAATCTGAAGTTAGTAAAATGGTGCAGAACTGTGTTTCCCTTAAGACAGTTTCACCATGCATTCTTAGTGCTCTGTAAACGAATTACATTTAAAGATTGATTTACTTGCAGAAATGTTCATAAAAATTTAATATATGGAGCAAGTCTTGGCTGGACTGAGTCTTGAAGTGCTTTCCTTACTGTACTCTCGGGTTAGCTGCTGACCAGTGGGATGATTCCAAGAAGGCCAGTTCTAGGACCTATGGTTTGTTAATTTTACCAAATAATGAAGGTCTGTTTTAAATGTTATTCAGAAGAACATTTTTCCTCTTTCAGAGTGACTGTGGAAGATGGAGGGATATGAGGAGTTCTGTGAGAAGGCTCTGGCTAGAATCCGAGAAACATCCCCGACTTCAAACAGCTTTCTGCTTGCTCCGTCTGACAGCATCTCACTGATTCGCTTCCATGGTGTAGCTGTGCTTTCCCCACTGGTAAACTTTCTTTACTTCTACACAACTTTTCCTCTAGTGAATCGCTAATGCAGCTCACAGAACAAATGGGAGGTTTGTAAACAGATGAAAAGATGCCTAATGTTTATTCATAATTAGATACAAATGAGTTAGCACTTTTTACGGTAAAGATTTGCAAGATCTGGTAGGACCTTTGTTCCTTACATTCCAGGGAAAATGTACCGTTACTGCATTTTACTAAAAAAAACCAGTTGGTTTTAGTTTTGGTGAACAGTTTAGTAGTGTTCATCAAAATTGAAAAGTATATATTACCTTTGACTCAGCAATTCCATTTTGGGAGACTCTCCTGCAATTACAGGTGTGCTGAAAGTATTATGTTCAGGTTATACCTGCATCATTTAAAACAGCAAGAGACTGACTAACAGCCTGCACGTCCATTAACAGTGGTCCATGCTATAGACTTTCATACATGCCATTAAAATGAGCAAAGTAGATCTAGAAATACAGGCAGGCATGGAAGGCTCCCAGAGGCTGTCTAGAGTAGCAGTTAGAAGCCCAGGCTCCAGAGCCTCTGGGTGGCTTAGATTCAAATCATGTTTAGTCGCTTCTCTGCCGGGTGAATTTGTAGTCCATTTCCTTGTCTGCTAAGTGGGGATACAGATAGCGCCTGCCTCATAAGGTTGTTGAGGAGTAAATGGATCAATCTGTGTGAAATGCTTAGAACTCTACCTGGATCCCAGGAGGCACTCGATGGATAGAATATCTGCATTTTACTTAGTGGCAGAATCTTTCTCTGCAAAGGCTGAGGGAATAGAGGATGGTAGGGAAGACACATTTTCATCGTAGACGCTTTGATACTGACTTTTATTAAAATGTATATGACTTTGTTTTAAATCATTTAATCATTTAAATTAAAGTTAATGTTAGTAGAAGAAAATAAATTTAAATATTTTGTATAATAAGTACTAAGAGTGCAATATCTTCTGCCAGATTTTTGTGATGAAATTTTCAAACGTTAGAAAAGTTGAAAGAATAGTACAATGACCATCTGTGTTTCTACTGTCTAGATTCATCTTTGTGTAATCATGTTTGTAATTTTATGTATCTGTATGATGCATATGCACACATATATTTTTAAAAAATTGCCTACCCATTTGAAAATTGCACATCTGTCATACTTTTCCCTAAATATTTTGTTACGTATTTTCTAAAACTAAGGACATTTTCCTATATAAAATTCCAATACAATTCCCACACCTTAACAACATAATTTTTAGTAGCAGCTAATATTTTGTTCATATCCACAATTCTCTGTTTAAATTCAAATGTCTTTTATAGCTTTTTTTTCCCTAATTTGAGTCTAGGCAGAGTTTACTTTTCTTTAATTTCTTTTAATATAGAATAATTCCTCTACCTCTTAATTTTTTTTTTTACTTTTGGCAGTACGTGGGTTTGAACTCAGGGCCTTGCACTTGCTAGGCAGGTAATCTGTTACTTGAGCCATGCCTCCAGCCCGAGATTAAGATTACCTTCTTTTTTTTTTCTAGTGCAGGGGATTGAACCCTAGGCCTTGCACATGCTAGGCAAGTGCTGTACCACTGAACTACATCCCCAGCACTAAACATTTTTTAAATGATACTTTTAAAGAGACTAGACTAATTGTCTTGTGAAGTGCCTTGCCTCGTTGATTCATCTGATTGTTTCCTCATGGTGATCATTAATGTATTCCTCTAGTCCCACTAGTTTCTGAAAATTGGAAGCTCAGTCTAAAAATTTGGTAAGAAATAGGTTAAACATTTTTGGACAGAATTCTCAGAGATGCTGCCATATACATCATGTTAAGTTAAGTCAGAAGTTAGGTAGTGTTTTTCTGTCCCTCTATTAGTGATATTTAGTTTGAATACTTGCTTACTACGAGGACTGCTAGCTGATGCTTTAACGTATACACTTCCACATTTTTAATTAGCAAGTAAACTGTATAATGATTCTTTGGTACCAAATAGGAAAAAAATTTGAAGCAACATTTTTATCAGCTATTTGATGATCTATTGCTTGATTGTGGACTAAAGTGTCTGGGCTTATTGCATAGTCTGTGGCTCCATGGGTTAATAAGCAAAATCCAATGTCTGTGCCCCTAACCACTGCTTTTATGTTGTATTTATAGATGAATGTTGCAATTTTGCAATAATTTTTTTTATGACGTTTTCCATTTGCAAAAGTCTAACATAAGTTTTGACTAGATTTCTCAGACTTAATAAAGATTAAATCCTCTATAAAAAGATATAAATCTTTGAAGTCTTCAACTTTTTTTAGGCACATCATAGTTTTAGTGGAGGTTACAATGAGGTGGAATAAGAAATGTGTTCTGATTTTATACACAAATAAAACACCTGTTTATCTTTTATTGTTACATCTTTGGACGTTTTCTTGCAGCGGAGGTGAAATGTGCGCTGGTTAGAAGATTAAAAGTTGAAGAGTGTGAGATGTTAGAAGAGATGCTGCTAAATGAAGAGCTGCATGTTGGCCAAAAAGGCCGATTTTGTCTGTTGTTTTCGAGCATTTGATACGTGAACAAGTTTTTTTTCTTTTAACTTTTATTTTTCAATTGAGACTAGTTCACCTCAGTGAAATGCACAGATCGTAAGTGTTAAGGTTCTTTGAGTTTTAGTATGTGGCCTACACCTGAGTCTCATCCACACGGAGCAGTGAGGTCACCACAGAAAGGTGCCATGTGCCCCATCCCAGTCAGTGCCCCCACTGTCAGAGTTCTCTTAGCATACATTAGTTGTGCCTGTTGCATATGGTTTTAATCATCCTGATTAAAAAGCTTTCTAATTTTATATTTTTATCATTAAGAAACATTTACAAATTTATGATGTCTTGCAGCTTAACATTGAGAAGAGGAAGGAAATACAAGAAGAAAAGCAGAAAGCACTTGATTTAGAAGGAAGAAAACAGGTTAACAGGAAGAAAGCCTTACTGACTCGGGTCCAGGAGATTCTTGAAAATGTTCAGGTGTGTAATCCAGACTTTCAGATTGTAATTACGAAATCATAGAGCCAGCTTGATGATAGTTTTCAGAACTATATCTACACTTAGCTGGTTAATTACTAATATGCTTAACTGTTAACTTTGTGAAGCTTTTTAATTTATGGTGCTTCATTTCAGTTACTCCAAAGAGAATTCAGTTGCTTGTTAGTGATGCTGGGTACTTGAACGGGAGGGTACATAGATAGTGGAGCCATACACGGAGAGAATTGCTATTGTCTATGTCTCATGACACTAAAAGCATTGAATTCTCAGTAGCAAAAATGATAGAATTGGCCATTGTAGAGAGCTCCTGAACTAAACAGACTATGGACTGAAGGACCTTCTCGTTCTTTGCTAAAGTAAATAACAGCCACAGTTGTTCTTTTTGGGTTTGTTTTGTGAAAATTCTGCATTTTAGGTATGCAAAATGGAATTTAGGTTAAATCAATAGAATTGCCTAGAGTGAATTAGATCCAAATTGAATCATTTAAAGAATACATTCACACGTTTTGCAATTATTTTTATTTAGCTTAAATTTATACAAACAATTTGTTTTTAGGTCTAGTTCATTTCATCCTAAAAAAAAAAAATCAAGTGAATTAGAGTGAACAAATAATTTCTGCCATATATAACTCTTTTGCTGGTTACTTTTTGTTTTTTCATAATCTTAGGCATTTGTGGATGTGTTTGTGACTCATACTAGATAACACATGTATCATGAACCTTAGTGTATTTCCAGTCACTGCTAGCTGCATTTCTCTGTAGGTAGTATGTGGTGTGGGTAGCAGATTATAATTACTGTCTATGTTAAGTTTAAAAGAATAAGGTACAGCACTAATTTCATAAGACAAGGTAAGTTTTTACTTGCTAGGTATTTCCTGTTTTTGTAACAAAATGGCATACTGTTCTTAGTCCAGTGAGAAAGACACCAAATATATGGCTAATAAAAAAATAAAAACTATGTTTAAAGAGCATTCTACACTGTTAGCTGTAATAAATTAATTACTCAAGTAGAGAAAAGTTATATTATGCAAATAGATTTTGAGGATCTACATTACCTGTAAAACTTATGACTGAGTGATAGTTTTTTTAAAATTTAGTTTGTCTAACCAAAGGCTCATTTTAGCAGTGTACAAAAAATACAGCTGATGTGTGGGGGAAGGAGGATGAGGGAGAATGATGGAGAGGGTTAATCTAATTAAGATACATTATAAATACATGTGTAAATGTCATAATGAAATACCTCTGTGCTACTAATATGTGCTAATAAAAAGCTGTTATCACAAATGTGAAAGGTGAAAAATTTTGTATAAAGAAAGACTGTTTTGCTTGAACCTGTGGATATGTGTGTGCATTTGGTGAGAAAACATCCCTTTTGTTTTATTTTGGTCCTGAGGTTGTAACTAAGTACACTTGTGCTATTTATTGCCTAATACCTTGAGACCATTGTGCATCATGGGATTTGTAAGGTGAAACAGGAGGCCATATGGTCTAGGAAAAATACGAGCACATACAAAACAATTCTAAAATTTTTTTTTTTTCTTTTTGGTGGTACTGGGGTTGTGAACTCAGTGCTTGCTAGGCAGGCGCTCTTCCATTCTGCTACTGAGCCACGCCTCCAGCATCCCCCCTCAGTCTTTTAACATTCAAGATGCTGAACTCTGCACTCATGGTAATTTTATAGGAATTTCTACCAGTTTAATATGTGCTTGTATAGTCTTTTTTTCTTTTTTCTTTTTTTTCTCTCTTTGCAACAGGATCTTGATATGTAGCCCAGACAGGACTCAAATTCAAGACTCTCCTGCCTCAGTCTTGCAGAGTGCTGGGATTAAGGTGTGTGCCACCACACCCAGCCTGTGCTCGTATAATCTTTAGAAATCATACTAGTTCATTTTTTAATTCACTTTCACAGTTGGATAATTTGAATACAAAATGTGGTCTTATTTTTCCTTTTGGATCTCTTATGTACATGGTCGTTCTCATCTTGATGTATCAAATGTTTTCCTATTTGCTGGTTCCAAAACACCTTGACTGGTTTTCAGCTACCATCAGTTGATCTAATTGAATTTGATTTTATGAGTTGAGCTTTAAGCCAAAATATTTTTATATTTCTAAGTAATGTAAGCTACATGGATGAGCTGTTATTTACTACAGATTTCCCTCATTTTATGGAGGAGTTTTAGTGAAACTGGAGTAAACATGTGGGAGGCAGGAGTCCTATTATTGAGTTATTTTTACTTAATTGATGTCCTACATGAGTTTGTCTTTGTTAGAGAGGGAATCGTTTATGTAAGACATTTAATTACTTGGTAGATATTTATTGCATCCTTAGATGACAGTTGTCCTGGGAGGAATAGTTAGTGATCTTAATAACAAAACAGAAGAAAGTTAAGGAAAATGCTTCAGTTCTGAGATTGAATATATATTGAATATATATTTACCATAGATCTGTGCGTGTGTATGCATACATATGTTCCTATTTGTATCAGATTTAATAATTTCCTTTTTTCTTTAAATAAATAGGCTGACCAGTAATTTTTATTAAAAAATTACTATTTTTATAGTAATTTGATACCAATATGATACGGGATACTATAGAAACTGTCCGTCTTTGTTTTTGTGTTTCAAATGTCAGAACTTTGAAACTTCAATTTTTTTTTTAAGGACTTTTTGTACAAGGGAGAGTAATAATTTTTAAATGTCATTTTTCAGGTTAGAAAAGCACCTAACGCCAGCGATTTTGACCAGTGGGAGACTGAAACCATTTTCTCCAAATCAGAAGTCAGAGACTGGAATGAGCCTGCTGCATTTCCAGATGGCTTGCCAAGCCCTGCAGAGCACTCTCCTTCATCAGAGCTTGGCAAGATGACGGAAATGCTGCCAGTGGATAATGAGGACCAGGGCAAACCTATCGGCGGGGACTTAGCTAGAGATTCAGGGGAATTTCATTCTCTGAAGCAGTGCGATAATTCAGACATTAGTCTTGCAGACACTGAAGCATCTCCGAAGACCTCCTCAGCAACCCCACCACACACTGTCACGTCTGATGGTCTCTTCTTAGCTGATGAAGAACATGATCCATCACTTCTGGCAGAAGTCACCCTGGATCCCTACATAATGAGCCTGCAGAACCTGATGAGAAAGTCGAAGGAATTTCTAGAAAGAGAACAGTCAAGGCGCAGTCTGAGAAGTAGTGCTAAGAGGAGTGTTAGTGAGAGTAATTCAGACAAAGAAAACGATGCTGCTGAGGTGGGTGACTCTGTGAAGGACAAGGCCCCACTGACAGGCAAACCCTGTGGCTTAGCTATTCCCGACAAGCCAAGCCTTAATAAGTCCAACATTCTCCTCCAGGGTGCCTCCGCTCAAGCAAGCACCACAAAGACATCGGTTTTACCCAGCTTTTCTAAAGTAGACATCCCTATACGAACTGGCCATCCCACTATTTCACATTCTGAGTCTGATGTTAAAGTTATTCCTGCTTTCATTACTGAAAATCACATCATCAGAAGCCTTACAGACTCATATGCCAAATTACCTAGTCCAGAGCCAAGTCTGAGTCCCAAAATGCATCGAAGGCGTTCCAGGCCTTCATCAGCATGTCACATACTTATAAACAACCCAATAAATGCTTGTGAATTAAGCCCTAAAGGAAAAGAGCAGGCAGTGGACATGATTGTTGCAGCTACCGATGACAAAACAAATGTACCTGAAGCTGTGCCAAAGCTACCTACTGAGGCAGCAGGCGTTTGCTTGAGCAGGACTTATGTCAGCAAAAACTCTTCTGAATCCACGGAGGATATGGTTGTAGGTAAATCAAGTCAGGCTTGTCAGTCTTCAGGAGATCAGTTAGGAAATAAAGTTACTCCTGGACTTGCTACCATAGAAGATCAGTTGGCATCTGATGAGAGAGGAGCACACAAAGTGAATAGTTCTTGTGCTGTAGGCCCTAAGCTGCACGAGCTTCGTGTCACCAGTCAGTGTGTAGCAGGTCATAGCTTTGGAACCGTGAGTGGACCCAAGTCAGCCCATGTGTTAGAGAAAAACTCCTGCAATTTACAAATGGAACTGAATAAGTCCTATGATGTAAAAAACCCATCTCCTTTACTGATGCAAAACCAGAATACCAGACAGCAGATGGACACACCTACAGTGCCCTGTGGAAATGAGCAGTTTTTGGATAACAGCTTTGAAAAAGTTAAGCGGAGACTTGATTTAGATATTGAAAGTCTGCAAAAAGAAAACTGCCCTTATGTCAGAACAACTGGAACAGCTGAAGAGGAAAGGCAACACTTGCCAGAGAAAAGATTCCCCAAGGGATCCTTCTTCCTGGATAGGAATAAAATGTTAGAGACTAGTACCAAAGGTAAGGAAGCTTTGAAGTGTTACTGCTGCCTGAGACCCCAGCACCTTTGTTTTAATGCTTTTAGTTGACATTTTGCAAAATAAAAACCAATTGTCTCTATCTGTCCATAAGGGTACTTAATTTCATTTAACTTATTAGAAAGCATATAACAGCTGTAGTTTATTGCCATTTGTTAGGGTCTCTTAAAGGATTTTTTTGAAGTGGTGAGCTTCAGTAGTTGTTGTAGAAAATATTAATGACTGGAGAAAACAGTTTCTGCATGAAGCATTATTTTAGTCCAGTGTGTTGCTCTGAGGTCTTCCTATGGACTATGGTTTCTGATGGTTTTGTCACTTTTCTCTTTCATTTGTAATGGGTCTTCATTAGTTGGCCCTTTGGTGAACACTGACCCATCAAATTACTAGAGGAAGAATCACAAACGAGGCTCTGAGTGGAGTTTGAAGACTAGTCCTTTATTATGAAACATGATGCCATGTTTCTCATGCATCTGGTTTTCCATTATCAACTTGCTAATGCATGTCTTCCTTCTTCATTGCTTCTTACTTATGGTTTGTAATTCTTCATTACTCATATGGAAGACATAAATTAAGTTCTTAGTACTTAGGGAAAAAATAAGGTTAGGGCAGAATGCCGTAAACAACTTTTATAAGGACTCTAATAAAAAATGGTACCTGGGAGCTGACTTGGATCCTCCAAGTAGACAACACAAAATGTCAGTATTGTTTGCAAAGCCAACTGTGTGCCATTCTCAGCAATGCTTTCACACACATGCAAGATGAGGTCAGTTACAGGGCGGCTGGGCAGCTCTGTGTGCATCTCCACTTAGATGCTTGACAGAGCCCAGAGTTCTCTGTCAATTGAGCAGTTAAGCTCAGGGTCGTCTTCTTTTCTAGCTGAAGGTTATGATTCTGCTGTTCCAGATCCCCTGCATATGAAAAGCTGCACATAGACAAATGCAAAGTGTTGCAGCTGAATAAAATGTTCTCAGGAACAAGTTCCAGGAAGAACAGCAGGAGGCTAGCACACACAGTATACTTGTCTTCAGTAAAAGCCACTGTATTTGAAAAGAATGGATCCATGGTATATATCCTTGCTCCATGTGCATAACAGTTTGCATTTCAGTATTGCATTATGTCTCCCTATTTCTATTTAGTTAGCTTGCCTAGTCATAATGATTGCTCTTGACTTCTTTTTAGTAATTAAAATAGCTGGAATTTAAAAAGCTAACCTTTTTTTGAATGTCAAGTTGGGAAAGCTTTACAACCCCTCAAAGTAACATTTACTTTAAAAATTAAAGTGAATCTGCAAAGTACAAAAGCAGAGATGCTGTGGAAGGGTGAGGTTGGTGGTGACCAAAGTTGAGGACCATGTGTTGAAACTAGTCAGACGCTGGAGATATCTCCTGGACATATGGCCTTGACTGCGTCAGTTCAGGTTGTGCTGGAATCTGTTGAGTGCCTGGGTGAAGGTGATGAGATATCAACGTTTACTGGCTGGTGTGAAAGAAGAGGAGTGGCAGGTGGGAGTGTGGGTCACATTGGTGACCTGCTATATCTTGCTTGTACTAAGTCAGGTCAGAGGCGTGACTCAAGTTGATGGTGGAAAGCATCAGATAAGACTTGTAGTGAGTTTGCTACATTTGAGGTGACTGTACTTCTTTTCAGAAGGTGAGGAGGTACTAAAAAGCAGGATGTTAGCTTTTGAAGAAATGCGGAAGAGACTAGAAGAACAGCACGCCCAGCAGTTGTCACTACTCATAGCTGAGCAGGAGAAGGAGCAGGAGAGATTGCAAAAGGTGAGGACTTAACTATATTTGGGGGGCTGGGCTGGTAAGCGCAAGTTAGTCAGGGATACCTATGGATTTGACCTTGTGTAGAATACTTGTAACTCCCCTGTATATCATGATCTAAGAGGGTCATTGATTTTGATCCACAAATGATATTTTTATTGTCTAAATATGAAGTCTAACATTTAGATCCTTACCTAAAGGTAATTGCATAATTTATGTAAAGGATACATTCTAGAATACTTAATTCAGAAATTCTAAGCTGGGTGCCTGTGGCACAGGCCTGTAATCCTAGTCGCTTGGGAGGTTGAGATCAGGAGGATTATGGTTCGAGGCCAGCCTGGGCAAATAGCTTGAGACACCCCATCTCTGAAATAACCAGAGTGAAATGGACTGGAGATGTGGCTCAAATGGTAGAGCACCTGAAGCCCTGCAGCCATGAAGCCCTGAGTTCAAACCTCAGTCCCCCAAAAAAGAAAAAAAAATTCTCATATTTTTCAAGGTCTTTTATAAATAGCTGCTGAGATAAACATTTTGCAAGAGGAATGTTACAAGGACACTTATTTCTAGATTATTATAGCTATATCATCTTTTAAAATTATTCAGTAGTCATAATTTTAGGGAGGAAAACTGAAATAAATAATTTGCACCTAATTACACGTATTTTTGACTAAGCCTAAAATGATACTATTTGAGGACATAATTAAAGAAAAGATGTAGCATGCTATAATAAACTATTAATCTGCAGGAAATAGAAGAACAGGAGAAAATGTTAAAAGAGAAGACGATGGACGTCTCTGAATTGAGCCTTAACAATGCAGTAGAGTTAGAATGGAGAAAAATAAGTGACCCCGGTTTGCTAGAAACCATGCTGTCTCAAGTGGACTCATTCCACACTTCAAATAGCTCTGGTAAGTATTCAAAACATTGTCCTACAGTAAGATGTTTTACTTGGCATACTTTAAAACCCTACCTTCCTTCTTTAAGTAAGTGCATGCCCATCCCACTGCCTTTTGCTAGCTTCTTAGTATCTAGTAACAAATGAAACCATAGCAGATCAAAGACCGCCAAGCAGGTGTTCATGAGAAAAGACTACCTTAGCAAGGAGAATGTTAGGACATTGGGCCCAGAGCTCATTCATGTGCAGGTGAAACACATAGGCGAAAACACCGTTTGTTATCTCCTGAGTGATCTTGAATTACCTCTAATTCCCTAGTCCTGTGAGAGCCTATCTGCACAGCATCAATTATCTTGAGATCCTGTTTGTGTTGAAAAGATCCATCTGGTCCTTACACTTAAAAGGTCATAAATATTTTAAATCTGCATGTGGATCAGTTTCAGAGGCAGATGTTAGTCTTAATGAGTGTCACAAACGTTTATTTGAAAGTTTTTATGACATCAAGTGTAATACTGTATTTTCCTAGGTTTCACAAATTCTGCCCTACAATATAGCTTTGGTTCTGCAAATGAAGCACCATTCTACCTTTGGGGAGCATCAGCGAGCGGTGTGGCCAGACTCTCAGTAGCAAGGCCTTTTGGAAGGGCCCACACTAGGTGGCCTCAGGTGGGCAAACTCAGTTTGTGTCTTTCTATTCCTCAACTTACCTTTTTTAAAGAGCTACATTATTTTAGGCTATTTGGATGACCCCTTAGTATCTTTGCATACACTAAATAGCTTTTGATACAAATGAAACCACACAGAGCAAATAGAAAGGAATTTAGCCCATTGTAATAGATCAAGAAAAACAGGTGATTAGGATGCTCATAATCTTAAAACATTTGTTTTATTTCTTTTAGGTTTTTAGTCCAGAACTCCAGGCAAAATTTAACAGAATCACTGCAGTGGCAAAAGGATTTCTTACTCGTAGGCTGATGCAGACGGATAAGCTGAAGCAGCTTCGGCAGACTGTGAAAGTAAGAGTGATTGGGTGGTAATTCCTGTCTATCTTCTGACAGATGTTACAAGTTTAGAACTTAGATCAAATGTTTCTACTGTCATATAGGCAATTTTATGTCTGATGATTGAACTTAAAATTTTTTTAAATTCAAAATTGTTTTTTGCCAGCATTTCCTTTTTGTTTTCTTCTTGATTTTTTTGAGATTAGGTTTTTTTTTTCTTTTTGAGATAGGGTCTCACTAAGTAGCCCAGGCTGGCTTCATGGCCTCAAATTTGAGATTCTCCTGCTTCAACCTCCTGAGTGATAGGATTATAGGATTCTAGGTGGCCAGCATTACTTTTTTTTTTTAATATTTGTCATTAATGGTTTTAGTTAAGAATGAGAGCACAGTAATGCAAAAACCTTGGTTTATGAGTTAAGCTACTACAAAGACAATACAATGGCCCTTTGAAGTACTTTGAGGACTTCCTCCCAGTTTTACTTTTCTGTTGCAGAAAAGTAGCCTGAGAGGTTGGAGTGAGAGGTTGTGCCCTAAGAGGCTGTGCCCAAGCTGGGGTGGAATGAGCAACAGCTAGTCAGAAGCACTTGGGCCAGGGTAGTTTATGTAGCTGGGATCTTGGAATATGCTACACAGAGATGCTTGCATTAAGCAGTCTGGGTGCCAGGTTACTAGAAGGCTCTTGCCCTGTGGAGAATGAGCAGGAGCTAGGATTCCTCTGAGATCTGTGTCCTTCCTTTGAGGGTTGAGGGTATCCTTAGGCCCCAGACAAGCATTTCTTAGCTTTACCCTTTCCCTACACATTCCTGTGTGTTTCACCACACAGGCCTCGCAGCTTATAGAAGATGCACACGGTGAAGGCAGGAATTCTAGGCGTGCTCAGAGGAATCTAGACACAGAAAGCCTTTGAGTATGTGAGAAACTACAGATGCCTTCATGGTAATTCACTTATATGAATAAAGGTCATAGTTTCTTCTGGTGACAGCTTGCTGTCTCGTATAGTTTGTGTGCATGCTCACACAGTACAGTGACTACTGGTGTGGTGCCTACCTTCGTCCCACCCTCACAGTCTCTTTGTGTGTCTTCTGTGTGGACCCCAGCCGTGGTGTACTGGCTGCTCATGGACTGACCCAGACTTCCTTCTGAGATCTCCAGTGGCCTGGCCTTTTGCTGCTAAATGGGAAAGTCCTCATCACAGGTGTAAGATGTAGGGACAAGGGCTGTCCTTGTCTGTGTGCTTCCTCATCACATTCTCCTCTGTCCTAGTCATGTGCGTCTTCACCCTCAGGCCTGGGTGCAAGGCCTGGCGTCTGCATATTGTGAACATGGCCTCCAGTGCTGACTGACCACTAGGCACAAGTCTAAACTTCATCACTGCCCTCCTCTTCCTCATCAGCAGCACATCTTTTGGATTCTTTTCCAAATTTGTCATTTACAGATTACATACAAATGGCTCTTCTTGACAGGTACTTGGGTCCCTGGACACTGCCTATAGACCAGTGGTGGGTATTCCAGTGAGCATCCTGACACACAACTTCTCATCCAGGCCACAGCTCAGGACCTTCCTGTTCTGCACAGCCCTGGCATCTCATTTGGCCCTTAGGTGGCCAGGAGGCAGAAGCTTTGCAGAACGTGCATCATAAGCTCCTGGGTAGCAGGGGCCCAGCAGGCCCATCTGTCTGTGGCCAGCCCCTCATAAGTTAAAAAATAATGTGTAAATGAAGTAGTTTGTGTATTTTTCTCACTTTAAAGTGAGTGCTGTTTGACATGGAATCAGTAATTGTTTCACTTATGTTTTCCTCAGTTTTAGACTGCCTGAGAGAGAACAAAAGGAAGCCCAGCAATCACAGATCTTTCCAGAACAGTGTGTTGAAACAGCGTTTCTGTTTTCAGGATACCATGGAGTTCATAAGAAGCTTCCAGTCAGAAGCACCATTAAAGAGAGGCGTAGTTTCAGCACAGGATGCATCGCTGCAGGAAAGAGTGTTAGCACAGGTAAACACACCTGTCCTGAAAGTTCTGGAGGCAACTTATTAGAGCCCCAGAAATGGAAACTCATATTTGTCTCTTCATTTAATCATAGACAGTAGGCTTCAAGGACAACTACTGCAGCCTTTTTCTCTAAATAAAGACATTGTGTCTTTGAGCTCTTACCCCATCTTTTAAATGTGGCACTATTTTCTTCTCTTGCCTGTAGCTGCGAGCTGCCCTGTATGGTATTCATGACATATTCTTTGGAATGAATGCAGCTGAGAGAATGTCTATCCTACGTCACGATCGAGAAGCCCGCAAGGAGAAGATGCTCAGGCAGATGGTGTGCATTATTTTGTGCTTTGCTAATGGCCCAGGGGAGGTGGTGCTGTCACTTGCTGTTGCCTTCAGCATCTTCTGCAGTTGTTATGCATGGGTAGTTCCCAGGATTAGCAGCAATACTTACATACGTAGGCAGACTTAAAAGAATCACACAGTGAAATGATTGCACATTACTTTGTGATTGGAATTTGGATTGAGGCCTGGAATGTTTTGCTGGATGGCTCACATAAACATCAGCTGTTCCTGGTTGAGTTACCTTGTCACTGTCATGGATTATGTCCCTTTTGAGATCAAGTTAGAAAACAAGCTCCAAATTAATTGAAATACTATATATCAGAGTGTTTGTGATCTATGGGTGAATCAATGTGTGGCCAGCAAGAGAAAAACTAGCAACATTTCTATTATTTCATTGGGAAAATGATTTTAAATATTTAATTTCTAGAATCAGACTGTGTCAGTTATAAAGAAAAACAATGTGGGATCATGTTCTCTTATTGGAATTACTGGTATGAGTAGAGTTTTATGTTACTTTTGTTCTTTGAAGGATAAAATGAAAAGTCCCCGAGTGGCTCTTTCAGCTGCAACACAGAAGTCTCTTGATAGGAGGAAGTTCATGAAGTAAGTTTAGTATCAAATCAATTAATTTTAGTCATCTGTGGGTCTGTTGTACATTCAAATGAGAAATAAACAGTTAATTTGTCTGCAGTTGAGCTGATAGACTCCCACCCACCTCCCCACTCCCGACACACACACCTATTTTTTGTTGTTGGCAGTACTAGGGTTTTGAGCTCAGGGCCTAGCCCTTGCTAGGCAGGTGATTTACTACTTGAGACATGCCCAGCCCAGAAATCCCTTTTTTAAATATAGGGATTCATTAAAAACAAATGGTAAAATCTGATTTCATCTTTTAATAAATCACTTAATTTGTTAACATTCAACTCGTGTAATCAATAGCCAACCAACCAGTCTTAAAAACAGTTACTCCTTCTATTCAGTGTTTAATTTTATCTCTTTTAAATCTTCTGATATCCTAAAGATTTCCCAGGGAAAGCTTTGTAGGACGTGTGCTCTAAGGGTTACGTTTAACTCCTTTCTTGAAAATACTTAGTGTGTTTAGCACAGGTCTTTCAGAGAATGCTCACTACTGAATGAGGATTTGCTCTGTCTGCCCCTGTCACATTTGTAAGCATGATTTTTTTTTCCCCTTCACTAATATGTTGGTTTTGTCCTTATTTTTATGTTGTGTTAGAGCTGCTGAAATGGGAATGCCAAATAAGAAATTTCTGGCTAAACAAAATCCTTCTGAGACAAGGTGAGGAAAACTTCATTTCCTCTCACTGAGAGGCTTTTTTTTAAAGAAAGAAAACTTTATAAACAATGGAGTTCCTTTCTGCTAACCTTTTGCTTTATATCAGTCAGACTTGCTGGGCTGGGGAATCTGAGGCTCAGGCCTCACAGTCTCACCTGGTCTGTTCCTAGGCATGTGTCAGGTCTTATGGTCCTGGAGCTTTTTGTAGAACATGCTGTCTCTGGCAGGAATTTGAACCTAACATGTCATGAGCTCACTCTACAGTCCTAGGATCCCTTTGGTGCTTGTTTCAAAGCCTTAGAAAGCTAACTCAGTATTTTTGACATATTTCTTCTCTCACATGTTTGAAAAGTTGGTTTTTGTAAGATGTGTAAGTAAATTACATTAAAAGCACAAGGGTTGACGTATGTTGGACACCTCCTTCCTGATAGAAATGTAAGGTGGGGTTCTTGGTGAGCAAAATGTAAGTGCATCTTAATATATGTTACTCAGTGCCTGCGGCTTTCGGTCGGTGACACATGAGCCTTCCCATGGCTTAGACGGCCTCCACCCTACTGTTACTGGGCTCAAGCCATTTAGAGAAGATGGGAAACGGAATCTACCCCTTGCAATTAATTCTTTTATTTACTTTGTCAACAGAGTCCTTCTGCCAAACCAAGGACAGAATGCACCTGTTCATAGGCTACTTAGTAGACAAGGGTAAGAATGCCACCCACGTGGGTGCTTGAAAATATTCAAGTTAAGATTAGCTTTTGAGAGGGGACAATATCTAGAGGGTCCTTCACATAAAGGCCCCCTACCTTTCAAATGTGTCATTTTACACCATCAGAAAAACCTTTTAAAAAGTTTTATCTTCAAAGATAATTGGTGTATTGTTCTGTAGTATTTCATAGTTATCTTATGTTGGCATGTTTTTACTTCCATTTCATTACATTTTACTCATTAAATATTTTCAAATATCCATATGAAATTCAGCCTCACCAAAGTGATTCTCCAGCAAGTCTGTGCCGGGGTACAGCGCCCTGCCCCCTCCGTTGAGCCCCCCACCCCGCCCCCCAAGCCCCTTCTACACGTACTTGTGCTTTGAATGGTTGATGTAGTGTGGTTTCTTTCTTTGAAGTTTGAAATGTAGTCCTTCATGCACATGACTTATTTATTCTTTTATATTCAATTAGCACCCCTAAGGCCTCAGTGAAGGGGGTTGTGCAAAATAGACAGAAGCCTTCACAGAGCAGAGTGCCTAGCACAGCGCCTGTTTCAGGTGTGTAGAAAACAAAGTTCTGAAGCCCGTTCAACAGAAAGACATGGGCCTGCTGCCCCCAGCTTGGGCTGCACACGTGGGACATGCTGTCTTTCCTTGCCACCATAACACTGGCATATTCACGGGTAACCCTATTAGTGATTCTTTGTGTTAGTATTTTATGCATCCAGGAAATCTTGGGAATTGTGGTCCCAATCTTAATACCTGTATTAAAAATTCTATGGAAAACACTGTATTTTTTTAATTCAGAAAAAATTGCAGCATTATCCAGGTTTAATTCAGAAACCCTTTTTGTACATGAGTACCTGGATGTGAGGATGTGCTGGGCACCTCTACCCAGGAGTGCTTGTCTGCACATAATGGAGAAGGAAGTCCTTTGGTCAGAGAGCACAGGTGGACATGCCAGGTGTGGGGAGGGGGGTCACAAGCACCTCATCAGCTGAGGATTATTTCAGGACTAAATTAAAACTGGTATTTTAAAATTCTACTTATGGTGGCAAGAAGACATATCCAATGCTGAGCTAATCCAAAGCTCCTAACCAAATGCTTTAATTTGCTATAGGTTATCTTGGTTAAGACATTTTGATTAAGCTCACTGAAAATTATGTGATCCATAAAAACTTTCTCAATGCTGTGCTTTAACTGTGCTGCCTTCTAAACATGTAAGACAGCGGAATTAATCACCAGGCAATGAGGATTATGCCTCTAATTAATTCTGATCCCCTGTTAATAAATGATTAGGCACATTTTAGAGCTTGTATTACTAAGTGGTTTCCTCCAAGTTAGGAGGTGACAAGCAGAAGTGTTTTTTTCATGTTGTCTCCATTTATTCACACAAGTTCAGAGACAGACAAGCTATGGAAGGTATGTAGTGAATATAATTCTTAATGTTGTATAGATATACACATGTATACATACATGTATTGGATGATCTAAGAGGTCCTCTTGACATCACTCATTGTTGTATAGATATACACATGTATACATACATGTATTGGATGATCTAAGAGGTCCTCTTGACATCACTCATTGGAGTTGTTTTAAGGGATCCAGAGGTAGTCAGGGTCAGCCAGCCTGGAAGGTGACCATTTGTAAGGACACAGACCATCACCAGGTGGCTGTTTGTGAAGTTGTGTAGAGTTTGAGGTATTCCAGGTTTTCCCGTGTTAGTGCTGTGTATTGTGGTAACTCTTAGCTGGTTGGAAAATCATTTCGGAAGTAGTATTGTTTTGCCTAATCTTTGCCACAGTGACAATACTCCATGTTCTTTTCTCACCATTTCATCTCCACTACTTGTCACTCATGAATTTACAAGCAAAGTAGCCACTGCCCTTCCTGTGGAGTAACAGCAGCACGGAGGGGGGCAGAACCTATAGCCACAGCATCCTGCAGTGAAATTAAACCTTCAATAAACATTGCAGTCCATATGGATCTAAACAAGTGCAAAACTCTGTAGTTTTTCTGAAGACTAATTATATATGAATGCATATTTACACAATTGAATGGGGCAAAGAATTTTTTTCTTTTACGTGTAAGTTAGAATTTGGCTGATTAAAATGCTAACCATTAATTTGAAAACAGAATCCACAGTTGCTTTGAAAAAAGTTACTTTTTCCTGCTCATATTTGTAATGTCCTGGATTGTTTTAAACAAATAGGAAATTACACTTTGATTTGGTGGACATAGAGATTAAACTCTTACCAGCAATTGATAGAAACCTCATTTTTGTTATGCTAGAATATCACAGTCCCTGACTGAAGTAGAATTCTGAAGTGTTAAAGCATGTTGTAAAGCATTTAAAATTAGTTTTTGCACACTAAATTTCAATTACTGATGTCATATGTTTTAAAACAGGTTTCCTCATTTACTATTTTGTGCTTGACTTAGAGAGTCGATATGTAGGGAAATTCAGAAACTAACAATCAAAGCAGAGTAGGTAGTCATGTGAAACAAGAAAACCCACAAATGCAGTGGAATTGTTGAGTTTCACTCTGCTGGCTTAGGCGAGTGCTCTGCTAGGCTTCCATTTATTGTCCTTAAAATGAGACTAAGTTTCGGCCTCGGAACTATTGTGGTCACCATTAAGTATGATAGTATGTATTTCTTGGCTCCATGCCTATAAATAATAAGTACTCATCAAACCGTATCCTAGAAAATTTCCAACCTTGAGAAATAATATCAGTTTTGCTCTATTTTTAGGAGTATGTGCAGGAAAAATCCAAAGAAAGCGGCCAAATGTTGCGACAATTTAAGAAGACAGCATTCATTAGGGTAAAAGTGGGGATAAGTTCCTTCCCAAGACTTGTAATGGAACCCTGAACTGTGTACACAGCAAGGTGACAGCAAGGGCCCAGTGAGCATCTGGACGCTCCTGCTCTGCTCTCTTCTCTTTGGAAACTTGGTCTGGGTGAAACGAGTTAGTGGTAGTGTTTGTCTCATCTCTGTGCTCAAGCTACACAAACGTGTTTTATGTTCCCAGATGTCTATAGAAACTCTTTTTGAAAACTTAAAAGGACATTTGGATTTATTTTTACAAAATATTGAAAATTTACAAATATTTACACATTGTAAGTAAGTACTAAAACACATTTCATTCAGGTCTATATACTGATTTCTGAATTTGAGAAGCAAATTAGATACTGTTGTATTCAAAGAGAAATTACTGCAGAAGTACGTTTTCCTGTGTTCCCATGTGCTCTGGCTTAAAGCAGGTGCCCAAGCAGCAGTGACCACCTAAACCTTCACTGTCGCTGTGAGGAGCAGGCTGTAGGTTTCAAGATGGCCCCGGGAAGGCAGCAGACTTGGAGAAGGCAGCACTGGCTTCCTGAACATAGCACCTAGGGATGCATGGTGCACCCATCTCTGTGGTTGGAAGTACACGTTGCAGACCGGCTTCCAGTCAGTCTGAGGATTTGATTTTGTCAGGCTTTTTGTAGCATGCTTGATTTGGGAGAGAAATCAGGATTCTATGTAGCACAGAACCGTTGCTCGTGGAAACCTGGACTTCTGTGAGGCCCTGGTGCTAAGGCTTTTCCATCACTGACATTCTCGAGAAATACGGACCAGCAGATGTTACCAAGAGACATTGTCACTGTCACTTTATCACACTTTCCAAAAGGGCTTTGTGCTTCTCACAAGGAATCAGGACTGGGTATATTTAATCCTTCTAACTTGAATCTTAAATACTGGTGTTTTGAAAATGCGGCCTCTCTTTCTCCTTAATGCCTTTTAGCAAGGTGGAGTTCAGATTTTCTCCAGCTTTCTGTTCCACTTAAGATACCACTTTCCTTTCCAGCTATACGTAAGAAATGGTGACCTACTTTGGCTATAAACTTGACTTTATTGACACTCATCATTCCTTGAATGAGTGAGCCAAAAAAAAATATATTGTAATAAGCCTAAAAAGCCCAAGTTATCAAAATTGTTTTATAGGCCAAGTCTTACCAGATTCTGATCTTTTTATGATAAACTGCTTTATCATTTTGAAAACTCAGGCTACAGCTTATTCATATCATGCCTCTTCAGTAAGAAAGTAGAAGCTAAAAGTTTTGTGTGTCCTAATGCAAATTAGCTAAAAGAAATAGTGTTTTGGAAAAAGTTCTAATTCGTTTTAGATTAAGGAAAGAGACTTAAGTGCAGTTTTTAAAGATGTGTAATTTGTTTTATACGTTTTTTAATGTCACAGCTATGTCTCAAAAAGTGCCAGACATTTTGTGCTTCTGATCTTTTATTTATATCATTATTTTTACTGTTTTTACTTTGAGTGGATGTCCATTAATGTAAATTGTATTTATTTTTATACTTTGATTTTCACTAGTTTTGCTTCTAGGCAAAAGGCAAAATAAACTTTCATCTTAAATCCAGTATGGCCTTACTTATTCACAGGGGCAAGGGTAACTGAGGGCGAGGCCGGCAAGCGTGTGCCCCAAGCAGTGCCATAACTCCTTGAGCGCCCGGGCACAGGAGGGATGCTGATCTTGTTCCTCCCCAGCCGCCTGTGAGCATCAAGCCTTCTGCCACCTCTGGCTGGGATGCGGCACTGCCACCTCTGGCTGGGATGCGGCACGTCACATGTCATCAGCCACACTTCCCAGGTCTGCCACGGTGGCAATGACAAGATTATGGTGGCCATGAGCAGGTGGCCGGCACCCTGGGGACAATGGTCCTTCTCCCTTGGGGTCTCTGTTCATGAGCAACACCACCCCATAAGAAGGAAGCGACAGAGTCCCATGCCTTACTCTGAGGTGTCTGCACAGCAAAGGAGACCTCCGGTGACACTGGGGTGACATTGGCAAAACCAGGGCTTGAACTCAGGGCCTGGGTGCTGCCCTCTACCACTTGGCCACACTGCAGTCCTTTCTGCCTGGCTGGCCTCAGACCAAGATCCTCCACGTCTGCCTCCTGAGTAGCTGGGATCAGCGCTGCTGCGATGGCAAATCAGACACGTGCTCAGAAGCTGATGACAAGGCACACCTCACTTCTGCAGGGCAGGCAGGCGGGCGCACGGGCCTGGGCTCAGTCTTCACCGCTGGCTACTTAGAAAAGGGGGCTCGTGGGGTAAGGGCGCTCGAAGCAGGGAAAACAATACTCATCTTTAAGCAAGCAGTTGGGGATTAGGGCACCTGGCGGTAAACAACTCTTCGACCCCACAAAGCGTGGCGGCAGCAGTTGCGGGGGGCTGGCTCCTTTAACAGACAAGACTTGACTCCAGTTGACTCTCACAGGATTGCAGGTGCGAAGCCCCACGCCCTGCTTGTTGGTTGGGATGGGGTCTCACTAACGTCTTCCAGGTCTGTCCCCGAACCCTGCCCGGCCTCTGCTTCCTGAGTAGTTGGCATTGCAGCAATGGACCACGGCGCCCGGCCCCCAGTTAGAAAGAGACAGCACTGCCTTTTCGCCGCTTTATCGCACCCGGCCAGCGTGCCTCGGGCCCCACCTCTCTAGCTGAGGGAGGGCAGTGACAAAGTTGTCACCGCACCAGGTGATGGGGACACCAACAGCCAGGCTTCCCGCACAGCCCCGGAACTCGCGAGAACGCCGCCGCCCCGCCTGCTGCCCGAGCCTATGGCTTGAGGTCCCAGTTCGAACCCCGCTCCCGGCACTTTCCAAAGCCAGGGTTCTGCCCGCGGAGATGCGGGGCGCAGCCCGGAGGAAGCGGCAACCCGGCGCCCGCGCTCCATACGGACGCCGCGCTCCATACGGACATCCGCGCGACCGCGGCTTCGCCAGGCGGGAAGAGCTGCCCGACGCCCGGCCTGGGCTGCCGCGGAACCCCGGGCTGGCGGACCGCGAGGCTGCCACCCTCTGCGTCCAGGCTCTGCGGGCGCCCGGACCGAGCCGCCAACCGCTCAGCAGTGCCCCTCACCATCACGGCGCGGGCGAGAACTGCTCGCGGCATCTGCCCCTTACAAACATGGCGCAGACGGCGGGAGAAACCTGCGCTAGCTTGGCGGCACCTGCCCTTCACAATCATGGCGCCGGCGAGAGCGACTTCCGGTGTCTGCCCCTCACAAACATGGCGGCTGGAGAAACTTGCGCTCGCTTGGTGTCACCTGCCCGTCTTCAATATGGCGCCGGCGGAAGGCCCTTGGCAGCACTGCCCTTTACAATGATGGCGTCAACAGGCTACAAAACACGGGCTCGCTGGGCTTCACCTGCCCTTTACAAACATAGCGCCGACGGCTGGAGAAGCCTGCACTTGCTTGGCGTCATCTGCCCTTTTCCAACATGGCGCCGGCGGGAGGCGCTTCCTGGGCTCTGCCCTTTACAAGCATGGCGGTCGGGCGGGGCGTGGCATGTCTGGGTGGGAGGAAGGGCGCCGGCGGCCCCTGCACGAGCGGTCATGTGACTGTGAAGATGGCCGCCTTTCCCTGGTAAGGAAGAAGCGTTGGGTGGGTGGGTGTGCTTCGGGGAGGGGCCGCCCTGAGCTGTCTCTCCTGTCTGTCCCTGCGGCGCGTCCGCCCTCACTCTCTGGGGTCTAGCGGTGTCCCCACCGCTTCCCGCCACCGGGCTGCCCCCGCGGTGTCCCCGGAGCTCCTGCGCTGGCCCCTGCCCCCTGCGCCCACTTGTTCTCTGGGGAAACTCAAAGAGTCTTAAACTGGGTCTTGCGGGATGAATAGGAGTTCGCAGCCGCAGGGAATGGCATGCGCCAGGTGACAGGCCTGTGGAGCGCTTGTGGCCGAAGCAGCCCGGGGTCCGGGACCTTCGGGCTGCAGCAGGGTGTGATGGTGACAGTGGGATTCTTTGGGAACCGGAGATCCGTGCACGTCAGGGACAATAGTTTCTGACCTTTCTCCTTGCGTGGCGTTGAGGACCTGTCATCGAGTGATGGAGGAGCGAGCGAGAGGCAGACTGTCGGTCCCGGGCCTCAGAACGCCAGCGGCAGCTGCAGGTGTGGGACGGGTGCACAGGTTGTTCCCGCCACGTGCCGACTCTTAAAAGGTCACTTGCAGGAGAAGAGGTCAGCACCTGATGCCACCAGGCCCGCCATGGCGTGAGCTTCCTTTAACCTGGCCCTGCGGCTTGGTGGCTTTGGGGACATCACCAGTCACGTCTGGTTTCGGTGAACCTATCTGGGGTTGTATTAAGAGGATCCAGGAAGACAGGTCTCTCAGCATCTCAGGGTGTCTCAGTACGGTTTTCCCCTTGATGTTTTTATTTTAAGTTACAAGCAGATGTCACAGCCTTATTAGTGTCTAAGGCGGTGTCAGTCCCAATGGGACTTTGCACTAAACATTTCTTTGCATGGTGGTGCACATTCATCCTTTAACCCACTAACCTGTTGCTCCTTTGCAATGAAAGGGACCGAGGGCCAGGCGTGGTGCTGCACACTTGTAATCCCAGCCACTTTGGAGGCAGACGTAGGAGGCTCGTGGTACAAAGCAGGCCTGGGCAAAATCACAAGATCCCATGTGAAAAATAAGTTAAAAGCAAAAAGGGCTGGGGGTGAGAACTGAGTGCTAGAGCCCCTCCCTAGCAAGTTCGAGGCCCTGAGTTCAAACCTAAGTGGGGGGGGCAAAGAGAGGGAGAAAGGGGCTGAGTTGTGCATCCTGTGCCCAGTGCCTGGAGTGCAACTGAGGAAGGGATGAGAAAGCACAGCGGCATGGAGGAGGCGCTTCTGCCCTGAAGGTCACACCTACTGGGCCTAGTGCCTAACGAAGGCATCCTGTTGGATCCCTGTAACAGGTACAAAATGAGGCAGATTCCACAGTTGACTTGGAGCCGGCAGCCCCTGAGGACTCTATGACCTCAGAGGCGGTCAGCCGGGCCTCGTGTCCAGCTCCTGGCTGCTTGTCCAGGGCTCCCCAAGTCTCCCCCAGAATGCTTCTTTCACCCACACTTGGTGTTCCAGGAATATTATGGCCTGGCCACAGGTAGAGGACGTCTGTCCACCTTAGACCAGTCCTGCAAGTGCCACCTTTGGAGCCAGATTTGTACCTTTTCAGAGTTTCAGGGAGTGGGAGGAATTGTCTGTGGTTAGACCACGTGGTCAGTGGCCAACACAGCCAGCAAGAAGCACCAGTGGGCACTGGGATTTCCGCCCTGAGGACATGAGTCTGGTAAATCACGGTGACATTTCTGCGTGTGCGTATTACCAAAGGTGAGTGCTTCTAAACCAGGGAGTCCTCGGCCCTCGGCCTGCATTTCAGCCCCCTGGGGTTTTATTCAGTGCAGGCTCTGAGGTCTGGGGTGGGCTGATCTGGCTGGGTTGGGGACCACACTGAGAAACCCTGGCCAGACATACAGACAGACAGACAGCCCTTTGGCTACTGGAGGTGCAGGCTTTAAGGTCCAGTGAGGTGTTGTGAGAAGATGCCCACCAGGGGCCGCTGTAGCTTCGCCAAGACCCAGAGGTGATAAGGCAGCACTCACCCCTGAATGGGACAAATGGCAGAAGGTCAGATGCGGTGCTTGGCCACTGGCTTCCAGGCAGGGAAGGCGTTTTCTTTGCTTTTTAAAAAAGATTATTTCCCAAAGCAGTATTTTTTCAAACCTCCCCTCCTCAAACTTAAAAAGCATTCATTCAGCGGAAGAATAGAATTCTTTCCAATTTTGGTGGCCCTGGGATTTGAACTCAGGGCCTCTTGCTCACTAGGCAGGCACTCTACCACTCGAGCCACACCTCCAGTCCTTTCTGCTCTGGTTGTTTTGGAGATAGAGGTCTCTTTTTGCCCAGGCCAGCCTGGATGACGATCTGCCTGTTTTGTTTACCAGTGTTATTGGGATGACGGATGCGCACCAGCCTTTTCTGTTGAGATGAGGTCTTGTGAACTTTTTTGTCTGAGTTGGCTTTGAACTTTGATCCTCTCAGTCTCCATCTCTCACGTAGTTTGGGGTGACAGGTGCACCCCAGCATACCCAGCTGTTGATTGAGCTAGGGTCTCGTGAACTTTTTACCCGGGCTGGCCTCAGCCTGATCTCAGCCTTCCAGGTAGCCAGGATTACAGTGAGCTACCTCCTCAGCTAACTTTCTATTTTTCTTGACAAATAATAGTCTAGAGTACTTTGAAAAGAAAGAAGTGGCCTTCCATGATTGCACTCCATCTGGGCTGTGACTGACTTTCTGAAATGTCTTATTCTTTGGGCTTTATTTTGTAAATCAAGCCATGGAGGCTGGGGCTATTCCCAGGTGACTTCACCAGAGGGACTGATGCTGAATTGCCGTGTGGAGGCCAAGCCACCTTCCTGCACGCCCAGCACAGTTTATTTGGGGACTGTGGAGGTGAAACCGCACGGGAGCGCAGTGCTTTCATGCTGGGCTGCATGTCTGGGTTGGTGGGGTGCTGGGCACAGTCCGTCTTGGGTGCTAGTGTTCCCTGTGCTGGTGGTGTTGGGCTCTATGGGGTGGGGGCTCGGAGGCCCCATGGGGCGGGGGTTAACAGGAATTGTCCCTCATGCACAGAGAAGCTGTTTGTCTGGAATGTGTCTTTGGACACCTGCTAGAAAACACAGACAGACTGTGTTTGGGAACTACTGCAATGGGGCTTTTGTGGGGAGGGGGCTTGGCCCCCCACAGCAAGGAGGCTGAGTGGGGTGTGTGGCCCGGCTGCTGGCACCAATGGGTAGGACTTCATAAGGGGAAGGGGGGGATGACTCTGGCCAAGCCCACCTGGCTGGATTCCTGCTGAGGGCAGGCTGCTGGGGGACTCTGCAGGAGGAGTTTCAGCTTCAGTCCTGCTGCCCCTCTCCCTCCTCCCCTCCTCAGCACCCTGGGGAGCCTCCTTCAGGCTGTGGCTGCCCTGCCTCCACCCTGCATCCCCACAGTCAGCAAATGTGCAGGGAGGACATGCTGTCAGGAAAGCAGACTCATAATGAGTGTCCCTTGGTTTTGTGCCTGCACCCCCAAACCCACCATGCCTTGGCTGTTCTTGTACCTTGAAACAGACAAAAACACTCCTGGGTGTGATTGCTCCTGCCTGTAATCACAGTTAACTTGGGAGGCAGTGATATGGAGAATCATGGTTCAAGGACAGCTAGGGCAGAAAGTGAGATCCCATCTCAACAAATGAGTTGGACATAGTGGCGTAGATCTGTAATCCCAGTGTCGTAGGTAGGAGAGTTGCAGTTCAGAGCTGGCTGGGTAAAACATGAAACTGTCTGAAAAATAACTAAAGCAAAAAGGGCTGGTGGAGTAGCTCAAGTGATAGAGGCCTGCCTAGCAAGTATAAAGCCCTGAGTTCAAACCCCAGTGCTACCAAAAAAAAAAAAAGAAAAGAAAAGAAGACCCAGATTAAAACAGCTTTCCCTTTGCTGTGATGTTTCTGGCTGGCCTTGCGGGCGGTGGGTCACTGACCAGCGACTGTGTTGCCTTCCAGGCGCTCCCGGAACCGGAACTACAAGGCGGAGTTCGCGTCGTGCCGGCTGGAGGCCGTGCAGTTGGAGTGTGGCGATTACCACCCCCTGAAGCCCATCACTGTGAGTCTCCGAACCCCAAGGCCGCCTGACCCCAGGGACCACAAGCGACTTCCTGGCTCTTTTTCACTTCACCCAGGCCCCTGCCCTTCCTCTGTGACAGGAGTGTTTCCAGCACTGTGTCTACTCCCTGTCCTCTCCTATCCTCAGGCCCTGGTGGCCAGCGATGGCTGCTCCTGACTGGGATGTGTCACAAAGTGTGACTTGCTTCTTGATCTTCCTGTGTGCAACATTGAGAATCAAGGGTCACTGTAGCCCCAGAGGTGGCACTCCTGTCTAAAATGCAAAACAGAAGCAGGCAAGACACAGATGGTCCTCTCTGCTGGATTAGCCCTTGAATTAGCAAGTACAGTTGTCCCCTATCCCTTGGTGTCCTCAGGATTGACTCCAGGACCCCCGTAGACACCAAAGCCTATGTGTGTGTGTGTGTTTGCATAGAACCTGCATGTGTCCTTCTAACTCCCACGTTCTGCATCTGTCACAACAGGTGCAGGGTTTTGTTTTGTTTTCTGTGGTGCTGGGGATGGAACCCAGGGCCTTCGTTTGAGGTTTTCATGGAGGCCCCATGACAGGCACAATGGGTTTATTGCTTGGTCTCCTGTGCCTCCCCTCCCTGGAGGATGGGGGTGAGGCTGACAGTTCCAGCCTCTAATCATGGTTTGTCTTTCTAGTGACAGCCACATCCAGGAGCAGAACAAAGGGTGCTCCTGTCACCAGGAGTTCCAAGGCTTGGGTGCTCTGTGTGCATCAGGAGCCAGGGGCAGACATGCATTTCTTACTCTGAACCGCAGTGGCCCTGTCTCTCAGTTTAGTGGGTGTTTGAGCCCTAGGGACCCGTGGACTGGGCAGCACCAGGCACGGGCAGCTCAGGTCTCTGACAAGAGGCCGTGGGAGACTTGGACCGACTAGAGCAGGACTTGCCTCCTTGAAGGTTTGGTTCTGATGGCTGATCCCCAGGTAAGGGTGGTGATGACTGCTCATCGGTTTAGCTTCGTTTTCTTTACTGTTGACCAGGACTTGGGTTTTGTTTTGCTTTGTGCACTTGGAAACGCAGGGCTATGGAGCTGTCACAGTCCAGTGGCCTCCCAAATAATTCTTCAGACACTTCCCAACTAACTTCCTGCCTTCACTGACTCCATGGCCGTGAGTCTGTGTCATGTCAGTCTGTCATTAAAAATGAGTATCCCCTGCAGACTGCTGAGCAAATGGTCAGTCCAGCTTCCCAGATGACAGGAAGGGGCCCAGTGAGGGTCCCATAGGGGGAGGTCTCAGGGACTCTGTTGTACTTCCACAAACTTTCCCTGCAGGTCACAGAGTCAAAAACCAAGAAGGTGAACCGGAAAGGAAGCACATCCTCCACGTGTTCCTCCTCCAGCTCTGTGGCGGACCCGCTGAGCAGTATCCTTGATGGCACTGACCCCCTGTCCCTGTTCGCAGCCACCCTCGACCCTGCAGCCATGGCAGCAGCCACGGTAATGGGTGCAGGGTGGGGGCGGCTTTCTGTTCCTTGGTGTTTTTAAGTTGCACAGATAATGCCTGGGTGTTCTGCTTGTGATAGATCAGTCACCCCAGTGTCCCCACAGTCCTACCCAAAGAGGAGGGTGTCACCCTTGTGAGGCTGGGGCAGATCTTGCACGTTTCTTTCCTTATTTTGAAGCATCTTAAACTGCATTCTTTCTTTTCTTTTCTCAGTACTGGGGTTTGAACTCAGGGCCTACACCTTGAGCCACTCTGCCAGTCCCTTTTTGTGATGATGGGTTTTTTCAAGATAGGGCATCGTGGAACCATTTGCCCTGGCTGGCTTCGAACCTTGATCCTCCTGAGTAGCTAGGATAACAGGCATGGCGCCCAGCTCTTTATTTTCATTTCATACTTTTCCCCCTGGTTTTGGGTGTCAACCCCAGGGCCCTGTGCATGTCAGGCAAGTGCTGTCACTGAGCCACGCCTCAGCCAGAATTTCATTTTGATGGTTCTCTGTGATTACATAAGACTCTTGAAAAGTGTCCAAATGAAAAATGCAAGCACTGCCGTTCTGCAGAGCAGCCTCCTTGTCCCGTTGTCCATCCTAGGCTCATCATTGCCATTGGTGGACTGCATGTCCTTTCGCGGCTTTCTCTCTGCCTTATTACAGGTGTCTGTGACAGTGACATCTAAGTTGTCTCCCTCCTGCTCACGTTTAAATAACAGCGCTGTCCGCTCACTGCACCACAGGCATCTTCCTAGTGCATGTTGTGTTTAGTTCTCATGCTGCCTGTGAGTAGGCATGACCCTCATTTATGGAGGGTACGTGGAGGGACAGAGAGGGCAGGCCGCCTCCACGCCACCCTCAGGCCTGGCCAGTGTTTTCAGAGTCCAGCCTCTCAGCCGTCACTTCATACAGTTTTTACTTTTTACACAAATCAACCTATTTTCTGTCCCCCACCCCCCTTTTTTAAATTTTTTTTCACTTGACAGTGTGTCTTGGGAAATGTTCCTTGATACTACAGGGAAAACCACCTTGTCACGTGGAATGGCTGTGGCACTCTTTCATTGGCTGTTCTGCTGATACACTCGCAGATGGCCCTGGGGTTTTGCAGTATACACAGCGGTGCACCAGGCCCCGTACACAGCCGTCCATCTGGGTGCTTGAGGTCTCTGCAGGAGGCAGAGGATTCAATGAGATCACCTCATCCTCCACCGAGGCCTTGCGGCCTGTACCCCACCAGCAAGCCTGAGGCCTGCCTGCTTCCTGCGGCCTGCTGCTAGCAGTCGCTTCACATCTGCCATGTGGATAGTTTTTCTCCCCTGATTCTTGAGCGTCAGCGTTCTTTATTTGGTTTTTGGCCATTTATCATGAAATGACCTGAAAATTTTTCTCCTCTTGATGAACTTTTAGACAGGCCTGTTTGACTGCAGCGAGGGACTGTCTACCATCTGCTCGTACCTTATTTATTTATTTATTTTGGTGGGACTGGGGTTTGAACTCAGGGCTTTGCACTTGCAAAGCAGGCGCTCTCCTGCTTGAGCCACACCTCCAGTTCGTTTTGCTCTGGTTGTTTTGGAAATGGGAGCTTGCAAACTATTTGCCCAGGCTGGCATCAAACTTTGATCCTCCTGATCTTAAGCTTCCCAGGTAGCTGGGATTACAGATGTGAGCCGCTGGTTCCTGGCTCACACCTTGTGTTTGAAGATTAGAATGACACACTGCTGAAGGGGTCGTCTTGCCCTCCTTTAGGACAGCTCCAGAAAGAAACGGGAAAAGGATGGTAACACTGCCGTAGGATCGGATTTTGAGCCTTGGGCCAATAAGCGGGGGGAGATCCTCGCCCGGTACACGACCACGGAGCGACTCTCCATTGTGAGTAACCAGCTTGGCTGTGGTGCTCGCAGTGATGGCGTTTGCCTCAGTTCTGGGCTCTGTTTCCCTTTGCATACCTATGCCAATGTTAGTCAGGAGAAAATGTGCTGATTGGTTTCTGAAAAGCAAAAATGTGCCAGGAATTGGATGTGGCCCATTTCTGTGAAGAACTTGGTTCCAGAGTCCCCCTGCAGGGAGGGCGAGTGTGAAGAGAGGAGAGTGCCCTGCTGGAGGGGGACAGGGCGCTGCTCAGCATGGTTTCGTCTTAGGGCTGGGCACATGCCATTTCTTGGGGTGACCCTTCGGGGAAGCAGTTGGCCTAAGTCTGGGGCATGCCCACGGTACGAGGTGAGTTGTTCAAGTGAGGAAGGGCCCAGGGAAGCAGGTTGGTGCCTGGGCTGGTTAGGGCCAGCCTCATTTATAACCAGAGCCTCCCTAACGCTGGTACCAAGAGCGCCCTGTGTCTCTCCTCATTCAGAGAAGAGCCCAAGGGTGCGTGATCTGGGGTTGGGGTGGCAGCTCCAGGGTCAGGGTTCCAGCAGTTTCCATCTTGCTGCTTTGCTGAAGTTGATAGAAGAGGGAAAGAATGACATAGCCCTTCCATTAAGAGGACCTCCTGGAGACCCTCAGCAGTGCTGTTTGTCCTTTTTTTGGCACCAGGGTTTGAACTCAGAGCTTCATGCTAGCTAGGCAGGCGCTCTGCCACTTGGGGTTGTGGATGGCACATGGCTGCAAGGCAGGCTGGGAAATGGACTCTGTCCATCTTCACCTTCCTGCAGGGCATGGTGAGCAGAATTCTTGGACTATTTAAATGTTTTTATTTTTTATTTTCTGAACACATAGAGTTAAATCAGAGCAGTGATTCTCAAGCTTGAGTAATTGTGCCCCCTAAGGATCATTTGGAGACACTGTGGTTGTCATAGCTCGGGGTGCCCCTGGTATCTAGTGGGTGGAGGCCAGTGACGCTGTCACACATCCTACAGTGCACAGGACAGTTCCATGACAGCTAGGTGGCCCCAAATGGCAGTAGTGTAGAGGGTGAGAAACCCTGATTTAGAGAAATTAAAGATAGTTCCCTTGTATGTATGTCCCCCTGTCACATCTGAAATTTTGGTATTTGTTGACTCACTTGGAGAGCACTGAAATTGAATCTCCAGTGACTTTTAGAGAATATATACTTCTGTCTCTCATTTAGCTACAGAAATAGCTTTGTTGGGAAACAGTGGCCATGTGGCCTTAGATTGTAAAAATATTAATGGATTTTTTTTGTCTCTGCAGAATCTGTTTATGGGATCCGAAAAAGGTAAGATGAGTTTTTGTTCTTGTTTTGATTGGAAAGTTCCACCACTGCCTTCTATATAATTATGTATAAGGAAAAAGTTGGTTTTATGCAGTCCTGATTTTTAATTCAGGTGAAAGGTCTAAGATTGTGGATAGACATAAAACAAAGATACATACTGAGAGTGTGAACACAGACCAAAGAGCTTCCAAAGAGTATAAGAGAAGTGTCCTATTTGATTTTGGGGACACAGAGGAGAATGCTTCTCCCACCAGCTCGTGGCTACTTTAGACTCTTTGCTTTGCCTTATGTCTCTGTCCTTTGTGAAAATTCAGACATGCTGCTGAGGGGTTGCATGCTCAGTGAGAAACTCAGGACCAGGGTGTCCCACGGTGCTTGCTGAGTTTGTCTTGTAGGATGGATCTCCAGAATTCGTTTTTTAAGCTGCCAGGTGGCTCAGGAGCAGCCAACATAGGTTCTGTCCTCTGCGGTGCAGCCACAGCTGTCTGTGGCTTGTGTGCATCTCACTGATAAGTCTGCCTTCCCACCCCATTCTCTACAGATTGAGGCAGCACACAGAAATCCTGAGAGTTTGGACACCTTTGTTAGGGGCGTCACACAAAGTGAATTATGCTTGGAAAGATCACACGGTTGAGATGGCACTCTGGGTGAGAGGGTGGAGTAGGAACTGTCCCGCCTGCCAGCTGGGGTGTGACAATGGCACAGCACTGTGTCAAGTGTGTTCATTAAATATGAACACAGGCGCTGTGTGTGGTGTGATGTTTGTGTCCCCTGAACACTCTGGAAACCCCGATCCCTAAGGTGCTAGGAGGTGGGGACTTCAAGGGATGATTAGGTCATGAGGATGGAGTTCAAGTGGATGGGATTAGCACCTTTGCAGAAGAGGCCCACGGGAACGATACAGTGAGAAGGCTGTATCCAGCCTGTGCACACCCGAGGCTGCACTGCTGTCCAGGTTCCAGAGCTATGAGAAGAGGTGCTGTTGTTCACAAGCTACTTACTATGTAGTTTGTCACGGTGGTCTGGAGAGATTAAGACAAGGAGCCAGCCCTTTGATCAGCAGTTCCACCACTAGGATGTACCCTAGCCTAGGGGCTGTAGTCTACATCTTGCAGGCCAAATCCATCTCACTGCCTGTTATAAATAAAGTTTTATTGGATCACAGGCACAGTGATTTATTTACATATTGTCTGTGGCCACTTTTGTGTTATACGGGTTGCAACAGAGTAGTTGAGTTGCAAACCTAAAATATTTGTATCTAGCCTTTTACAGAAGGAGAGGGAGTGGCTCAGGTGGTAGAACACCTGCCTAGCAAGTGTGAGGCCCTGAGTTCAAACCCCAGTGCTGCCAAAAAAAAAAAAAAAAGGTTTTCCAGTTCTGCCCTCGATCCACGTTTCTTAAGTTGTGGCTCAGGGACCAGCAGCATTGACATCACCTGGGGACACTCAGGCCCTGGCTCGGATCTGAATCTGCACTGAGGCACATGCTTAAGTGGTTCCTGCAGAAGCACCGCCCTGTGGAAGCCCACCCAGACCAGGAGACCACCTCCACTTCATCCACAGTGCAGTGAAGAACGGCAGTGCAGCCACACAGTGAAAACACAAGACTGTGACAACAGTGAGCCACAGCTGTGTGCCATGCCTAGGTCACTTCGGGGGGCAACATCGTGGGGAATGAAGGCAGCGGGGCAGTAGAACCCTGGTGGGGTTCGAGGGTTTGTAATTATTGGTTACAGTGTACGTGGCATACGTTGCACGTGGGTTACTGTTCAAAATGAAGGAAAAGTGGAAATGAGGTAAAGTAAATAAACTACTTGATCGTTACTATGGTAGTTGATGGCAATTCAATGTCCCACGTGGTGTTTGTGGGTCACAGATTTTCTGGGTCTACAGCAAAGCAGAGAGGTCACTGCCCTTCAGAGAATGAGCATCAGGGTCTGAGAGCAGGTTTGTGTGTCAGCCGGCTGTCTGTCACTGTGACCGATGCCTGAGGTAATCCCTGAAAGGAGGAAAGTTCGTTTTGGCTCGTGGTTTCAGAGGCTTTATCCATGGTCCCTTGACCCTGCTGCTTTGGGCCTGTGGCGGCCCAGGACATTTTGGTGGGAACATGTGGCTGAGGACGGTTGCTCACCTCCTTGTGGCCAGGAAACAGAAGAGCCCAGGGTTCCAATGACCTAATTTCCTCACACTGGGGCCTGCCTTCTGAAGCTTCCACTGCTCCCAGTAGTGCCATGGGCTGGGGACCACACCTTCAGCATGTGGCCTGTGGGGAGCTCAGGATCTGACTGCAGCCATTTGGGAGGGAGGAGCAAGGGGTTGGTGTGAGCCATGTAGATCTCACAGTGGGAGTAAAAGCCCTGCTGAGATGGGGAAGGGTTCCAGAAGGTGGAGGTGGCCCTGCGGCCTGGAGTCTTCATCTCCGCCCACCATCCCTGCTCATGGCAAGACTGTGTTGACAGATGCTGGATAGAATAACAGCTGGTCCTGTTTGCTTGAAGAGCGGCTTTGAAGGCGCTGCTCCACCTCTGGCAGACAGTGGGGTGGCTGTTCTGTTGGTGTAAGGGTGAGACAGTTCCACACTGAGGAGGAGCCCGAGAGGTCCTTTGTTCCCAGCACACAATTACATGGCGGGATTTCGGTGTCCCTCCCTGGACTGCCTTTCTCCAGGGGTGAGCAAATGGTAGAGAGCAGTTTCATCAATACCAAACGGCACCTCACTCTGCTCCTGAGAGATGTGCTTGATGCAACTTTGGTCCCACTGGGAAGTGTTTTAAAAATGTCAGAGCTTTCTGTAATGAGATCTGTCAACTTCGTTCATCATGAGGTGTAGACTGAGAGATCCTGAAAGCTGCCTTCCATGGGGGTGGAGGGGGATATGGTGCAAGAAAAAAAAGCCACCTGTGTGACTTAATTCTTCTGTGCAGGCAGAGCTGGGGCCACAGTGTCCGCAATGTCAGAGAAGGTCCGGACGCGGTTGGAGGAGCTAGACGACTTCGAGGAGGTGAGAAGCTAGTTGTTGAGTGTGGCACCGCATGGGGTTGAGGCCTTCCGGTCCTCCTGCTTGGTGAGGTCAGCCCCGTGGCTGCTTTCTGGTTGAGGCTGAGCTGCAGACTGCTCTCGGGCCTCCCGAGGGCCTGACCACTCAAAGAAAGATGGCTGAGTGATTGGAGCCTGACAGGCTGGTTTTCTGGAGGTGTCTTTTCTCTTTGTGATGCCACCCGGGGACAGCATCAAACAGTAAAAACCAACTAGAGTCACCCCTAGGAAGCAGCCTCGTGTAGAACAAAGATGGCACCTGGAGACAGAGGTCACACATGGCTGCAATGTGACCCACAGGAGTCATTACTTGACCTCCTGCACATTGAAAGCATGTGGCTCCTTTGCCAGCTCGTAGAAGCCCGCAAGCTTCACAGACATGCAGCCTCCTGGCTTTTCTGTGGGTCCACGTTCTTGCATTTGACCGTGGTCTACCTGTCCTGATGCATGTGTAAACCTAGCATTACTACCTGGCCCCTGGATGCAGGTGTAAGCAGCCTTTGTCCTTTGGAGTCTTATTTCAAGAGGCCATGTGGCATGGCGGGTAAGATGACTGGAGGTGACTGCCTGGCTTTGAACCCCAGCTCCAGCATTGTGTAATTCTGTAACTTTGGGTCAGGTGTTTTAACTGTTCTGTGCCTCAGTTTACTTATCTGTGAGGTGGGGAAGGTAAAAGGTACCTAACCACAGGGTCTATACAAGGTGAATTACAGAGAGTAGAGAACAGCACCCATTGTGGGGCACGTGCTCTATTTGTTGTCGTCTCCATAGCTGGGCTGCCTACTGACCATGGCCTTGGGTGTTCACCTTTCCCTCTTTTGTAAAATGGCTTAAAGAATGAGTAGGGTTGAAAGCCAAGGAGGGCCATGCAGTGGAGCTACCCTTGGCCATGCTACCCCCTGGCACAGGGCCTGAGTCAGAGCTGCTGGGTCCTCAGCAGAGTCCAGCAGTCCCATGTCTTACTTCCCAGTCCCAAGGTAGCACACTTGGGCTCGAGCTGCACAACATCAGCTGGCTTTGGCCAAGGACTTTCTTCAGAGCTCTTCAGTCTGAGTCCCTGTGACAGTCACTGGCACTGGCCTCATGTGGAAATGGGAGCTGTACTGGAAGGGCATGATGGCTGGAACTCGACAGCTGAGCTCGGCTCTGTGCAACCTGTTATGGCTGACCCTTTCTGGTTCTCCTTCATTTTCTTCCTGCAGACTGTGCAGCCCCTGGCTGCCTTGGGCTTCCAGATCAATGTACATTAGTAAGAATGAGGCTAGGCCGTGCTGTAGTGACAACCAATCCCTGCAGTCAGTGATTTCATGTAAGGAAAGAGGTATTTCTTGCTCACAGTGCACACCCGGTGCTGGTGGCAGACATAGCACCATCTCATTTGCCTCCAAACTGGGCTAAAGAGAGGGTAGTTTTCCCCTGCCACAGCCCCAGAAGGGACACAAGCTGCTCTGTTCCCAGCACAATCACTAAACCAGTCACATGGCTCCTCTGCTACACAGGGCAGGGATGTCCCTACCTCTCACCTCACTGACCATTGGGATCAGTGCAAATTCCCTGAACCTTCTTTCGAAAGTGTCTGTATGAGAAAGGATGGGCTCTGCTCACACACGGTGTGCCCTCCCTCCTGTGAGTGGTGAGGGTGGCTTCCTACTGCCAGTTGGGGACCTGTACAGGGACCACACCAGGCCTCTGCTCCTTTGCCATTTTCCCCCGGGGGACGGTTGTGTTCCTTCTGCAGTGGCCTTTGCTGATGTCCCCTCTGTGCCCAGCACTCTCCCTGCTCCAGTGAGGGTCCAGTTAATGCTGTGCTCCTCTGAGCTTCGTCTCAGCATCACCTCCTCCAGGAAGCCTTTCCTGACCTCCTAATCTGTAGTCCATTATTTGCTCCCACTTCTCTCTCGCTCTAGATGAACCCCTTCACCTTCACATTTGAGTTTCTCTGGGTTGTGTCCCTTGCTTGGTGCATGGCAGTGAACAGTGTATTTTTCTTCCTAGTGGTACAGGAAACAGTCTGCTCTCTTTTCAGTGGCACCTCACTTCAGTGCCCTATGATTTGTGTCTCAAACAATCGTCTTTCCACCCAAGTTTTGTTTTTTTTTACTTTGAGATAGGGTCTGGCTACCTTGCCCAAGCTGGCATTGAACTCACAGTCTTCCTGCCTCAGCCTCCTGGGTAGCTGGGAGTACAGGCATGTGCCACTGTGCGCAACTCCTCTGAAGTGTCTGTCCTGGTTTGTGTGGATGTCTATCTGCCTGCGGTACCACCTGCTGCATCAGTGCACACAGAACATGGTTTTGCTGGGCATCTTGGGCAAACCCGTCTCTACCGGAGCTTTGAGGACCAAGCCCAGCACAGTGCAGTGAGCCAGTGGGTCCTGGTACCCTGCTCAGGGAGCTTGGGGACAGTGCCCACTCAGTCAGCTGCATGGTGGTGGCAGAGTTGGGGTGGCTCAAGCCTGACTCATCTTGGGTAGAAAACCCAGAACCATCAGTCTTGAGGGGTGTTTAGAGGTGGTTCCGCATGGGGCCACACCTCTGCCTTCTTCCCACAGGGATCCCAGAAGGAGCTGCTGAACCTGACACAGCAGGACTACGTGAACCGCATAGAGGAGCTCAACCAGTCGCTGAAGGACGCCTGGGCCTCAGACCAGAAAGTGAAGGCTCTGAAGATTGTGATCCAGGTCCGCGTGAAGTCATTAGGGTTTCTTACCCCCCCCACCCCACTACAGTTTCCTTTGTAAAATGTGTAATTTGGGTTTGTAGAGGCTGGCCTTCAGGGTTCTGCCCTTACTCATTCCTCTTTCCCATTTGACACTCCCTGTGAAATGTTGTGGTTGTGGATGACAACATTTATGAGATGGCTGCGTACAGCTGCACAGGTTGTGCACTGTACAATTCCAAGAAGTGGCCTTGACCCCAGACTATGGAATTCATGGTGGTCTGTAGCTGTGCAGTGCAGTGGCCTGTGTGTCATCACTGACACACTCATGGTTAGTGCAGTCCCCAGGGCTTTGCCAGATTGGTCTGGTAACTTTGGGATCAGTGTTGCATGCCTCTGATACATGTTTTTTTTTTTTTTTTTTGGCAGAACTAGGTTTTGAACTCACGTCTTTGCCCTTGCTAGGCAGGCGCTCTACTGCTTGAGCCACACCTCCAGCCCTTTCTTTGCTCTGGTTATTTTTGGGAGGGTCTCACTTTTGCCTAGGCTGGCTTAGACCACTGTCTTCCTATTAAATAGGAGGTGTTTCCTGCCACAGCTGGGATTACAGGCACACACCATCACACCCAGCTTTTTCTGTTGAAGTGGGGCCTTGTGAAATTTTTGCCCAGATTATCCTCCCGACCTTACCCTCGCACTGAGCTGGAAGGACAGGCATGTGCCACTGCACCCAGTTACTGGTTGAGATGAAGTCTCAAGAACTTTTTGCCTGGGCTGGCTTCCAACTGCGATCCTACTGATCTCAGCCTCCAAGTAGCTAGGATTACAGGAGGGAGCCACCACATCTGGCTTGACAGATGCGTTTTTAAGATATTTCATGTAATTTTGTGGTAAAGAAACCATGTCTCTACTGTTAGAAATGCATCATTGACTCCTCTTTATTGATGAACTTTCTGCTCCGTGGCACTCTTAGAGCAAGTCCTGCAAGGAAAACAGCTCATTTTGGTTTTTGTTCCTAAAGCTCACCTGCCCATAGTAAAAAATGCTCAGAAGTTCACTGTTGGGTGATTCATGTGTTGCCATTTTCAGAGCAGAGTGGAAGGATTTTGAACAGCTGTTTTAGCTCAGGACAGCTTCATTCTCATTTGTTGTCATTAATGTGGTACTTGTCTTCTTGCTGCTTCTTGTGAGAAATGGTTAGGAGACTCAGGGTCTTTGCACAGACCCTTGAAGTATTTTGAGGTGCTGTCTTGTAAGGTGGGGTATTTGGGGTTTTCCTCTGTGTGTGTGTGTTTCGTAGAATATAAACCTGAGCCCATTTCTCTTCCAGCCCTGTTGTTAGTTTACAAAGCAAATACTCCTGACAGCAGGTCTCTCCTCCTGTGTGCACACCAGGGTGGCTCAAGTAAGCAGCTCAGAAAGTTCACATGCTTCAGGATGTTTGCCCTGCAGCAGCTCTCCTTGTATGCTTATGCTCCCACTGCTTAGAGTTTTACATCAGGAGGAGATTTAACTTGTGTCTTCTCAAACAAAGAGATCAAGACAGTGTCTGAATAGTACCTGGTTAGTAGTAGCAATTCTCCAGTACTTTAATGGCTGCAGAGATCACAAAGGTGCAGGGATGGGGACACCAGCACAGGTCACCTCATTTGCTCTGTAGCAGGGGCTTTCTTTTTGGGGGAGGGGGAGGGGTTGGAAGCTTTATTGAAGTGTGTTTTACATATCAAAAAAGCTCCCTGGGGATAGAGCCTTTGCCTGGCATGCAGGAGTCCCTGGGTTTGATCCCTAGCACTGTAAGATAGGTAGGTAGGTAGACAGATAGATGCCTTCCATTGTAAATGTGTAATTCAGTGATTTTGGAGCAGGGTGTGGTGGTACATGTCTGTAATCCCAGCACCAGGGAGACTGAGGCAGGAGAATTACAAATTCAAGATCAGCCTGAGCTTCTAAAAAACCAAAGGCTGGGGATGTAGCTTTGTGGGTAGAATGCTTGCCTGGCATGTACAGAGCCCTGGGGTTCCATCCTCAGCACCAGTCTGAAAAAATCCACGATGCCCAGGCTTATCTCTGGACTCAGCGTTACTCCCATTGTTCTGTAAGCTAGTCCTTGCGCCACTTGCACATGGTCTCGGTTGCTGTAGCATTATAGGAAATTTTGAAAATAGGTTGTAAGTCTTCTAATCTTTGTTCTTTGTCCAAATGGTTTTGCTTGTTTTGGGTTCCTTGCATTTTTATGTGAATTTTAGGATCAGCTTGTCAAAGTCTATTAAAAAAAAAAAACCAAAACAGTCCTTCTAAGATTTAAATAGGGATTGTATCCAATATGCAACTGTTTTCTGATAGGTAAATCCTGCCACCTGCTGCCGGGCATCTGGTTCCCTCATGGGCGATTCCTGGGCCGTCTGCGGGCAGGTGGAGAGACTTGTGTGGATGGGTATACTGCTGAGAATGGAGCTGCTGGTTGAGGCCATGGCTGTGTCAGTGTCACCAGATTGTGTTGAGTGCTCGTGGAGGCCATGGAGTGTGGGAGCTGGGCTGTGAGCCTTCCACCACCATTCCATGTCAGCACACTCTTCTTCTAATTGTCCCAAGTTAGGAGACAGTGGCACCATAGTTTGATGTGGTTTTAATTTGCAGTACCGCAATTCCTGATGAAATTGAGCGTCTTGTCACACGATCATAGGCCTCTGGGGCTTCCTTCCCTGTAAATGCCTTTTGTTGAGTTCTTTTGCCATTTTTGCATTGTTATTTTTATTTTTCCTCCTTCCTCTCTCAATCCCTCCCTTATCCATTTGTTCTGGTTATTCAAATATTTTTTTAAGCCTTGCTTTTACAAACTGCTGGTATCCTAGCATACCAAGATACTGTTAGCTTTTTTCAACTAGCATTGAAAAAAGAAATCCAAAAACCAAAGAAGAAACACCCTGTTAGTGTTTTTTCAGCAGTGTTAGTAAGTTTGATAGCATTTCTAGCGGTGACTTGACTCTCAGCCTTGCCTCCATGCTAGAATTCATTTGGAGCTTTAAAAGATTCCGACATCTGGGCTGTGCCCAGACTTGTTTAGTCAGCGTATGTGTGTGGCAGGGTGGTGGTGGGGGAGTGGAATCAGTTTCCAAGTGACCCTGGAGTTGAGGACTTGGTTTGCGGAGAGCCTGTTCATTGAGTAAGCCGTGGCTCCTGGAGGCTGACCAGTCTATGGGCAGCACTTGCTGGAGCCCTTGCTACACATTCTGGTTCCATGCTGTCCTCACAGATGTCTTGACCAGTAGTTGGCCTGGAGCAGTGAATTTGTATCTTTAACACCCCAGTGTACAGGCTCTTACCCAGGGAAGTTTTAGGGACAAGCACCTTGGCACTTTGAAAAGAGTAATTTACATGGTAACTTCAAGCCAAAAGATAATCATGGCTTTAACTTTGGATTAAAAAATATTCTGGTTCCTGTTGTTCTTTATAAAATATGTGTTCTATGTAACCAGCTTGGGGAGAAACCAGTGCACGGATGTTTGGGAAACCTCAGCTGGGTTTAATTTGAAATCTTCTGGTGGAATTCTCTCTCTCTTCTCTCACTCACTGAAGGCAGCCCCTTGTTTGTGAGAGGCCCTGCAAGTCAGGCTTTGAGCAGGAATGTGGGAGACGTCATGTCCCTAGAAACCAAGAGCAGGGTATGGTGAACCATCGTAGGATGCAGCGTTTATCCGTGTGAGTGTGCACGTGAGTGTGCCTGAAATCTTCTGGGCTGATTGTGTACCTGGAGCTCTCATGAAGGGTGGATGAAAATCACAAAGCAAGGCAGCAGGAAGTGGAACTCGGTGGCACACCCAGGCCATGCTGGCTGTCAGTGCCGCTCTTTTCACAGCTTACTCCCCCACAAGGCACATCTGGGCCATGAGAGGAAGTTTCCAAGTCAGACCCAGTGTTTACTTCTAGTCACAGGTGCCGAGGAGCAAGGTGGCTCACGGATTAGATGCTGGGCAAAACTCCGATGAAAACAAATGCTGGCCTGTCCCAACATGGTGGAGGCTCCACCGTTCTCTGCATGCTGGGAATGCATATTAAAGGACCTTTCCAAATGTCCAGAGACTTTTTTAAATTTACTTTTGGTGGTCCTGGAGTTTGAGCTCAGGCAGGTGTTCTACCACTTGACTGAGTCATCCCCACCTCCCTTTTTTTTGGCTTTGGTTATTTTCTAGATAGCGTTTCTGCCAGGGCAGCCTGGAGTGTGATGCTTCTATTTACACTTGCTGTGTAGCTGGCTGGGACGACAGACACACTCTACCATGCCCAGTTTTTTATTGGTTGGGATAGAGTCTCTCAAACTTTTTGCCTGGCTGACCTCAAATCTTGATCCTCCCCATCTCTGCCTCCTGAGTAAGTAGGACCACAGGCATGAGCCATGACTCTGGTTCAAATTTTATTTTATTTTTAAGTGACTTTTTTTCTGAAGGTCAACCATAGAGGTGATAAAATACAAAAAGTTATTGATTCCTTATGCTATCTTTTGAATTTGTAATGACTTCAAGGAACAAACTTTAGTTCTTCAAAGTGGAAATGGCTCTTTTGTCTCTGGTTCTCAAAGATGACTTAACCTGGGTGTTTGGGGCCATGCTGTGGTGACAACTGGTAGAAATATTAGGGTGCTGCTGTGATCCTGAGTCAGACATGCACTCGAAAGTCTGCATAAGAGTGTGTGCCTCTGACCTAAGTCAGGCAAGCCAGCACGCACACGGGGGCGGAAGGACCCCTCAGTTTTTATCCCTGATGCAGGACTGCCCCTTGCTCTAACACAGGGAGCTTGGGTTCACAGTCTTTGTGATCGGCAAGCTTGAGGTTTAGGAGAGGACATAGGGGAAGAGCAGACATGATTGGAGAGTGTGGACAGACACTTAATTTGATTGGTGTTCTCGAAGACAAAGAGGTGACCCATAAGGTGGGAATTGTAAGAGTCTGGGGAAACTGAGACCCGAAATAACTGACCTGAAATGGCAGCACCAAGTATATAATTAACCCATGGGCCAAGGGGACCTTGAAGCAGAGATTCCTTTGGACAATAATTATCCTAAAGCTAGCAGTTTGAGTTTTAGGCCATCTGATGACAAACAGTTCTCTGCTTAAAGGCAGAATCTTTATAGCCAGGCAGTGTGCCACCGAGCACATAGACAACTGGGGAAGTTAGCTAATATCCACAATGACAGACATGCTCCATCATGTAATACTGGTGGCTGGGGAGGGAAGGGAGTCAAACCACGACCCTGAGATTAAGAGTCTCATGCTCTACCAACTGAGCTAACTCTTTGACAGAAAAGATCCAGTTTAGTTGATTGTCACACAGTGTAGGGATCACCCAGTGCCCTGGAAACCCAAGATGCAGGTGGCATTGAGGATCAGAGTTCCAAGGAAACACTCACCATGTTCACTTGTCACCTTTCCCTTCAGGGATGATGAGGAATGAGTGGAAATGATTGACTTGAGTTTTGAAGCCTGGAGGATGTGTTTATGGTGCCATTTCAAAACAACACTAAGAGTCTTGACCACACTGGAATAATCTAGAGGAAGCCGGGCTGGAAAGCCCTTAGCACAGTGATTGGTCATGTGAAGGGACATGGAAGGAGGGGGGCTGGGCCTGTGCAGTGGACAAGCAGAGTGCTTCTGTTGAGGCTTCCTGGATGGGGCTTTCCAGAACCTTCCTTAGCAGGCTGTGTTGTGAGCAGAGTCTAGTCCCTTTGTCCAAATCAGATTTGCTTATGATTTGATTCTCTGAGCCTTGCACCAGGGGACATTTAAGTACCTCATCTCATCTGTAGAAATGGTTAATTGTTCAGCCTGGAGGGGCCTACCCAAGGTGGATACGCCAGAGTGATTTTTTCTTTTCTGTTCTCTCTTTCTAGTGTTCAAAGCTTCTTTCAGACACCAGCGTTATTCAGTTCTACCCAAGCAAGTTTGTCCTCATCACCGACATACTTGATACCTTTGGTAAGCACCAGCCCCTGTTCTATCTGGAGAACAGCATTTGTTTTGTCAGGAATTGGGTGGGACACTGCTCTAAGGTAGGTTGTGCTGTGGTTTAGGTAATGAGCTAAGACATGAGGGAAACCAGCATGCCCCCCAGGCTGGTTGGGGCAATGGTACACAATTATGGAATGCACGGTGACATTTTAGTACATGTGTTCAATTGCAGTGATCAGATCAGGGTAATTGGCACATCTGTTGCCTCAGACATCCTCATTTCTTGGTTCTGGGAGTGCTTAGTCCTTTGTGCTAGCTGTTTTGAAGTGTCCACTTAGTTAATTGTCGTTGACCATCAACACCCTCCTGTCCAACTGAAATGAGGGCTCTTTTCCGAAGACTCCTGGTGCTGTTTTTCTGATTTTCAAATAGGCCTATGAAGTGACTAGTGGAGGGGCTCTCAGGGAGCATGCATCCTGTCTGAGCCTGGCCTGTCCATCCCACCTCTGGAGCACTGGGAACTCTGTGTGTGGCAGGGTGATCCACTCATCTCACGGCCAGAGTCCCACAAAAAATCGCCTTCAGAGCCCACCCCCAGCAACCTAAAGCCCTCTTACTTACGAGGCTCTACCTCTTCAAGATTCCATCTTCTCCCAATAGCACCAGCCCGGGGACTAAGCTTTTGACACATGGACCTTTGGGCACCCAAACTCTGGCACTGAACCTGACCTCTTCCCAGCCCTTTCCCTGCCTGCAAGGTCTCTGTCTCGGAATGGCACCGCCATGTACTCAGTTGTCCCAAGTGTTTCCCACGTGCCTGCCAAGGGCTGCAGCTCAGCCTCCCACAGCTCTCCCAGCATGCCCTCTCTCTGTCTTCACTGTTAAGAACCTGCGTCCTCACCACAATCCTTGTCTGCTTGGATGGTGCCTGTTGGTCCTCGGAGGTCCTTATGCTACCTTATGGCTGCCGTGGTCCCCGCTCATATCATAAGCAGAGAGATCTTTTGCAACCCAGGAGAAAGATCTGAAATGACAGGAATAACCTGGAGAAGCAGGAGGCTGCTTGCCCACTGCTCAGTGATGGATGCTGAGGCCAGGATATCTTGTGATTAGCACTTCACCCAAATCCCCAGGCTATATGTGACAGATAGCATGGATGGTGCCCCAAAGAACTGGAAGATGTTCTTATCTCTTGAGAGCCAGAAGTCAGAGCAGAGAGAGGCCTTCACTGTCTCACCAAGGAGGAACCTGTAGGCTCCCAACCTATCCTGTCTTGTCTGTAACCCACCAAAAGAACCAGTGTGTCAGAGTCAGTCAGAGATGAGTCAGTTCTGCACAGCCCAGGCCTGTCCAGGAGACAGGGAGTCTGAGCAAATTAACTCAGAGAAGTGACAGAAAACCTAATCAGCCTGGGAAATGGCTCATGCTAAGAAGTCCAGGACCAGTTTCTGGCTTCAGGTACTGCTAGATCCAGGAGCAGTGTCATCAGGACCATGTCTTTTTCTAGCACTTTCCCTTGGGTTCATTCTCAAGCTTCATAGGCTGTCTTCAGCTTCAGTCAGCTTCCTGCTGGTGCTTCAAGCAATCCACAGATGTCCTGCAAGTCCCCCTGCCTGGCTGGGGTCACATGTCAGGGCATGAGCCAGCATTCCAAGACTGGGTCATCCCAGAAGAGAAAAGGTGCTGTTGCACATTGGACCTGGCTAAAAAATAGGACCTGTCAGAGTCAGATGGTTTTGAGAGGAGGCATCAGGCTCTGCCAGGTACAGGGAATGGACCAGCAAAAAGAAGAGACACAAACCCCTGCCTTGTGTCTCTTGTGTCCAGTGAAAGATAGGGAACTTCTAGGGTGACTCTGCTGACCCCACCATGTGCTGGCAGTGATCAGTGCTGCAAGCCACATGGCTGTATAGGGGCAGGAGGCCAAGCAACAGCCCATGCAAAGGCCCTGGGGGGAACATGCCTAGCGGGTTTGGAGAATTTAGGAGGTCAGGGTGGCTGGAGTTGAGTGAGAAGGAGAGAGCAGGAGCTGACATGCCAGAGGCTGTGAGGGCCTTGGGGCCGCTGAAAGGACCTGGGATTTGACTCTGAGGGGATGAGGGACCCAGAGGTTGTTGACAGGGTAGGAACACATTCCTGCTTGGATTTGACCAGACTAGAGGGGAGGCTTGGGGGTGGAGAGGGCTCTGGCCTGGGGGTGTTGCAGCCCTTCCAGTTTCCGGCAAGGGTGGCATGGTCCCAGGAGGCAGTGAGGATGGCAAGGAGCAAGGAGCAACCCAGCGTGGAGGCGGCATGCCATGTTGTGGTACCGGGGTTTGAACTCAGCCTCGCACTTGATAGGCAGGCACTCTACTGCTTGAATTTCTATTTTTTAACAAGCAGTATTGCCTTCATTGCTGGGGTTCACATTCGGAGTGCTGCGCTCATCTGGTCACGAATGGTCCTAACTGTGCTCCACAAGAAGATGTGTGACAGTGGGGGTGAGTGCCTTGTCATTGACACGATTGACAGGGTCCAGTATCTTGAGCAGGGATGTGGGACATGGCCTGGCACCCACAGGGACACAGGTGTAACAGGAAGACACACGCCTAGCTTCTGCTGGGATCCCACTGTGACAGGGTTGCTTCTGGCTTCCTGCCTGCCTCTTCCTGCAGAGCTGTGTGCACGGCAGCCCTAGAAAATGGGGATACCAGAGAGTTGGCCTCCTCTGAGGGCTTCTGGGGGTAAACGAGGGAACACATAAGACACATAATGGCTTTCCTCCGCTAAGAACTGGCAGGCAGGATCCCAGCAGATAACTGAATAGAGCCTGGCTCTAAGGCATGCTAGAAAATGCTAGGTGTGCCATGGTTCTTTGTCATGGCCGTGATGTATAAGAAAGTAAATGTAGGATTGGGCATTATTTCACCAGACAGTTTTCGACTACCTTAACAAAAGAAGAATAGCTTATTTGGCCAAAATAATGTTTTTTGTAGTTCATGGTTTCTTAGAATAGAAAGTGAAATACATTCATGTGAAATACAGAAGTTATTTGTATTTATTTTGGCTCTGGTCTTGGAAGGCCGCAGGCTTTTGTGTAGGGGCAAAGGCAGTTAGGCACAGTCTGTTCTGTGCCTGTGGGAGGCTGCCCAGCGGGACTCCTTTGTGTCTCTGAGGTGGCTTTGCATGCAGCTCCAGTGCTGGCTCTGTGGTCACCACAGGGCTTTCTGTGTGTGGTGAGTGAAAAGACCTCCTGCTAAGAGGGAAAAGGCAGGTGGCACCCAGGCCTGGGCTTCTTCCTCATGCTCCGCTATACCTTGGAGTCACCTGGGAGCTCTCCCACATTGCCAGTGCCCCTGGTGCGCCCCAGACCGTCTCTTGTCTGAGCCTCTGAGGATGTCACCAGGTCTTAGAAGTACTGGTTCAGGGACAGGTGGGAGACTTGTCACCATTCTGAAGACTCCAGAGCCTTGGGTGTCTCCTTGCATCTTTGGTTCTCACACCTAAGTATGTTTAAGAATTTTCTGGCATTGTGGTTCAAACTCCATAGTCCTGTCCTCCCTTCCAGAACATTCTTTTTCAGTAGCTCTCGGGTGGGCCCCGAAGTGCATTTCCAGGAGTGTCTTTGGGCAATTGTGTGCAGGTGGCCCACCCCAAGAGGTGCCTCACACAGCTGCAGTGTCAGCAGCCCTGGAGATGGAAGGGACACTCCCCTGTTAGCCACAGTCCCCAGCGTCCCCTCTGCTCTCAGCATGGCCTGCCTCTCTCCCTGCTGCCTTCTCTACTTCATTCTCACCCGTGTCATTTCCTGATGACATCACTAGATCCTTACAGCTTTCCCACTTCTTTCCATGTATGAGCAAAGCTTGTTTGTTCTTCACTGCTCTGAACAATGGGGTTATGGGAAAAAAGCAAAACAAAACAGAAACAGAAATATTTTTAAATTGAAGGTGGTTTGTGAGGGTTCTGAAAAGCAAGACCTGCACTTTTTAACCCCATGTGCTGAGAACATTGTCCAAAATATATACAGAGAAAAAATAAAGCTCCCTGTACTATCTGTGGAGTCCAGCCTGCCCCCTTGATCTGGTAGCCCTTTTATGAGAAGCCTTTTTATGGGGACATAGCCATGTCCCTTCTTTGTTCAATCCTGGCCATGGCCGCTTTGGCTGCACAGTCAGAGTTGAGTAGTTGAGACAGTGATTTGTGACCTATAAAACCTAAAATGTTCATCCATCTATCCAACAAATACCGAGTATCCGCCAGATTCCAGGCCCTGATCAGGTGCCGTGAACACAACAGGCACAGCCTGCCCCGTGGACTCACTTTCCAGTTCAATCTCAGGTTCTGATGCTCGAGACACAAGGCTTGTCTTATGAATGGTGGGGCAGGCGAGGCTGGGAGTAGAGGGGCCACGGAAACTGTGGCTAATGGGCGCGTCCGTTCCATCTCACAAGCAGCTGCTGACCCGCTCCAGCCGTGAGGCACCCTGTGGGGATGCGGGCATATTTCTGGCACATCTTATGTGAAGAGGCATGTTTTTCACGTGAATTCTCCCAGAGTTTGCCTGTTGTTAATTAATTCAAAGCTTTTTAAAACATTTTGTGGACCATCGCGGTGTCAGCCCAAAGGCTGTCCGTTCGCAGCCTCTGGCCTAAACCTGTATGCAGAATGTAGAGTTTTCTGTTGAGTGCATGGAGAGACCTGAGTTTCGGTGAAAACTTGAAATGGTGACGTCGTCATGTTTCTTCTCACAGAAAGGAAAATTCCCTGACTTCAAACCCCAGTCCTAAAAAAAAAATCCCATTTAATTAAAAAAAAATCCAAGCTGGATGTGATGTCTCCTGCCTGTGGTCCCAGCTACTGGGGAAGTGGAGGTAGGAGGATCTCTAGTCTGAAGATGCCCTGAGTGAAAGGGTTAGGGGTGTGACGCAAGTGGTAGTTTGTTCTGGGCTCTGAGTTCAAATCCCAGTAGCACCTACCCCCAGAAAACAAAAGAAACATAGTTTAAATTGTGTCCCGCTAGGATTAGGCGCTTACCACAGTGTGAGGTTTACCTGCTGGGTGGACATTCTGCTCTGGTAAATTATCAGGGAACGTGTTTTTGGTGCTTGCCTCCCTCGAGGTGATGCCACACATAAATGTCCTTTTTCCCTCAGGAAAACTGGTGTACGAGCGGATCTTTTCCATGTGCGTGGACAGCTGCAGTGTCCTGCCGGGTAAGTAGCCACAGCCGCTCAGCCGTGCTGGGTGGCGTCCTGCCCTGGAGCTGCGACTTCAAGTCAGGCTTTATTGAAAACGCATCAAGTTTTTAATTTTGTGTGTTAAAAGTTAAAAGAGTTACATTTGAAGACTTCTGATCACCTCAGCCAACCAAAACCATTAGGAGGTTCGCAAATAGGCCAGGTTACAAATTAGCAAGTAATTAGAACGTGGAAAAACACAAAGGTATAAATACAGTGAGACTCTGTCCAGCCTCCATGCCGTCCTGTTTTCCTCGGCTGCTGGATGTTTCACTATTTTCCTACATGGCCTTTGCTAAGAAGCAAATTGCTGTTAAAAAAACCAAAACTTTATACATTTAAAAGAGCAATGTCAACTCAATCAATAGTAACAGATGCTTTGAGTCTCCAGTCTGTACCCAAGTGATGTTTGCATTAAATTTATTGCCAATCAATTTAAAATTCTCAGGAGGTTATTATGGGATGTGGAATGATGAATTTCTCTTGTCATATAAATGATAATGATGGTGTCTGGAGATGCATAGCTCTCAGATGCCAGAAGACCTGCTTACTTATCCCCCCACCTCCCTCTGCTCCTAACAGCGCTCTTTCCAGGAGACAAAGACATAGTGTTAGTGACACCAACTCATGATTTGACCTTTGTTCTTCTTTCCTTCACCCTTCCCTTTTCTTTTTCCCCTTTTCCTGTCTTCTTCCTGCCCATTCTTCCTTCCCTCCTATCCATCTGTCCTTCCATTCATGTACCCAACCATCTATCCATCCATCCATTTTCTTACATCTATTTAATGTGTACACTTCTCAGAAAGAATTATACACACCTGTGGTCTATAAGAATCCAAGGAGCCACTGGTCACATTATAGGACAAACCCCAGTGTGGAAGAGTCAGGGACTTGCTCAGGGCTCTGCAGCAGCTAGTGAGAGCCCCACACCTGTGCTGCCTGCTACAATGGCCACCTGTGGCTCTCGAGTCACAAACTGAGATGTAAAAGACACTTATGAGTGTAAAAGACACTGGATTTCAGAGTTAGTACAAACACAAGGCCTTAACCACTCATGAGTCACTCGTTTATATTGATTATATGTTGACACATCTTGGATGAGATGAGTCAAAATACGTTATAATGAATCTCACCTATTTCCCTGTGCCTTGCTTCGAGTGGCCCCTGTGGTATTTCAATGGGCTGGCACTGCCTCAAGCCTCCAATCCACTCATCCCCTGATGGTGGTTTTAACAGCTCTGTTGTGCTCTAGGTGTGTCAGCATTGGAAGGCAGGGAGCCTGGAAAGGTGGCAGAGGCCAGCCCTGGTGGGAAGACCATGTCTGCTGCCTTAGGACCTGGAGAAATCTGACCCCATTACTGGACTTAATGCTTGCCACCTGGTACTTCCTGTGTTGGACCTGCAGCACACTTAAGCTGACAGATGGAATCAAACCCAAATAGATGTTTTCTCTGATGATAGCAGTGATTTCCTTTCTTTCCTCCTTCCCTCCTTGTCTCCCCCTCCCTCCCTCCCTCCCTCCCTCCCTCCCTTCCCTTCATTTATCTTTCTAATAATGCAAGCTAGGCAGGCACCCTGACCCTGAGCTACACCTAGACCAGCAATGTTTTTACATCCTTTTTGCTACAGATTTTACTTCCTTTTATTATATGCCTCCTAACCACTTAAAAATATTCACATGAAAAGGCTTGGCATGGCGCTGCTCGCTGCACGTCCTCGAACCCAGAGGCAGACACGGGAGGACCCTGAGTTCCAGGTCAACCTTGGTTATGCAGCAGGAGCCTGTCAATAATAATGATAGCGATAGACAGTGTGATAGTGTGACCGCCTCAAAGGCATTTGGCTTTGCATCTACTGAATACCTCTTCTTTTCAAACAACTTTTTAGGGCCAAATGAGGAAAAACTGCTAATAACTGACTCCATACCTAAATTCTGAACATTCAGAATTAAAGGCTGTTTTCCTACTCACTTTCAGTCCTTGTATAAATATATTAGTTAGCACTTGTATCACTAAAATTCTTCTTAGATACCTATTCTTTTTTATCTGTAACAATGTGAATCAGACTTTTGCTTTTCTTTCAGTTAAAATCATCTACATGTTTTTCTCTGGTTCTCAGAACCCAAGAGGGGAAGGGGCTTACATGGCTCAAAATCACTGGCGATCTGGGGAGTGACTCTTAACCAAAATTATGAAGAAAGCTTTGAAATTTACTCTGCAGATTCTGCCTAAAGAAATTATGTAGATGGAGAAACCTGGTGGCATTTGTACTCATTCTTTCCATTTGAATTGTGTTCTGACTGGTGAATTTAAGACTTGAGTTCTTTGCCTTCAGGAGTTTTAACTGAGGTTTAGCTGCTATGAATTTAGAAAGATTCCAGTGTCTTCTGAGCCTTTTGAGTTGATGAAAAGTACACAGTAAGCAGAGTGTGGTAGTGCACAGCTGTAATCCCAACACATGGGATGTTGAAGCAGAAGGATTGTGAGTTTGAGGCCAGCCTGGGCTATATATCGAGACCCTGTCTCACAAAAAAGAAGAAAAGCATATATTATTAGGCATGGTTTTTTTACCCCAACATTTCTTTTTTTTTTTTTTTTCTTTTATTATTCATATGTGCATACAATGCTTGGGTCATTTCTCCCCCCTGCCCCCACCCCCTCCCTTACACCACTCCGCCCCTCTTCCTTCCCACCCCCCTCAACACCCAGCAGAACTATTTTGCCCTTTATTTCTAATTTTGTTGAAGAGAGAGTAATAAGCAATAATAGGAAGGAACAAGGGTTTTTGCTGGTTGAGATAAGGATAGCTATACAGGGAGTTTGGACTCACATTAATTTCCTGTCGGTGTGTTACCTTTCTAGTTAATTCTTTTTGATCTCACCTTTTCTCTAGTCCTGGTCCCCTTTTCCTATTGGCCTCAGTTGCTTTTAGGTATCTTGCTTTAGTTTCTCTGCGTTAAGGGCAACAAATGCTATCTAGTTTTTTAGGTGTCTTACCTTCCTCCACCCCTCCCTTGTGTGCTCTCGCTTTTATCATGTGCTCAAAGTCCAATCCCATTGTTGTGTTTGCCCTTGATCTAATGTCCACATATGAGGGAGAACATACGATTTTTGGTCTTTTGGCCAGGCTAACCTACACTCAGAATGATGTTCTCCAGTTCATCCATTTACCAGCGAATGTATAACATTTCGTTCTTCTTCATGGCTGCATAAAAATTCCATTGTGTATAGATACCCACATTTTCTTATTTCCATTGTCAGTGTGGTGGCATCTTGGCTGTTTTCCATAACCTTGGCTATTGTGAATAGTGCCGCAATAAACATAGATGTGCAGATGCCTCTGGAGTGACAGTCTTGTGGGTATATTCCCCAAGAATGGTATTGGCTGGATCAAATGGTAGATCAATTGTTAGCTTTCTTAAGTAGCGCCCTCAAATTTTTTTCCAGAGTGGTTGTACTAGTTTACATTCCTACCAGCAGTGTAAAGAGGGTTCCTTTTTTCCCGCATCCTCGCGTACACCTGTTGGTGGTGGTGTTGCTGATGATGGCTGTTCTAACAGTCCCCCAACATTTCTTGATCCAGGCTATGTGTGAAGAGACCATGTACTCCGGGTGATCATGTCATTTTATTTCCAGCTTGGGAAACCATGTCAGTCTGTTCTGTTGTGGCTCTTGGTCCCATCACCTCAACAAACGCACGTTCAGATTCACCCCAGGGCTCATGAGACCCACACCAGGATGAGTGGGCAGGGGTCTTAGCTGACCTGGCTCTTCAGCCACATGCTAAGATGCTGTCGCATCTCTGAGTAAAGCTGGTAGAGACTTTGGCAGTGAGAGAACTGGAATCATTGGACTCCTGCTGCAATAGCCACAGAGGTCAGGTTCAAAGACAGTAGCACTGTAGGAGTGAGAAGTGGAACGAAAACCTCTGCCCTTTGTACCTAGGTCTCTTCTGAATTGATTTCCAAATTCCGAATTCCTTCTCCCTGTAGGAGTCCAGGTGCCAAAGTATAAATCGTGTCATGGCTTTCCTTTGCTCAGAACCTTCTGGGAGTTTCCATCCCACTTAGGAAAAAGCTAAGAGGCCTTGCCAGGGCCGCAGCCCTGCGTGACCTGCCCTGTGATGCCTGCTCCTCCCTCCCTCCTGGTTTCACTGGCCTGTGCTCTCCTTTGAGCACGCTGAGGTCATACCTGCCTTGGGGCCTTTGCACTTAATGCTTTTGTCTTCTTGGAATGCACTTCCTCCACATGTGAACATGGCTGGCTTCTCTTTGTCATTCAGCACCCAGCTCAAATGCCACCTGTGTGGGGGTCTTCTCTGCCACCGTGTCTAAGGATCCTCCTACCTGTCACTCAAGCCATGCTCTGCTCAACCCCAGTACCTACTTTCCTTTTTGTCTTTCTGTAATACCAACTTTCATTGGCTATTACCTTGTTGGTTTGCCCAATTTTCTCTTTTCCTGTTGTTACTTGTCTTCTGTCACTAGAACACAGCTTCCTGAAAATGTTTGCCTATGTGCTGTCACCTCCCCAAAGCCTGAACACTATCTGTAGCTGGCTGTTGAGGCATTTGTGTCGAGCAAGTGGAGTAAAGGAATTAATGAATTAGTTTACTATAAGATGTTAAAATCCTATATAACACAGTGCTTTTCCTAGACTATGTATTGTGCTGGGAAGAAAGCCTGAAGGCTGGGCACCGTGGCTCACACCTGCAATCCTAGCTACTCAGGAGGCAGAGATCAGGAGGATGGATGTTCATAGCCAGCCGGGGCAAATAGTTCACAAGACTCTATCTAGAAAAAAACCTATCACAAAAAAGGGGTGGAGGAGTGGCTCAAGTGGTGAGAGCACCTGCTTAGCAAGCAGGAAGCCCTGAGTCAAACTCCAGTGCTACCAAAAAAAAAAAAAGAAAGCCTGAAGACTTTGTGCAGATTGTCATATCTTGCAGCAAGAGGTCCACCTTGCAGGCGACCTGAGTCACTGATTTTTCCACCTTTGCCAAGTCTTGGTTCCGTCAACTGGGAAGTGGAAGATT